CTATGAAAATGGAAGATTCACACTGAAGGCATCCATACTATGAATTAACACATGTGGAATTATATACTTAACAAAAAAATTAAAACAACTGAAAATATGTCTTGTGTTCTAGGTTCTTTCAAGTAGCCACCATTTGCTTCGATGACTGCTTCGCACACTCTTGGCATTCTCTTGATGAGCTTCCAGAGGCAGTCACCTGAAATGCTCTTCCAACAGTCTTGAAGGAGTTCCCAGATATGCTTAGCACTTGTTGGTCCTTTTGCCTTCACTCTGCGGTCCAGCTCACCCCAAACCATCTTGATTGGGTTCAGGTCCGGTGATTGTGGAGGCCAGGTCATCTGGTGCAGCACCCTATCACTCTCCTTCTTGGTCAAATAGCCCCTTTCACAGCCTGGAGGTGTGTTTGGAGACATTGTCCTGTTGAAAAATAATTGATGCAAACCAGATGGAATAGCATTTTACTGCAAGATGCTGTGGGAGCCATGCTGGTTCAGAATGCCTTCAATTTTGAATAAATCCCCAACAGTGTCACCAACAAAGGAGCCCCACACCATCACACCTCCTCCTCCATGTTTCACGGTGGGAACCAGGCATGTAGAGTCCATCCGTTCACCTTTTCTGCTTCGAAAAAAGACACAATCAAATTTGGACTCATCAGACCAAATCACAGATTTCCACTGGTCTAATGTCCATTCCTCATGTTCTTTAGCCCAAGCAAATCTCTTCTGTTTGTTTCCTGTCCTTAGCAGGGGTTTCCTAGAAGCTATTTTACCTGAAGGCCTGATTCACACAGTCTCCTCTTAACAGTTGTTCTAGAGATGTGTCTGCTGCTAGAACTCTGTGTGGAATTGACCAGGTCTCTAATCTGAGTTGCTGTTAAAGGAATACTACACCCAAAACATGATTAGCCTTCATTTTCTACTCACCCCCCATGCTGAACAATACTCTGGAGTACTTTTTTGATATCTCAAAGGCATCTGGAGATCTGGGAGGCTTCTTGCTGTCTGCTGACATTCAAATAATGGAGGTCTATGGCGCCCGAGGCAGAAAGGTCCATAAAAGTCCACAAAAAACGTGTCACTATTCCTCCATACTGCTCGTCCAATGTATTCCAAGTGTCCTGAGTGGGTAGAGTCCATAATTTACTCGAAACAAAGTCATTTAGAATGTTTTTAGAGCATAAACAGTAAACGGCAGACCAAACCAGATGAAAGTGCGCATTCAGCTCGGCAAAGAACTCATGCTCTTCCTCAACACTGAAGTCCTCAGACATTTTTCTTTCGTTGTTTCTTTCTTTGCACAGGTAAACAGCACATTTCTTCTTCTACGCTTGCATTATCGGCAGAGCAGACGCTGAATGCGCACTTTCATCTGGCTTGGTCTGCCGCGGTTTCCGTAGACTCGTGAACGCGCAGGCGCTCACTTTTAGGAAATCCTATACACTACTGTTTATGCTCTAAAAACATTCTAAATGACTTTGTTTCGAGTAAATTATGAACGCTACCAACTCAGGACACTTGGAATACATTGGGCGAGCAGTATGGAGGAATATTGACACGTTTTTTGTGGACTTTTATGGACCTTTCTGCCTCGGGCACCATGGACCTCCATTATTTGAATGTCAGCAGACAGCAAGAAGCCTCCCAGATCTCCAGATGCATTTGAGATATCAAAAAAGTACTCCAGAGTGTTGTTCAGCATGGGGGTGAGTAGAAAATGAAGGCTAATCATGTTTTGGGTGTACTATTCCTTTAATCTGCGATTTCTGAGGCTGATGACTCAGATGAACTTTTCCTCTGCAGCAGAGGTGACTCTTGGTCTTCCTTTAATGGGGCGGTCTTCATGTGAGCCAGTTTCCCTATAGCGCTTGATGGTTTTTGCAACTGCTCTTGGGGACACTTTCAGAGTTTTGCCAATTTTTCAGATTGACTGACCCCTATCTCTTAAAGTAACGATGGCCACTTGTTTTTCTTTACTTAGCTACTTTTTTCTTGCCATACCACAAATTCTAACAGTCTATTCATTAGGCCTATCAGCTGTGTATCCACTTGACTTCTGCACAACACAACTGATGCTCCCAACCCCATTTATTAGCCAAGAAATTCCACTTATTAAACCTGACAGAGGACACCTGTGAACTCTTTGAATGAGAAGGTGTGTCCGAATGTTTGGTCTATACTGTATATGTTTCTGTTGGAATCACCTTTCAGCTATGCATTAATATTGCTTCTGTACTCTGAAGCTCACACTGAATAGATTTCTCAGAAAAGAATTCAGTGAGTTCATATACAGTACTGCAACTCAGTTTTTCTAATATAAACATGATGTCACGCTGAGATTGAAGTGCAACACAAGTACAGCTTCCAACAGAGGTTTTGTTGAGAGTTTATGAGCAGTAAGTATCCTTACCTGCTTACCTCATCTAGAAATAAAAAAAAAGTTCAGTTTTCCTAACAGCTTGCCTAATAGCTGTATATTTATTGGATCATTGGATGCTTATTATTGACCATCCATCAATGCAGAAAATATCAGTTACAGTCTTTCCGTTTGGACCCCTAAGTATTCCCTAGATTATCTATATTTGATACAAGCCAAAATATTCAGAAAAGTTTTTCTTTTTACATTCCTCCAAGTCAAACGTTTACATCCAATAAAGATGATCATGCCTTTCAACATTTTTTGAAATCCCAGAATAATGCGTTTGCTTTGTAAGATCCTTCTTCAACTGATATCTGTGGATGTATTTCAGGACATCAACCCAAATACTTTGCTTTCCCTCATGACATCATGCAAAATTGTGGACGGCAAAATGATGAAAGAACATTATATGGAAATAGTGTATTAAGAGATGGAAGGTAAAGGGTATAGGTCTTCCAAAGGGATGATGACTGAGGGCAAACATCAAAAGTAGTATATATTTTGTACTGCCTTCATAAAGCTTTGAACTCTTTCCCAAATAAAATGTATGGGCTGAGCTATAAAGGTATGTGAGAGCAAGGTGGCCGCCAAACTTGACTCACTTCAACCAATCCTACCTGACACGAAACATGAAAGGTCTAGTTTAATTAAATAACAGACATTGGTTTGTAAATATCTGGTTCTAAATGTACCCGGGGATTTGTTTTGGAGTGTGAAATTAGATGTCAAAAAGGACAAAAATACAACGTATCACTGTGAAATTAGTATACAGTTCAGGGAATGTGGAGCCCTATTTTTATAGATATCGAAATAACTACAGCTGTGCTTATTTACATCAGACGACAGTGCTAAGAAAGCTTAAATGTATTACACTGTTGTTCTTTTGTAACAAAAGAATTAGTGGTTGGATATATACTCATAACATTCAACAATTTGGCTGAGATTTATATATATATATATATATATATATATATATATATATATATATGGTAACTGTTATGAAGCACAGCCTGCCACAGTCGTTGATGTAAAATAAAAACATTCTGTGAGTAAGAATAAAATAGCATTTGTAAAAACAGTTATGACACTGGTTGGACTGTATTCCTTAAACGGGAATACTTTTACAAATTTCCGCAATGCATCTAGATTTCATGTAGTATATTTGTGGCTGGTCATTTGGAGAAAAGGAAAAATAAATCATGACTGTCATGGAACATCTGAGAGGGATCCTTTGGGGTCTGTAAGATGGCTTCAGGGTCGTGATGCCAGTGGACCTAAAACAGATGCAATAACACGCAAATCCCTCAACAGTTTTCCTTTGAATTAGGTCAATTCCAAAGCTGGGCACTTCCTTTACACCATAAAGATGAATTAATAAATAGTGCACCTCGTCAGATATATCTTTTTGTTGTTAAATATTATTATTGATCAGTTGAAAAGGTTGAACTTGGATACATTCTAAATAGACTATAGTGTTTTATTTTGACTTTTTTCTCAGGATTCTGACTTCAATTTCAGAATACTGACTTTAATCTCAGAATTCTGACTTTTTTTTTCAGAATTCTGACTTTTTTTTCAGAATTCTGACTTTTTTTTCCAGAATTCTGACTTTAATCTCAGAATAGTGACTTTTATCTCAGATTTCTTCCTCCTCCTCCTCCTCCCCCCCCCCGCCCCCACCCCCCCCCCATGTTAAATTGAAATAAAATGTAAAAATCTGTAAAAAAAAAAAATTATTACTTTTTCGGTGGCACTACTCCTCTTTCGCAATAATAAGCAGCTATAAAACTAAAGGTACAACATTACCATCTAGTGGAGGAAGTGGAGTATAGCATCTTCAGGCATTAAAACGGCACTTTTATTGCGTTGTTTTATAACTTGGTGATTAAATATATATATATATATATATATATATATATATATATATATATATATATATATATATATATATATATATATATATATATATATATATATATATATATATATATATATATTATAAATAAAATATAAAATATATTTGCTAATCAAAAATATATATTTTAAAACGCGTGTATTTTTACTATCAAGATTTAGAGCAAGAATATAAAACTACAAAAGTTTTGATTAGTTTGATGGTATAAAAAATATATATTTTTATTTTATTTTGAGTTTAGTAATAGTAGTAAAATGTATCTTTAGTTGTAGAAAAATCAAGTTGCTATTTTTTTTTTTTTTTTTTTTTTATGTATGAACCTTCCTCAGAAACACTTTTTCATTTACTGTAGGCTTCCATCATGGTGAAAAACACCTTTGTACTATACGGTGGAAGAGATTTTCATATTGAGGTCTAGTGAAAAACCCGAGTGTTGGTTTGTTTGGGATTTTCCACCTCATCTTACTGTAATATAAACAAGTCAGAAAAAAAACACAACAAGCCATAAAACATATTTGATATTTTTCGATTTTGAAAAAGCAACAAAAAAAAGTTAAACAACAACAAAACAATGATAAAAACCACAATAAACAAACCAATATTACGTTTTAAGAAGTAAAAATAAACTTAAAAAGGAAAAGAAAGATGAAGTTTCGAAAGCGAAAGTAACAGTTCGGTGAGTGTGGGTGTGGGGACAAAAAGTGACGCGGAAATAGTCCGACTGTTAAATAACTAGTTAGGTCTGGAGTTAACCATGGCGTTCTCATCTAATCGGGTTTCCAAAGGTTTAATTCTTCTTTTAATCGGCGTTTTCTGCTTAATAAAGTAAGTAAAGCTACATATTTACACTAACGCGGCATTTCCACTCGCTCGCTTTGTTTGTTTTCTTTTTAGTCACCTTGTTATGACAGCGGTCATCTATTATCAGTTCGCTCTTCTAAATCCTTTATAATGTTTATAGTCTTAGGAAGGAATTTGGATTTGTCTTATAGGCAAAGAACAAAAGCGTTTCTAGTTAAGTTGTGTCTGAACAAGGTGTGGCTCGTTTGCATTTTCAAGAGTTAAAAAGTCAGAGCAACAGCCTAGTTTTAACCAGAATTCCAAGCCGTAGTGTGCTAATAAAATACTCAAATACATCGTTCTTTTAAGATCTTTATTGCGGTTTGAAACATATTATATGGGTGTATTTTTTTACCAACCGTCTAACATGGTAAATAAAAGTACCACTGTCTGCTTTGCTATTGGTATCGTGTTTAAACGCATCACCATCCGGTTGAATTCTGCCATTTGTTGGGGTATAAATAAGGTTCGATCAGTGTTTCTTCATCAATCAATCGTCTTTTTCGACTGTTGCCAATGGGGCTTACCAAGTGTCAGTGATGGGGGCCGTAAGCAACGCCATTGGTTGGTTTAGAAGACCGATTAAAAACAAACACAAAAAAAATAGTTTATTGAGATATATGATTTAAAAGATGGACGGAAAGAAAAATACTTTTTATCACTTTTGTTTTACAGTGTTTCGATTTCATCCCCGGTCTTTAATGGCACACATCTACGTGTGAAAAGGCAAGGTTGTCAAGATGGGACCTACAAGCATGAAGGCAGAGACTGTTGTCTCTGTGCAGCAGGTAGGTTTTATATGTTTAATAAAATCAACCCTTAGTTATTAAGGGGTCTCCCTAACAGCAGGACATTGCATCACCATTAGGGGCTTAGTCCATTGAATATTCATCACTGGGAGGGAGGTTGGATTCACCCTTATATATGTCATAGTAATAGTTACTTGCTCTTAATTCTCAGCTTTGTCTTTATTTTGAGTGAAATCAGGCAAAACAGATTTGTTTTAGTCAAACTCCATGATCTCCTTTGTCCTTTGTGTCTCCTTTGTGCTTCATTATTTACTGTAACCAACCAGATAGTCATTGTTATCCAATGTATGACATATGACTTCCTTAAATTGTCTCTATTTATTTTTTTCTCACCAGAACTGTTTTCCTTACTCCTTTAAAATAACCTAAAGTCCATGGTTTTAAAAATAACTAAACTGAAGTATACACAAATTTTAGGGGTCACGAAACACCTTTTTCCTTTCCGATAGGATAACGATATTGCTGCTTTGAGAATTGGCCAATACCGATATTGGTCGATATAATATTAGCAGGAATCAACCAGCTTTTTTTGCTTGTTTCGTATAGTTTGTTGTTAGAAAAGGCTACATTAAGGAATATTATTAAAAGGGGGAGCAAAAGTCAACAATAAAAGGTGTGAATACAAGTAACCCATGGAAAATTAAGCAGTAAGGTAAAGAAACATGTGCTTCTATCAGCATGAGACTAGATTATAGAGATTATAGCCGATAAAATACGATAATAATTTTTCTTCTAAAATGGGACAGATATTTGATATTAATATGGAATAGGGATATCCCTAATAAGTTTCTAAATTAACTCAACTCAACTTAAACTTTATTTATAAAGCACATTTAAAACAACCGGGGTTGACCAAAGTGCTGTGCAGGAATCACAGTTGCAGAGCATACGAAAAAAAAAAACCTGAAAGCTAAAATACATCAACACAATGCAAAAAGAAAAACTGAAAGGAGATAAAATATAATAGGATAAATGTTTGAATTTTAAATAAAATTTTGCCAAATGTCCCCTTAGACTTGATTAAAAGCCAGGGAGAAGTAATGTGCTTTTAGAGAGGATTTAAAAACCTAAAAGGAGCCTGCTGATCGAATATGCCAAGGCAAGTTATTCCAGAGTCTCACTGCCATAAAGGCGCCATCACCTTTGGTTTTAACGCTGGTTTTAGGCATGACCAGTAGCAACTAATTAGAGGATTTCAGTGTTCTGATCGTGTTCATGGATTTGGTTATTTATTCTAAAATAACCGGGATGAATTACAGGCTCCAGATGTCTGTGTGTCAGGTACCCTTTCACTTTTGATAAAATTCCCAACTGGTAAAAGCTGTTTTTTTTTTACGACCGAACTAACCTGATCGCCAGGTTAGTTTGGTCGTAGTTATGGTGCAAAAACAGGTGATTTGCAGTCTCAGAATCTGCTTTTGTTATGTTTTCATGGCTCACGGCTGCAAAGGTCCTAGCTACCTGTTCCTCCTATAAATATTCTTTCTGCACATGTTCCTCATGTAAACCTTCTCGCTGTAGGTGTTCCTCTTGTACATGTTCCTCCTGTAAACATTCTTTGAATATCCAGGAAGTGGTCTACCTTACGTTTTGTGTAAACTCTGAAAAAATTCACACTGATCTTAAGCAATGTAGCTAAAGTTGGAAGGTTGCAGTAGGCTACTATTTTGCCCTTAGAATACCGTAGGTCTATCTAACTTCTTTTTTTCTTTGTTTGTTTGTTTTGGAATGCATTTGATCATTGTTGAAATGTATTCAGATCCACAATTTATAAACATGCCAATCCTGGCATGACCTATTATGCTTATTAGACGCTCTATAAAGTAATGGTTCGATTGGTGAAATCTATACATAAAACCAAAATTGAGTCATAAAAGGGCGTTCAACCACGCTGCCTTTTATGCAAGAACTTCCACTTCCCAGCAGAACTAAATCAATCTCTTAGATTTTAATTTGATTTTGTCTTTCGGGGCATTCTTCTGTCTAACTGGAAAATACCTTTTGTTAGGTGGGTCACAAGATCTGAACGCTTGGGTCTAAAACCACTAATGTCTTTGGAATAGTACAGAAAAATATTTAGGGAGGAAACTTAAATCACATCTATTTATGAAAAAACAGTTATCTGTCCAGAAGGTATACCAGTCTGCAGGTATGACTGTTTTTAGGGAAAAGATGTTTTTTCCCCCTAAATTTAATGTAACCCAATGGTAATACTACATGGGTCACTTATTGTTGTTGACTTCTGTTCTCTGTTGATTAATTCTAATATTCTTCACTGCAAAATTAGTAATTAAGTACAGTATGAATGATTTGTGCTAATAGCAGTATCGGTCAATTCTCAAAGCTGCAAAACCAGAATTGTATCAGAACTGAAAAATATGTATCAGGACATCCCTATTTTGTCCCTAAAATATAAAATTAATTGCATTTTTTTACATAACAACATCAGATTTGTTTTCGTAGCTGCATAAAAATGCAGACACGGGTTCTTAAATTTAGTCCTCGTTGTAACATATTTGTTTGAGAGTCTCTCCTCAGATTGGAATTGGGAGTTTAAAAGAAAATCATGCTGATGCTCCAACAGGGCGGAGCTGCTTCGGTAGCTTAGATTGGACAGGTTTTATCCAACCTGAATTAAGGTGATCTTAAACACCTCACATTAAATAGAGAGAAATTCTGCTAAACAATAACAAAGCTAACTAAAAAAAAAAAAACACACAAATGTCGTAATATTTTAAAAAAAAACTTTTTGTCATGTTTTAAAGTTCAGATCTTACACAGTTTTTTCTTTTTCAGTCCTTACCTGCTTTGAGTCCTACAACAGTGGGACCTCTCCGTCTTCAATTGCAGATAAATTAATTAGTTGGTTTCCATATAAACTCTGACAGGATATTATGACCATTGAAGAGTCAAGCTTAAAATATCCAACAACATCCAGAGAAGTATTATGCATTGTTCAGATTATCTTTGTATCCTGTATTTAAACTAAATATTTGTATTCATCTAGACAAGGTGTGCAGGGTCATAAAAGGTTGTAAAAGAAAACCCGTACCATAAAAAAACTCTTCAAAAGTAATAAACATGATCTGTCAGTTTTATTTTTTTTTTTGATGACGGCCCAAATTTACATTTTTCTCCCTCAGTTTGTGTTAAAGACCTATTCCTAAAATGTGAATTAATTAGGAGTGGACAATAATTCCATATCACTATAAATAAGAACATTATTCAGGAACTAGGATGCTAGATCCAGCAGAAGGAGCTAGTTTACTTTCAAAGTCAATGTTTGACACGCATCAAGATGCAGCAAAAGGTCGTGCAGCGTGTCTAAGTGCAGCACATCACGAGCTTCCACATCAGAACACACCAGAGAAGCTGATCTAGGAGCTGGCAGGGAGACAGACACAGCGCTGCTGATGCAGATCGCTATGATCACTCCCCTGAAACTGTTTTTCAAAGCCTAAATTATCTTAAAATGTTTAAACCTGCCGGCAATTTGGATTACATAGAAAAAAGCCTTCCAGCCGCCACGAACAGTAGCAGAGAACGCTGAAGAGGTGAGTGGGCCGGAGGCTGCTGTTGAAAGGGATTCCCAGTGACAGCGCAGCACCAGTGTACGGGGTCTGAGAGGCTGCAACAGTGAAATTATATTTAAAAGCAGGATCATAATCTTTATGAACTGACTACACAGATTAAGTTTTCAGGTTGACTTTCTCGCTTAGAAACATTAAAACTACTTTTCACCCACGGGTAAACACACAGTAAATATAGTAAAGCTGCTCTCTGCCATTGAACACAGGAGTAGCAGAACCATCTGGACACACTTTACTGGACTCGCTTCAGGAGCGTCAAAGCTGCTCTTTACGCGTGTCTGATCTTAATGTAAACAAGCACAAAAAATGTAGCAGAAGCAGTTTCGCTGCTTTCAGCATTACATTCTGGACATAGCATGACTTTTAAACCCATTTTTTTTAGATTTTAATATACATTAGAGTATATGTCACTGACTCATGTTCGGGGTCTTATTAAGTTTTATGTATTTTGTTTTTGTAACACAAATATTTCTACAGTAATCTATAAAAGCGGTTTTATAAATATAGTAAAATGATTTTCATAAGTTTTAACAGGATTTTGGTTTGGGCATTATAGGCGTTCTTTCCGAGGATTTAATGGAGGCTGAAGTAAATAATCGGATTAATCGATTATTGAAATAATCCTCAACTAATTTAGCAATTGACTAATTGTTAACTGGAGTAAAGAAACTCTTATCATCAATCATTTTCATATGACTGAATATTTGTATTATGATAATGCTGGATTACTTTTTATCTGTGGACTCTTATAGATGAATGGAGTATAAACAATTGAAGACTGTATTTATTTGTTGTCGCAGATGTTTTTCATATTTACGTTTTACAATCCTGCTATATCTGTGTTAATTGTGCTTTGGTGCCTGCTGTGTCCATAAAATTAACTTAATGGTAGAATCGTGGAGAATCTAAGATTTATAACGATGTCTAACATGTCGATATTGGTAAAAGTTTAACCATTATTATTTCCATGCGTTGTTAGGTCGAAATATATCTAACCAACAGCGGGCGAACCGGTGGATTATAAGACGTTAAAAATACTTTACACAATTTATACATTTCTTATAGATGTTTTGGGAAATTATTTTGACTTCTTTTATTGTACTATTACGTGTATTTGGATTTTTAATAAATTATTTGAGGCCTGATCAACACAAGTTCATGGAAGTTACATTGTCATGTCAACGTCAAGCAAGCTAGAGTTTGGTATCCCACATACAACTGCAGACTAGTAATTGTACATAATCTAATGACAGAAACAAGGAGGAAATACGGCACAGAAACGCGCTTCGGATTCGTTATGAGAGACTTTACTTTATATCCATGAACCCAGAGAACACTTTAATTGGACACCTGTAAGCAGGCAGGGCACCCTGCCTGTAGCTCATAGTACAAGCATGGTGCCTCCATGCATTTTCATATCTATTCATGCAGTTTAATGTAACCATAGTATTTTAGAGAGTTATTTTGATATTGTGTTCTTTGTGTAATGGATAACTGTTCAATAACGTTTAAAATGTATAATAATATAGTCAGTTCATGCTAGCTTTAATTTATTATAGCGTTATTGTGAATTTTAAGTATGCTGCATATATTCACCTTAGAACTGATGATGTCTGTGTGTTACAGACCCTGGTTGCAGGCAATGAAGTGTATATGAAAATAAATTAGTGAATTCGAATCTGTTTATTAATTTTTTTTTATTCTATTTTAAATAGGTCTAGAGGCTCATGGGTCTTTTCTCCAGAAAAAAAAAAAAAAACACTTTCGCAGCATCCCATGCAACTGGCAGTTTAGTAAAGCGATTCAGATCACAGTTACACAACACTGCTGACTCAGCTGTGTTTCATTTACCTTTGTTAGGAAGTATATTGCCCCCCTGAACTCGCTTACAACTCTGGGCTTTTCCCAGATCTTATTGGAAATCCTTAGCCCTGCTTTTTGCTCCCATTTATTGTTACTATATAGGATTTTATCATTTTGTGTGTAATCGGTATGTGTTGTTTGTTCCTTTTTACTCAAAACTTAAAATCTTTGTTCAGTTTGAAACTTATACTGAAGGGAGACCATATAGAGTCTTTAAAATATATCTATTTTTCCCATTCCACAGAACTAGCCTGCTTTATGCCACTTCTGCAGTGCAGCCATTCTGTACCTTGGGTTCGTAAGATGATTTCTGGGGATTGCCAAATCATTTCTAAAAAATACAAATATGCCAGATTAATGTTGCTTCTGAACAGACATACAAAGCACAGCGAGCGATTGGTCTCAAACAGGCCTTTTTTTGCTCAAAACCAGCATCCAGCATTTAAGAGAATGCTGGAGCGGTGGGCTGTGCGAGTGGAAAGGGGGAAATGCTGAAATGTAGCTGAGAGTTATGACATAACCGTTCAAGCTATGAAAGGAATTATTTGCTCACACCTAAGTAGCCTGTTTGAAAGATTCAATAAGAATTTCCCACATTATGAGACTCTGCAAAAGTACAACTGGAAAGGCTATCTTTTCACCGCATATCACCTGTTATCAGAGCTGCAGGATGCCCTGTATGATCTCTCCTATGATCGCACTTTACAGATTGCGTGCTGGAAGAGTTCTGGTTGTCAGTAGCAACAGATTATGCAGCACTGCTAAAAGCTGCAACTGATGTTTTGTTTCCATTTGCATCCACATATCTGGGGGAAAACACCTTTTCTGTGCCGAAATATGCAAAAAAAAAAAAAAAAACAGTTTACGAATCCTCAAAGTTGAGTGATTTCTTTTTGGCTGTTTGTGACACAAAGATAAGAAGCTGCTCTGTTAAAACAAGCAGGCCCAGCTGTCATGTTAAATAGTTGCAGAAAACATCTCTGCTTTGGACCATCTCTGCTTTTTTTCTGAGAGCTTTCATATTCAAGCTCTCAGAAAATATTGGCTGTTTTCTAGTGTGTTTTGTTAAAATTTAGTGTGCTCTGTTATCATTTTATTCCATTAAAAAGAAAATAAAGTTTGCGTTATTTGCTTACATTTTAAATGCAAAATGATGGGATGTAGCTACCGCTGTCATTTGGCTTACAATAGTGTAATATCGGTCTAATTTTACTTTTCATGACTGGAATTGTATATTCAATTCTTAGTTTCTTTCCATATATAGCAAAAAACCCTCTTTATTCTATACCCTGAATAGATTATCACTCACTTCAATGGGAAAGCTTTTGATCAAACATGGTAATCAATTGATTATATTCATTTTAATTTTAATACTCCTGAAATTCAGATTTAAAAATGGTAGAAGATTCCTTCTTTGAAGATCTGATTTTATTGATAATGGAACTTCGTTGGGTGGTCATAATTAGGACATATCTTTTATGCCGCAGAATTTTAAAACAGCTTACCATTCTAATTCATAAATGTAACCTAGTTTAGATTCATTTTTTAGTTTTGGATATATAAGTTTGTAACCAGACAAATTCACAAAATTATCAAGGCATGAGCTCCACAAACAATTCAGGTTCCTCCAAACATACCAGTGAATTGTCTGAACACATTGCAACAGCTTGTTTATTCCCAGCAGGCATAACCTTCATTTATTTCTTTTTCTGCCTCATCAGCTGGCATCAGGGCTCAATAAATGACAAATAAAAGGTCTAAAACTGTTTTATTCCATGTGCTCAGGTGAGGGAAAGCTTCACATTAATCATCAAGAGAGCCCTTGGTTCATTATAGAGGAATTGTGTTAGTAATATAAAAGTGAACAAACAAAAAGAGGAAACGAATCAGATGATTAAGTGCTGCAATCCTGTCCCTACCCTCATTAGAAATGACAGAAATAACTGCATCTTTCTAAGATGGAGATCTTTTACTAATCATCATGGTTAATAAAGGGGACAGTTTAGTGATTAATCCCATTAATCAGTATAACAATGGAGATTTTCCTGCTTTTATATAAAGTTTAAAGTTAAAATAATAGTTAATAGTTATTCATTCACAAATTCATCATGAATTTTATGTGATAGACCAACATTAAGTTATGCATTATAAAATAATATATGGTTTTAAAAATGTTTTATACATTTAAGTCCTAGGAGAATCCTATAAGTCCTAAAGGAAATTAAGTTAGACCAAACAATTTCTTTATCTTCTGATTGTTATATTTTTTTGTAATTGCAGGTCAGCGGTTAAAGAATCACTGCACTACATCTCCAGATGACAGAGACTGTGAATTGTGTGAACGTGGTATTTCCTATAACAGTGAGCCCAACTCTAAGGAGTCTTGTGAACCCTGCACATCCTGTTCTCATGAAAACGGTAAGAAACATTGCAGGACTTAGACTTAGACAGATTTATTGTGATTTTGTACACGCAGAGTTTATAGCTGTTCCTTTTCTACCCCCATTTAATGCTTGCAGGGGGACTGGTCCCACATCTTGATGTGTGGGCACACATCAAGATATCAGATTCAAATGTAAAAGGGCTTACTCGCTTTTGTTTTGATTAAGTTTCAAAGTCGTATTTGTTTGCAAATAGATCACAAACCATAATATAGTAAAAGCAAAACAGGTTCATGTTAAGAACCATTGAGCCAAATAACTAATCTGTTATGTCAAAAATGCATAATTGAGACTGAGAGAATTTGTGTTGTCTGTTGTTTGACAGACTCTTTTAAGGTCATTATCAGTCTAGCTTTGAATTTACTGTTTGCTTGTTTTTCAGCAGAAAGACATAACTGCCCTGCAGTCTCATATCTATTTATGTTTCCTCATTTATGCTGAAATGTATTAGCAGCTATGCAATTTGCACTTTTTGCACACTGTAATTGCTGAATTATTTGTCATATACTAAATGTGATAAAGTCCAACCAGATGATTTTAAGGAAGAATTGAGGTAAAGCGAATAAATATGTTAAAACAAAAGAATTAAAGCCTATTTCCAGGGTTTTTGTGTGCTAATTAGAACTTTTTTCTTGGTCTTTTAGCTAACTTAGAAGTAGATGAATCTTGCACCCCTTATAAAGATACAAAGTGCAAGTGTAAGGCCAACCACTACTGCAGCAGTGAAACCTGCAAAATCTGCCAACCATGTGACAAGTAAGTTTGCCTCATTCAGATCTTTGTATTCAGCCATTTTTAAAACATGTTTTTATTACACTTCCTGTTAGATCACTCTATATTTGTTAGGTTTTGCTTGAATTTTTTATGAACTGGCTAAATCTCTCCTCTCTTCTCTTCCTGAATATGATTTAAAAGAAAACAAAATAATGAGGATTTTGGTAAACTGGAAAAAAATAACCTCTGGATCATACAGCTAACATACAGAAACCACTCACATTGAATCATTTATTTGTAGCTGTTATGTATAATTATAATGATGATAATACATTTTATTTTTAAATTATATTTAACGACTTTTGAAGATGCTACGGAGTAATAAAGTTTAAAAGCAACAAAGGCAAGCAGTCAGAAAATACCATGCATTAAAGAGGATTTAAAAAAAGTGGGTCAAGATTTAAAAGTGAGTAGATCAACAGTAATGGATGGGTTATATTAGAGCTTGTTAATTAACATGATGGAGACACCGATAAACAAATTCAAATTACATGTAAAAAGGACTATGCTTAACACAGCAACAGGTGAATCCTAACATATTTAGCAATCTTCGACAAAGCTATTAATATTTAATTTTAGAATTGTCATAAGGACATAGAACATCCTAAAGATAACATCTTTTATTAGTTTGGAAAATTACCAATTTAAATTACCAAAGCAGCAGCACCAGCCTAATGTACTAATGTCACTGTGGTATATAAAAATGGTGATATAATACAATAGCTTGTGTCAAAAGCAGCAAAAATACAATCATGTGACCCAAACAGCCTTTAATCAACAACTATGTGTTCAAATTTTCTGATAACAGAGCTATTCTCTGCCTTATTTCAGGCACATCAGACCTAATTGGTTACAGACAGCAGATTTAAACCTTTCTGACTCTTAATGTCCAAAAAACACAAAAAATAATCTTTGACCCGAGGGCAGTTTCATGCATAATCAGTTAATTGCCCAAAGGTAAATATCTTGGATTAAAAATCAACAACAAATTATCATGGATTGCTCCAGTCGATTATGTCTGCAACAGGGTTCAGCAGCGGCTACATTTTCTGCGCAGGCTGAGGGCCTTTTTTATGTGAGTCAGAAAGTCATGCTGGTCTTTTACTGTGCTGTTATAGAGAGCATCATTAGGTATGGCTTTTCTGCCTGGTTTTTAACCAGTGTCCAAATGAAGGCCAAACTTACTTGCCTGACTCAAAGAGAAATGAAGTTGATGGGAGTCAAGCAGCACCCCTCACTTCACACCATCTTCAATGAAACAATAACCCAGAAAATCATCTCAGATCCCTCTCATAGTCTTTATTCAGAGTATCAGCTTCTTTCTTCAGGTCGACGTCTTAGAGCCCCTGCCTGTAGATTGAACTGCTATAAGAACTAATTTGTTCAGCTTTCCATTAAGGCAATAAACGGTATCAAGAATAGGCAATGGTATTAAAAAAAAATGTTTTTCTTTCAATTTTTTTATTTTGAATGTAATGTATAACAGTGTTTTTATGTGTGACTGCAGTGTAACACACAGTTTTAACTATGTAGCAGCCAGTGTCTGCTTCTTTTGGGACAATAAAGTTAATCTTATCTTATCTTAATCAGAGGCAGGTTGACTTTCGCTTAATTTTTCAGAAGTTGCAATACCTCTCCAGGAGTCTCTGTCAGCTCGCGCTGGAGCAACGTGTCTGTTCTATTTAGCAGCGTAGAGGCCAAAACACATTCAGAGTCAGATGCAAATCAAATTAGACTTTACTCTGGCATGGTCATTTTCAACACACACAGTGTTAAAGATATGTGGGATATTCTCAAACTAGGTAAATCTTAAATAAACAGTCTCTGATTCCAGGGTATCAGATTAAGAACTCCAAAAAGCTTAAAAAAAAATGTCCAAAATGTGCATCAAAGTGCAGCCGCCCTATATTAACTAAATTTACTGAAAAGCTGCATGCATTCCCACGGTTACTGGACTAACCTACCGTAAGGATAATAATTCTTTTCATTTTATTACATGTTCGATTTTTGATTTGTTGACTTTTATGGGTGAAAATCTATTGACAAACAGTGCAGAAGGTGGGGGGAGGCGCAACATGGCACCCCTCACTGTAATATACAAGCTATGAAAAAGCAGTTTCTCTTTTATGTCATCAAATGGAACCATTATCCCAGCTGTCAGGCCTTTAGTTCATTAAGAAATGTCTGCATATGTTCACAGTTATTTGGATTTATTGGGCTGTCTAGATAACATGGCTCCTCTACAATCTTCTGCAATGTGTCAACGTGTTGATGCAGACACACGCTGAGTCAGGTGCAGGTGTGTCGGATAGTACAACCATCTGCTGAACAATCTTTATTACACTTTTTAATACATGTTTTAGTAATTTTACAGCCCCATTTGAAAGGTGTGTGGATGAAATACCACGTGACTCTGTTTCAGCCATTCCTGTAAATTAACATGATGATTAGCATGAGGGGTCAGATGGTCCCGGGCCCGTCGGGCTCAAGAGGTGAAATGTTTTATGTTTTGCTTTTTTTTTTTTTTTTTGGTTTCCTTTTCAGATGGAATTCCCCCCCCCCCCCCCCCCCCCCCCCCCCCCCTTAAAGATACTCGATCTGCTCATGTTTGATTGTATACATTAGAGAAAATTTTTATTTAATTTCTTTTTTTTTTAAGATGTGACGCTACCGGTGTGAAAGAGCCTTGCACAGCCACCAGCAATGCAGTTTGTAACGAGTCAAAAAGTAAGCTGTTGTTGAACTTTATTTGGTAATAAATTCATTGAAATGTCTTTGGAAAATGTATTAGATTTATTTTTATGAACAAAAATACTATAAAAGTGTTTCAAGAAAACTCATTGTCATGTTTTTTTTTTTTTTTTTTTTAAGGTTTAGGAGGTGGAGAAATTGCTGGCATTATAATTGCAGTTTTGGTCCTTCTTGTTCTTGTGGCGGGAGCAGTGTACATAAAGAGACAGACAATAATGAGTAAGCACCATCCTCTGGCTTAATTTGATTTGGATTTCAGAAAAGCAATCATACAGAATAACTTTATCCAGTATTTATGTAACAATAACAATATATTTTTGTACTACTTCTAAAGAGCGACTAAGACCAAATTCAGACTCATCAACCCCCTCTAACCACGTGGTAAGTTAATCTACATGATTGATTTTATGTTTCACGATCTTCAGTCTCTGTTGCATGTTTTCCAGTTTCCCACTAAAAAACACCTGGTGTTAAACATTTGTTTGTCTCCTCTGTAATTTTTAATCAAGCTGCTCCTTTATGTGGGAGGGACAGGTTGGTTTTACTTAAACCGTGTTTGTGTGACAGTTTTATTGAAGAGCAAATGACTTCTTTCTACTTGTCGGAACTAAAAAACAAGAAACTAACATGGTGTGTTTTTGTGCTTTACAGGATGTCCCACTCCTTAAAGGTAAGACTGTTTCTGTCTCTGCAAGATCAATAAAAATTAAATGTGCATTTTCATGGGTTGCCCTTATTCATATATATTTTCTTCCTTTCTTGTCAGTGAACATGGAGCCTCACCTACAAGATTTTGCAGAAATACTGGGATGGAAGGACATGAAGCTAGTAGCACGGAAGTGTGATATGGGGACTGCAATTGAAAATTTAGAGGAAAGCCACCCCAAAGATATTGAGGATAGGACCATAGAACTACTAAAGAAATGGATTGAGAGGACCGGCAGTAATGCCTCAGTGGAGCTGATAAAGGTGCTTCGTAGGAATGGCAAAAATAACAAAGCAGATAAGATTCAACAGAAATTGAAAGAAATTAACAGTTCTTCACAAAGTAATTCTGCCTAACTGGGTCTAAATCTTTTTAAATGTGTGTCTCATTGATGGAATATAATGTCTTGATTTTGCACACTCTGAACCATCTACATGATGAACAACTATTCTTTCAAAGACATTTGAGTTTGGAGTGTGCCTTTTTTTTTTATCTTTATATGAACTTTAAAAAAACACCAAAGAGTTTTTGAAAAGTGAAAGAAACCATTAAGTATGTTTTCACCTTTTCTTTGTGGTCGGTTCTCTTTACGCTCCGTTACACGTGTTAAAGTCGGGAATCCTCAAAGGCGTTCTCTCTGCAAGGACTGATCTGAAAAGAAGAGCCAGATGCAGAAGCATCTGAAAAGGTCAAAAAAATGTAAAGCAACTCAGTTTAATAGGTTATTCCATCCCATTAATTTAAGCTGAGTTAGAGGCTGTAGTTTTATTATGTTTTTAAATTACCATATATAAACTAGATGTGATGTCCTGTTTTCTGTTATGTATGTAATGCATGTCCCTTTTTAGTTTGTAGATTTAACGGGTATATAGATTTTCTCAGGAATAAAGTTGCTGAAATTTACCAATCTACCTAAATAATGAGCAAAACAATAAACTCAAGTGGCGATCGGCTTTAATTGGTAAATAAGCTTGTTAAAACAAATTGAATAAATGAATGTGATTCTGTGACATATTGTAATTTTACACAGTAAATGAATTGAATGGAATAGCACATTAAATCCCCCTGGGAAGGTAAAAGAAAATCAAATGTGAGTTGATGTTAACACTGCCTCTTAATTTCTCTTTGTAAATGAAGCGATGCAGAGGGTTTGCTTCTTGACGGCTCTAGGAGAAAAACTAACGACAGATCTGTTAGTAAACAGTTTTAAACAAAAATTTTGTCTTTTTATTCTAAACTTTCACGGACTGATTTTTGTATGGATTGGAATCTCACATGCCACTTGAATACGACTCATTTTATTTTGAAATGCCTGAAACAACACATCTGTTGCTGTAGAAATGGCCATTTAAACAAAAAAACACTGCTTCCTATGTGAGAATACTAAAGGAAAGAATGTAATGATAAAGGAATGGTAAATATGTTGCAAAATTTTATTTTTCAAACAATATATTGTATATTTTTTTCATACATAATTCACATTCCTAATAAATATTTTCAATCTGCGTGGACTTCCTAAATTAAATGTCTTTATTTTTCCTAAAGGTGCAGTAAAAAAAAAGGTAATTCTATTTAATGATTTTGGTAATGAATAAAAGAGAAGTGAAATAATGTGCATTTTTGCAAAATCCTATATGCTGTGTTTGATTAGTTCACATAATATGTATGTGTCATTAATTCTACTTCAACAAGAAGCACACAGATGTGATCCTGGATCAGCAAAGTCTTGTGTTTTGCTTTCAGTTTGTGTTTTTTACTTCTTTTTCCATACTTACTCTCACATAAACGATGAATGTTGGACATCTCTTACCCGAGGAGGAAGCAGAATGGTCGAGGTGCTAGTTTCTTCCTGATGTCTGGCTGTTTTTTTTTACAGAAGGAAGGGGTGTGTTTTGAGGCGTTGCCTTGACCTAACACTAGAAATCTGCCTTAATTTGTCGGCAATGTGTTGAATTAATCTGAAAGCCTACAAATCTGAACTAAGTATATGTTTATATAAGCTTTTGATTGCAAAAAAGTAATCAAAAGAATCTCACTTTGAAGCCATTTGGCATGAAATAACAAAATTTGATTGTACTGACTGATCTAAATCTGGAATAGGGCAGTCCAATTTGATTCCTGAGAAAGAGGAAATTATTGTGTTTTGCAAATATCTGCTTTCAGCTGTAGTTTTGGGAGAAAAAGCCTCCTTCCCCTTGGCAGTCTGGAAGATTGTAAACCATGGTGACAGGATAAGGCATCTCTGCATACGTTAATGGGGACATAATTGCCTCAACCTTTTTTTGTTGCACCCTTAGACCCCATGTGTTTTCCCTTGTTTCAGGAAAATTATTCAACCATGGAACTGTGTCCACATGTATTAAATGTTTGTGTGATTGTCTCAGGTAAAGAATGTGTTCAGATGCCTTTTGGTACGCAGGTGTATTCTGTTCAACAAGTCTGTCCAGTCTGAGGTGTTTCTACTTCACAGCCGCCACCCTGCTCTCTTGATGCACACACTGTTTAGGCATTTAGGCGTTTCTCCTATTCATTTTCACTAAAGATAAAATTAGTGTTTGTTCAACATGCCACAAAGTGGTCCAACCAACCCTCTGCACCCAGTCTCTTTTTCATCTCATGCCATTAGTCATCTGCTATTTGTTCTACGAAGGCTGAAAGGGAATGATTAGATCATCTTTTCTTCCCAACTTTTATTGTCATTACACTGTCATAAGTACAGAGCAACGAAAGGAAGTCTCTGCATTTAACCCACCCCATTAGAGAGCAGTGGGCTGCCATTGTGCAGCGCCCAGGGAGCAGTGTGGGGTTAAGGGTCTGGGATCCAAAGTGGAAGTCGGTGGGAGTGGGGCTCAAACTCAGACCCTCAGAATTTCCAACCTCTATGCCTTAATCACTTGGCGGCCAATAGTCTCTAACAGCTCTGCTGACCACCAAAGCAGACAAAAATCCACCAAGAAGATTATTCATCAATCCAGGAGATGATTGAGGCATCCATTTGTGTCTTTTTGAGTTTCTGACATGTTGAATTAAGGAGGCCTTGTGAGGATACAAAGTGTACTATTTTCAATGCTAGAGAGCACCCTTGTGGTTTACCAAAAGTACTACAGTACTACAACAAAAGAAACTGAAGTTATCCCTTTGTCATTCCAAAAACGTTAAAAAACAATCCGCTGGACTTTGTTTCAAAGTTTGAAGATGTTTCGCTTTCAATCCAGGAAGCTTTATCAATTCAAAATGTCAGAAATGGCGTTTAGTTCAAGGCTTTATAGAGTGGATCAAAGCAAAGCCTTGTTTTGGCTTAGAAACATGCAAATTGAACCTGACGAGCGGGTCCACCCCTTTGGATGGGGGTTGTTTTGTTTCTTAGTTAGCCTGTAATACCTGAAACCTGTCTATGTCTCTGAAAGGGGGGTTGTTAAAGGGAATTCTTGGCCTGGCTGAAGAGGTGGGATGCTCTGGTCCCCTGTAATTAGGTGGGGGTTGCAATGATGGTTGGAAGGAATCAACTCAATAGCTGAATTCTAGGTTTTGAAAGCTGAAATCTGAGTCCAACCCCTCTGTTTAAGGTTGTTTTTTCCTTCTTAACATAGATGGCTTCCTTCACGAACCCTCTCAAACCACCTATCCTCTCTGTCCAAAATGTTTACATTCTGGTCCTCCAAAGGATGTCCTCTGTCCATAAGGTTTAGCTGTACTGCAGAGTCTTGTCCCGAGGAGGTCGCTCTTCTGTGTTGGGCTATACGTCAGTGGAGAGGTTTGGTTTCTCCAATCTAAAGATCAGAGCATTGCTCACTGCATTGAACTGCTTACACCACACCACTCATATTTGGTCTGTCCCATCCTCACCATCTTCTACAGAAGCACCAGAGCGTTCTGACCAGCTTTCTGACTGTGTGGTGTGGAGGCTGCAGGGCCTCAAACTGGAGGTGAGAAGTGTGGTGAGAACAGCAGAGAGGATCATCGGGGCTCCTCTTCCCTCCTTTAAAGACATTTCATCCCAGCGTTGCGTGTCCCGAGCACGTATCATTATAAATGACCCCTCACACCCCCACCATGGGCTGTTCTCCTTGAAGCATCAGATGCAGGTCCAGCAGATCCCAGAACAGTTTCTTCCGTACTGCTATTAGACTGCTGAATGTTACATAAAATGAGTTATAAAAAAAAAAATAAATAAACCTGAATGTTGGAACTATAACTATATAGTCATATGTTTACATCACTTTTTTTTCACCACAGTGTTTTTTTCATCACAATGTTTTATCACTGCTGCTTACATTTATCAAGGCTTTAAAAAATGAAAAGTCTGTTTTAGTAGGAAAATGCTCTGCATGGTGTTGTAAGCTTGTTCCTTACATGCTTCCTGGATGGGAAGCGAAACATCTTCAGACTTTCAAACTTGGAAACAAAGTCCAGTGGACTTTATATTTTTTTTTTTTTTTTACTTTTTTGGAATGACTATGACCTGGATTACAGAGAATCTTCACCAGCAGATTGCATTGCCTTTATTGTCCCTCAATGGGGAAATTCTGGTGTTTACAGCAGCAAAAAGATAAAAAAAAAAATGATTACACAAATGTGGACCTTAGAAAAGTGTATAAGAATAACATAACAGTAAAGAGTAAAAAAAAACAAAAAAAAAAACACTATACTGTAAAGTGTTTTAACAACAAAAACACTGTGCATCTGGAGAATAAAGTTTGCAATCATCAAATTTACATTGGATATTTAATCTGGCATGAATCAGAATTACAGTAATATTTTTGGATCTTGTTTTGATAAATATAAGTATGAAAATATCAAGGAAATAACTTTGAGGCATTTTTTTTTTTAAATAATACAGTTGCACACCGTTACAGAGCAAGATGGGGACGGAAACGGTAATGTCACAGTTCATGGGGCCCTGCTTTGGTGAGGAAAGCAGGGCGGGCTGTTAACATGGGTGGAGCTCCAGCCTGTCAGGAAATGTAGAGAAGAGGAGGCTGAGGGAACTAACCCCGAAATGTTCGCGTGGAGGTTGCTGCTTTTACCACGTGAACTTTTCAGCCCGGTCTTCTACCTAAAGAACACTCAGGTAAGCTCAACTAATCTGCGTCAACCAAACTCTAAAAAGTTTACTTCCGCTGAAATGTTAGTTTTAGGATGCTGAGACATGCTGTCCACATTATGTAAGACGTTTCCCCGGGAGTATTGCAGTTCTTTTAAACTATTTTTTACATTTTTCGGAAGCACAAAGGCTAATTTCTTAACAGGCTGCAGGGTGACTAATTTATTCTGAGGAAATGTTTGCCTTGCCGCCATAATTCAGCTTTTTATTTAGTTGCCATGGCAACATTGGCGGGGTCACCAGCTGCCGTCACTACGTCACTCATTGCAATACACGCTACCGTTACGCCTTTTAGGGGAAAAACGTGTTGTTTTTCCGTAATTTATAAGATGCTAAAGAATAGCTGATATTTTATTGAAGTTAATTGTATTCTTTTTTTAAAAGGTACAGCTACTTGTAAATAAAGAAAAATATCAAAAATGGTTTATTAATCTCAGCAATAAATGAAAATTCATTACAAATAATTTTGTTTTACAGCAAATAAAAACGCCAAAAAACAATTGATTTAAACAAAAAATAAATATTGTTTATAGCACAACTCCTTATTATCTATTTAGTTTAGGATCTTTATGCACAGAGGTGGAAAGCTACAAAGTACAAATACTTAGTTACTGTACTTAAGTACACTTTTTAGGTATCTATACTTTACTCCATTACTTATTTCTCTTCCTACTTCTACTCATTACATTTTCTCACAAGTATCTGTAATTTCTATTCCTTACATTTTTAAAAACAAATGTTAATCGTTACTCTTGGCTTAATATTTAATGTTTATAAATATTTATTTCACCTCATGTGCACCATCCAATGCAGATCATTGGCTCCATCCACATCTAGTGAAAACTAGTGTAATTGGATGAGTCATATAATGCAAACACTCATTAGTTAGCTAAAGGAAATCATCAGAAGCAAGCAGGTGTTCTTCAAACTGCAAACCCCAATTGTCTATGCCAGGGGTCTTCAACTTTTTACAGGGCAAGGACCCCCAGACTGATGGCGAGGTGGAGCGAGGACCCCCTAATATATTGTATGAAATTGTGTTATATCAAACTGGTCCTATAATCACTCTATTACAGACGTAGTCATGTAACAAAAGTATTTCTGATTCTGATTCCTCATTGATGGGACAGGTGTTGTCAATGAAACGGTGTCCAGCTTGAAAGATCACCTGTGTGTCGCTGAATGTGTGCATTGATGACTGAAAGAGATCTTTTGCCTCAATACAGTGTGTTGAATTTATGTTAATGTGTATTTAAAAGAAATTTCCTTTAGTGGAAAAAAGTAGAGGGAATATAAAAAAAAAAAAAAAAGTCTGATGTTTTTTTTAAAGGTTACTTTATACTTTTATACTTTAAGTAGTTTTTGGAGCACATACTTTTTTACCTTTACTTGAGTAAAGAGGTAAAGTTGATACTTCAACTTATCAGAGTGTTTTTAAAATGAAGTAGCTATACTTCTACTTAAGTAAAAAATGTGTGTACTTTTGACACCACTGTTTATGCATGATTTCTAAAATAGCTGGAGGTATTACATCAGTGGCTATGAGGGCCTGCAACTCATTTGCATTGCTTGCTTTGATGCTCTCATGTTCCATTTGACAATAATACACATATTGGTATGGGGTTGATATTAAATGAGTTTATGGATTATTCATATGGACTCCATGGTTATTAACCAGATCCTTGAAAAGGTAAATCCCAGTCATCATAAAGCTCATTAGCACATGGAGCATAATTAGCTTTGTAAAACATACACACTCTTGCCTTTTCTATTTATATAACCAACTTTCTAATGCATTATTAGAATGTTTTGAGAGAACAGGGTGATGGTTCTAATCAGTGAAATCAAAAGGATTTAGCACTTGAAATATGACCATAATTAATCCATGCATTAATACTTCTTAAACTGGTTTACTGAAATAATATTCAAATTTTCTGAAATACACCTGTATATTACAAATTTCACTAAAAGCATGGTCTTTGATGTACATAAACTATAAGTCAAATATGCATAATATTTTCTATTGTGGTACTTATTGGCAGTGACAGTGGCATCAGATGCAGCAGTTTGCCCTCTAGCTGGAAGGTTGTCGGTTCAAGGCTTTCAGTGTGGTTGTGTCCTGGGGCAAGACACTTCACTTGCATTGTTTACTGATGGTGGTCGGAGGGACCGGTGTCCCCAGTGTACGGCACCCTCGCTTCTCACAGTGAGCCCCAGGGCAGCTGTGGCTACAATGTAGCTCGCCACCATCAGTGTGTGTGAATGGGTGAATGTAGTGTAAAGCACTTAAGTCTTCTGACTAGACCAAAGCACTATATAAGTACAGGCCATTTACCATTTCACTTATTTTACCATCTGTTTGTTGTGGAGTTTTTTTTTTTTTTTTTTTGTAGCACAATGTTTTCCTGTATTGGTGATAAAACATTTTCTGGTTTGGAAGCCTCAATATTCAATGGTGCTCGGAAGGACCACTGCTTTTTGAACAAAACCCATTTTGCAGGCTCAGCCTTATTCCCACAAAGATGTAATAATGTAAGAAAAAAACAACAATAAGCTCTTAACCAAATACAACAAAAATACAAACAGAAATTTACTTTCAGGCCACTGCCCTAGAAAGCATTGAGTTAAAAAAATGACACTTAACAATGTGATGTTTTCCATCCTTTGTTATGTCAAAAATACAAACCTCTATGCATTTTACTAGGACTTTATGTGTTGCACCAAGAAGTTGCATACCCATCTCACATTGCTTCCATCACAAAATGTGTCATTTACTCCTTAAAACTTATCAGACCTGAGCAGCTATGGACGATCCAAATTATTTTTAAACAGAACTTCCTGAAGTAGAGCTCCACCCATGGGTTCTTTTTTTAATTTAAGTGTTGGAAATCTTCCTGGTGAGTTAGTCATGGAAAAACCTCACTGGTTTCTGTTGATTTGCCTACCCCATTACCACTGCCATTTTAATAAAAAAAACTTGTGGTATTCATGTGAACGCATGAAACATCCACTTCCCTTTTCTGCAGCAACAAAGGAAATCTCAAGTTGACAGTTTTATCACTTTATGACACTATGCGGATGCAAGATTGAGCAACTCTTCTAGAATATACCTGCAGGGACTTGGCTTTCAGCTGTCAATGATTCAATTGCACCAAAGAGAAACTTCAACATATATTCTGCACTCATGTGACATATCTTAGCTAGCATTAGTTTATATTTGAAGCTTTGGGATGAAAATACAATAAGATGTATCCTCTCTCTCTGCGGAAGAAACAGAAATGAGTGAAAATAAACAAATTGGATCTGCACAATAGAAGAGTAAATACAGTTGTAAAGGGTTGACATTCTGCCAAAAGGCTCAATCTTTCAGCCTCTTGCAAAGTCTGATAGAGGAAGAACGCGCCACTCAGCACCAGAGGCTATATTCAGTTGTGCAGACCCTGCTTCCTGCAGTGGGTGGAGAGCTTTCTAGAAATAACTCCTTTTATAAATGAGTATTGTCTTACATTAGTGTGAACTAAAAGTACATTTTGTGTCTGTTTCAGGATGTGATCTACAGCTGGCTTGACGTCTGCTTGGTGCCTGAGCGTGCATATTAAATCATTCGTTCAAGATGCAGGGGGGCGTTGCACGTGTTTGCATGGTGATGGCTGCTGCCATACTCAACCATCCCTTTTTCTTTTCAAATGAAAACGCCACCCTGCCAGAGCAAGATGAGGATCTTTTGACTCGGATGCGGGAACACGAGGAGAGGCTGCAGATTGAGCGGGCCAGACTGGAAAAAGAGCTCAAGCAGCTGGACTCCAAGCTGGAAGAAACTTCCTTGAATGATGGTTTCTCTTGGTACTTTTGGAGCACTGTTTCTTTTGTTATTTTCATTGCCATCGAGTTGTGCAGAGTAGATCTAGTTGATGATGAGAATGATCCAGTTGAGGACGAAGATTTCTTATCTGAGAATGGATTCGCCCCACCTAGGACAATGGATAAGAAAGCCTTGAGGAATTTCTGCGACAAATGCACCTATACCTCAGCCCACGAAAACTGGAGGGTGAGGGAATTTGTGGAGGGTTTTGCTGACGACCTGCTTGAGTCACTCCGGAGCATGTGTGACAGAGAGGTGGACATGGAAGTGGGTGATTTCATTGGTATAGGAAGCATGTTTGAGTCTTGGAAGGTGTGCAAACCTCTGATGTGTGACCTTTTAGTGCCTTTCTCACCACCGGATCCCCACTCTTTCCAAATCCACCTATGGTGCAGCGCCTCCACCGATATCCCGCCAGACATGCCAGGTTGTGGCACTGTGAAGGTGACTATGCTTGGGGAGGATGCAGAGGGTTGCCTTTGTGGTTCTGCCGACATGGGAGAGGACATGCTTTGTCTGCTACATAATAGAAATAAGGGGGTCAAAGTGAACCGCAGCCCAGATGACCTGCTGTGCTCCAAGGGTACACATTTCCTAGCCAAAGACCGGGTCATGAGGTGGTTTCAGATGTCCGTCACCAAAGCTTGGGGGCGCATCTCCCACAAATATGATTTTGAAGTCACTTTTCGTAACCTGGATGCTGCTGGGGCTCTGAAGATCCGATTCCGCTCCGGAAAAGTTGTTGTACTGAACCTCATCCCAGTAGTTCAGCTGGAGGACACTGATGCTTATTTTGTCTCGCATTTTCCATCTCTTCGTGAGGATTTCCCAGACCCATACTGGTCTGTCTCTTTAGCTGTCTACGAGAGAAATCTGCTAAAATATTTTGCTAAGAGACTTCCACAAAATTCTTGCCACCTTCACTGCCTTCAGATTGCTACTTTCCTACACAGAAAACAGACAAGTCTCACAGGCGTTTCTGCTCTCACTAGCTACCACCTAAAGACTGCTTTGCTGCACATGCTGCTGAGCACCAAGAGCACAGCATGGGGCGCATGCAGTTTGGAGCAGAGGCTTCAGGATGTGTATGGCTTCTTGCAGCGGAGCTTGCAGGAAAAGAGACTCTACCACGCTCTGATTGGGAACAGCAAGGTACCCAAAGACATCCAGGTTCCTGAGAGATTCCGTAAAACAGAGCCCGTCAATCTGTTCAGGTCTCTGGTGCTGCACAGGGAGCTTTACTCAACGACTGTTAGACACTTTCAGGAAATGCTGAGGAACGCACCTGTTCTCATAGAAGAGTACACACCTCACGTATCAAATGGAAGTTTACACCACAGCCTGGATTGATGCGACTCGGAGCATCTGTTGCTCTCTGAATGACTGGTGTACACGGTCTAAGAACCATGAGGAAACACCCTTAAAAATTCCTGGTGTTTGAATCTCTGCTTTTTACTTGCAGTCCAGCCAAATATTCTTTATAACTCTGGCAGATTAAGACAGAACCTGTGCAGGGAGGCCTCTAAACCTCAAAGACCTGAGGTCATCCCTTAAAGGTGTAGTTGAGGTTTTTTGCAATTTTTTTAAAGAGACTAGCCCTCTCAACTTGAAAAAAAAAGCACATGCACAATCCTGTACCCGCTCCTGAGAAGGAATGCCCATTAAATGCGTGCGATAGCATGCGCAGCCATTTTTATATATATATATATATATATATATATATAGTGGGGACTTTATGGCAAACTCTGTTAACTATTTGGACAGATGATCACCACTTTCTGATCCCCGTTGGTCACGAAACTCCTCCTCCACTGCGCAGTGCCTGCGGCATCTTTGTTAGTCACCGCTGTCGGGTAGTGACAGCAAATCCATAATGCTTTGCGAGAAGAGCTCTCCGCGCAAAGCATTGCGGGATATATCTGCCTCTTCTAAAACCTTTCTTCTCATACATTTTATAGACACCTTTTCTCTTATGACCCTTGGCCATTTTCAAAGAACCATGATGAGAAAAGTGAGCTTCAATTGCTGTCTGCAACCGTCGCTCACCACAGATATGCGATAAAGTGCGCGTGCGAAGAAAAAGTTGGCTAATAGGACGAGCATCTAGGACGGCCTTACGTAAACATATCACCAGAATGATAGACATTTAGGAGGACCACTTATTTTGATGATCCACCCAGAAACAGAAAAGCCTCCACTACACCTTTAAGATTAACGATAGCTGATACAAGTCTAACCAGGCTAAAACCCGGTGAGCCATGTAATGGTTTGATTGATTTAATACCAAAGAGGTCTTTTAAGAAAATATATTTTTAATTAAAAGGGTTTTTCTACAGAGTTGAAAGTGCTTATACAATGTTTTTTTTGTGAGTAGGTGTGCCAGCTTAGATTCTTGTAAGAAACAGTTGATGGAATGAATGATTTTAGATCTTAATCTGCCAGGGGAACGAATGTTAGGAGATTGTTGGCCAATCAGCATCAGGTGCAGTTCACCCAGGGGGTTAGTGTTAATTAATAACCGGCAAGAGTGCAGGTCACTCTTAGCACCTTCATTTAGAAGTAGTAAGGGTTAATATTTAAATATATTTACAACAGTTGTGTCATCTTTTCTGAGATAAGTTTAGTGGTTTTGCAGTCACTGTAGTGTTATAATGGCAAACCAGCGTAACATACGTTGTTAAATATGTAGCTTACATAACTTTACAAGCTTTTTTCTCTCAAAACTCTTGTTAAGCAAAAGGCAGCTGATACTTTTCCATTTAAGGAACTGTTATTGTGATTACTCTTTTGAATTGATGTCTGATATATGCACGTTTCAATAAAACACAATCAGACACAAAACATATTTCAACCATTTTTGTTTTTAATTGAAATCAGAAACTCAAATTTCAAATTCATTTTTCTTAAAGATATAATTCCCTCCTAGAACAAACTACCTCTATCATATAAAGTGTAGAAAACATTGGATGGATGATATTTGATGGCAGATCTGACCTGAGGCCTGCAGATAAATGGACGGAAGAACAGCCTTTTATTTTAAAGGCCATAGTCATAGTCAGGTTTCCCTTCAGCAACACTCTTGTAAAAGGCTTTGTAGGTATCCATGCTGTACAGGGTGTTTTTAACAGCTGGGTCCTCTAGCATGCGCTCTACCCACTTCTTCAGCTCAGGTGTGTGGTCCAGGCAGCTGGAAAGACAACGGAATAAAATGATTCAGAGCACGTTTATCACAAACATCATTTTGGGTGGTCATGAATGCAATTAAAGCTGATCAATAATTGTTTTTTTGCCAAATAAACTGACTGTTAATGCAGTAATGTATAACTGATATTTTAACATTTTAGATGATTTATGGGCTTGAATTTACTTATTTCAAAACGAATGACCTAAAATTGGGGGTCTGAAGTATTGGTTCAAAGAAAATGTTCTGCATCCTTCACTTCTCACTGCTTTTTAACCATAAATGCTTTTGATTCCCTCTGTATTTGTACCGTTTCCTACGTATTTAATTACCTGAGGTATATCAACACCATGAATTAAAAAGATACGTCTAATACTGTCACATGAGTCTTACTCACTGCTTCAGCTCCAAGACCTCAATCCTCTCGAAGAAAGGCCACATCATGTAGTCAATCATTGTGATGCTGTCACCTTCAAAGAACTTGGTCTTTTTCTTCTCCAAGTGCTGAAATAAATAGTTATCAGTAATCTGTGGAGAACTATGTTTTTGCATAAAAATCCAAAACAGTATTAAATTATTCAACCCACCTCATTCAATTTAGAAAATTTCTCTTTCAGCTCAGCTTCTGGTCCAGAAACATCCTCTCCATTCCTTCTTGCTGCTGGGATCTTGTAGAAATAGGGTATTACCTACAGAATGCAACAGAATTTCTTTGGTTATTGAAAGTCATGATCATGAGGTAAAGATTTAAATTCAAGTTTTAAATGCTGTATACCTTTGAAAAATGCTCCAGCAGCATTCTTTGTTTGGCTTTTCCAAAAGGAGAGGATGGAAGGAGTTTCTTCTCAGGATACACTTCATCCAGGTAATCGCAGGTGATTGGAGACTCGTATATTATTTCACCAGCAGGTGTCTCCAGTGCAGGTACAAGACCGAGTGGATTCTTCTCTAGGAACCAGTCAGGTTTCTCTTTCAAGTGGATGTTGATTGTGTCATACCTAACAAGAGGGAAAGAAAAGCATTAGGATGATTAATTATGGAAAAATAAACTAATAATGGTATCTACAATAGCGTTTTTTTGTTTTTTTTTTACTTGATCCCTTTGGCGTTCAGCACCAATCTAGTTCTTTCAGCAAAAGGGCAGAATCTCATGCTGTAGAGACGTATCCGGTCTTTGGGAACAGGACCAGGTGCAGGGCTTCCTGAAATAAACGATTTTTAATGACAAAATTAAGACCAGTAATGACCCAAATGTACTCCTAATGTACAGAGGAAATTCAATCCTGTATTATTGACCATTTAAGTTTTTTCTTTGAAATTGAAATCATTTTTTAAACATTTCACTTCCAAAGCATAATTTTACAGCATTTGGAAAAAAAAAAAAAAAACTTTACTATTGAGATTATGAACAGCACATTTTCCCTCAACAGCTTAGCAAAAAAAAACAAGTAATAAAATGACATAACAGGGCTTTTTTACACTTAAAAAATAGCTTTTAGTTAAGAGTAACTTTTTTCACTTTGATTGGCTACTTTAATTTTTACAGCGATTCTAAAGTACTATTTGCTTCCAGTTTTCTAATTGTTGTTTAAAACAATTAAATTTTTAGAGACTGCCACAATTAAAATAAAATTCAGCTTTATCCATTTTTTCTCACTTAACTATGGGGTTAAATAAGAAAAAAATCATATAAAGATATCACGAAGAACTAACAAATATCAAATGTTTAAAAACATGATTTAATGTCAAGCTTTAAAGTTTTAGTCTGCTGTAAAAAACAGCAAAATTATAGTTTTTAAGGCTCTTAATCCCTTAAAATTTGAAATAATATAATTTTTACTGAGAAAATTAAGAAGTTTTCAATGATTCTTATTAAAAATCCCTCAATGTTTCCCACCAGAGGCAGAATAAGGATGGGATCGTTGTGTAACAGAGGCGTAGCCAGAACATTTTTATAAGGTGTGGCCAGGCAATAACTAATGTGGGCTGAGGGGTGGCTGAAAGTGGATTGGCAGCAGAACCTCACAGTCAATCTACACTGTTCCAGCAGGAAAACAAACAAGCGCAACGCCCATATTTTCAAAATAAAGACTTACTATACTTTCCTACAGCCTTTTTACTTACTTTTATCAATAATCATTTGGCATAAAATTGATATTTAGATGTACTAATATCTACATTAATTTATTATTTTTAAGTTTTTATTGAAATACTTATCTATAATTCACTGAAGACACTGATGACTTGCAGAGACACACCATTTTCTCTTTACCCAATATAACTAAAAATCTATTTCTGAAAAAGACCACGGATTCTATATGTATCATCTTTATTGTTAGTATATTGATGAGCATAATTAACCAGTGTTTTTGTTGTCAAGTAATTGGTAATATATGAAAATGTTTTGAATATTCCACTTGAGAGCATTACTGCTGCCACAGTCTGTATTAGAGGGAAAAAATGGTAGGGGTGGCCAATGATTGGTTAAGGGTGGCCATGGCCACCCCTGGCCCACCATCTAGCTCCGCCCCTGTTGAGTAATGATTTGTTTATGAGCAGGACCGAGTTCACGCAACAGAAACCACAATGACTTTGCAAATTGACTCCCATTATCATATCTGCAACACAATGTCTTATAACAATAATTATCTTAAATAATGAAACGCGTTGTTGCAGGAGAGAAAGCTGGCTGATCATACGCGGAAATGGAAGAAATGGTTAAGTGTAATGCAGCAGTTGTGGTTCAGCGAGCAAAAAGAAAACCGTTCCCTACCTTTGGCGAAACATTTTTCAGTAGACATGGTTGCAATGAAGACGGATAATGACCGTGATTAGCCAGAAATGTCTGCACGCGCTGAACGCACAAACTTATTTAATTTGTACAAAGCTTCCGGTCTGGGTGCGTCACTAACGCCGCAACCAATAGCGTTAATAAGGGGGAGGATACCACAGTATGACCCAGTAGTGACTCGGCGGAAAAATAACTAAATCTTAAACTAATATGAAGTTTGTTAAAAGATTAAAAAGAATATTTTTTTCTGTTACAAAACCTTAAAATAAATTATTTAATTTAGTTTTTTTTTATATACATATATTTTAGGTGTGTTCTGTAATATGTCAAATGTTTTCGCATTTATTTGTCTTCCTTTTCTTTGTCTCTTAAGATTTACATTCTCACCAAACTTTAACAACAAATCTAAGGTGTAAATAAAAAATGAATTTCCAAAGCTCAATTTCAACACAATACAATTTTTGATTTAATCCCAATCCCATTTTAATGTTACCTTATTAAAAACAAGAAGCTGTCTACCACCCTCTTTATTATTAAGAAAAAAGCAGTTCCTTCTCCCTGTGACTAGACAAATTTGCATATATGCATCTATTTTGCAGTTTTTGTCTATACATAGAGATGATAATGATAAGATAGATTTTGTCCATTGTTTAGATAATAACTAAGGGAGTTACATGTTTTTTGTGTGTTTTTTTCTTTCTGCCAGTGCAGATTCACAATATGAAACTGCATCTAGTCTCTTGTTTTCCTCAGTCAAAAAGAATCCCCTCTATAATTAGCAGACACTGATGACTTCCCTGGGTTTCTATCCATTTTCATTGACAAACATCTCCTCTTCATCTTGAAGCTCATTCTCAGTTTCCCACATTGAAAAGGGAACTGAGTGTGCATGCCCTCAGTGAGATCTCTGTTAGCCTGCAATACCCAATGCAATAATTATGCCTATAATAGTAATCTACGGCTCTGAAAAGAGAGTCGTTAGGAGCATTGTTGGCCTGGGTGACCAGGCGAGATGTTTTGGTCCCCTGCATAGCGATAGGGTTAAGATGATAGTGGGAACTCAACGCTAAATCTGTCATGTTCTATTAAAAAAGCTTCCTGGATGGTAAGTGAAACGTCTTCAAACTCTAAAAACAAAGTCCAGTGGTTTGTTTTTTAACTTTAATAGACTGACTAGGACCTGTATGACTGAGAATCTTCACCAGCACTTGTAAAGAATACATCATTATTGTGACCCCTTGGGATTCTCTGCACATGTAAGGCTTGACATCTTTCATTCTTGTGAACCCCTCAAGTCTGGTTTTATACATAGCACGGCTGCCATAACTGTTCTCTAAAGAATAAATTAATTAATTTTTGGTGTAGATTAAGCAAAATATGACTTTTTTTTTTTAATAATTTCATTTTCAAAATTTGAAATATGAATTTTGTTTTGTAATTACTAACTGGTAACTTTTGTAAGCGCTATACAAATAACAGGTCTATAAATATAGTATTATATAACAAAAAACAGTGCAAAGGGAAAGCAGGACATATCAAAATACAGATAGGGAAAAAACCGATAATCCATTGGAATTCTAAGCAATTTCTAAATGATTGTTTGATCATAATTAAAAAACCAGTCCATGAAGCACACTGATATTTAATCATAAGTGATTGAAAAGCAACAAGTAGAAGCGGATGACAGGAAATCAAGAACCAGTGTTGATAGTTACGTATTAGAACGCTGTGTTGCTGATTGTTTCCCATAAGAAAGAAAAATGTGTCCCTTTAATTTGCATGGTAAGATTGACAACATTTTCCCTCAAGAGGACCATTGTATGTTTGAAAGATTTAATAAGCTACAAATAACCAAGACTTTTATTGCAGCCATTGTTTAGTTATATAGGCAGGGCCACCATGGGGTTTGTGTTTCTGAAATATTGCTTCACATTGTCTCACTGGTGAATGAGTCTTCACTGTTTTTCTACATTTTTTTGTTTTGAACAAAAGTTAAGAAGACCAAGTCATGTTTTTACAATGATTTTCACCATCTTTATTGGTGTAATGGTTACTGGGGAAAAGTCTTCTTGAAAGTTCTTGAACTGCCCTGAAGTAACTTGTTTTTCTGAATAAACTCCAGTGTTGTTTACATTCATTGTAATTAAGAACAAATCCTCAGCAGTTTAAGAATATGATCACAAAAATCAATCATAAAATGTTATTCAGTTAGGCATATTTAAGTAATATTGTGCTGGCAGTCTGGATTTACAGTGTTCAAAATGTAACATGGATCCTATGGTAGATATCGAGAGAGTGAATGTGAATGAAAAAAAAAACAAATCAGCAAGATATTTTTTATACAACACATTATGTTTTTTATTGGTTTATTTTTGACATTGATAGAGGTTACATACATCTAATAAGCATGTAAATGTCGAACAAACCCCACAGGTTACAAATTTGACTTATAAATGACCTGTAAATATAAAGTCTAATGGAGAGAGATAAAGAATAAACTGGCCACAAAGCAGAATTTGAAAACAAGTATACATCTATGGCTATGAGGCTTTAGCTAATTGTTTTCTATAGGCCATAGTCATAGTCTGGTTCACCATCCTGGAAGCTCTTGAAGAAAACTCTGTGATTATCTGTGCTGTGCATGGTGGCTTTGACAGCTTGGTCCTCCAGCATGTATTCAGTCCACTTCTTCAGCTCATGGGTGTGGTTCAAGCAGCTGCAAAATCAAAAAAGGCTGTTGAGTAACTTTGAGGAAAACACTTAATAACAACAAGTTTAATTCTATGCATCATACAGAAGATTCGCTGGGATGGATTTACATTTTGAAATAAAGATAAGCTTTTGAGTTACCTTATATATATTCTAAAAATAATGTGGTAATGTTGAGTTCTTGTGTTGTCTGACTTATAACTGACTTTAAATGTGCTCCCTGCTGGTTTAACTTATTCCCATTAAAATATCCAAACACTTCGTAACTGCTTATGCCAAAAACAACAACAACAACAAAAAAAACTAATTACACTAACCCTAATGACCAAGGAGAGTATTACTTACTGTTGCACCTCGAACATCTCAAGCCTCTCAAAGAACGGCCACATCATATAGTCGATTAAGGTTATGGTATCACCACCAAAGAACCTTGTCTTCTCTTTCACCAAGCGCTGCAAAAATATTAAGATTACACTTTATTGTGTCCTCAAAAATTGAAATATAAACAAATATGGCGTGAAGTTCAAGGGCATGAAGTCATATAAAGCTTCATATCAATTATACAACAGACGGCAAAATTAAGACTGCTTTTGAACATAACAGTATTAATATTGAGAACCTTTGAAGAGTACTTGGATATTTAAATTAATTAATGTTGTTGAAAATTATGCTCAAATATTGAAAAAACTTAACTGGAATAAATCCACAATTTCACAGCTAAGATATTTTAGAAAAATATAGTTATATTTGTCAAGGAAATTATAAAGAGTATTTAATAACAGCCCTGAATCTAGATAAAAAAAGAAATAACCATTCACCAGCTCACATTTTTCCCTCAGAAGATATTCCTACTTACGTTGTTTAGATCAGTAAACTTCTCTTTTAACTCAGCCTCTAATCCTGACACATCGTCACCCTTTCTTCTTGCTGATGTGATCTTGAAGAAATGCGGTATAATCTACAGAAGACAGTAATTTCTTTTTTTAATCACATAGTTAAAGTCAATGATTTAACTCTTTATATGGAATAAACACCACAGAATTAGCTGATGGGGCTTTTCATAACAAACCTTGGAGAAATGTTCCAGCATCATTCTTTGTTTGGCTTTTCCAAAAGGAGTGGCTGGAAGCAGCTTCTTCTCAGGGTATACTTCATCCAGGTACTCAGAGGTGATCATGGACTCAAACACCACTTCACCAGCAGGTGTCTCTATAACAGGCACCAGACCATATGGGTTCTTCTCGAGGAACCAGTCAGGTTTGTCTTTCAGGTTGATGTTGATGGTGTCAAACCTAAAACATTTACAAATATCATCAACACAAGGATTAACCATATTTCTGGTGTGGATATAAGGTTTCTTGAGTTTTTGTTTACTTGATCCCCTTGGCATGCAGCACCAATCTGGTTCTCTGGGCAAAAGGGCAGAATCTCATGCTGTAGAGACGCAGCCTGTCCTGTGGCACTGGACCAGGAGCAGGACTTCCTGAAATACATTAAAATAAATCCAATTATTATTTTTTTTATTTTAAATGAGAAAATGAGGTGTACTGATTTGCATACTGTACCATAGAACATGGTCATAATCATCATAAGAGCAAAACATTATCTAATAGTAAAATGAGCAAATACTGAGGAAAAGATAAAAAAAGAAAGCTTAACTGATTTGGGTGTTGTTGTAGCAAAGTTAAAGGAGCGGTAGTTTTTATTTTATTCTTCTGGCTTGCAATGGCTGTCTAAGATATGATGAAACCATTTATTGCATTCTTTACATGTCTGGGTCACAGGGTAGGAGGCCAAGACAGAAGCTTTTTTGCAAAGAGAAAAAGAAACATTCAACCCTGGCTGGATTAATAAAAATAACTTCACTAAAGTGTTTTATGATTCAACAAATCTATTCAAAAATTATTCAACGCTGTAGAAAAAAAATATATTTGTTGCAAAAAAAAAAATCTCTGTATCATCTCACATTCCACCATTAATGGTGCAAAGTTAGGAAATCTGTCCATGTGTTGCTTAAGACCTGTAGGGGCATGCAGTCTCTACTTCTTTTTAAACAGTAGGTCTTTTCACTCAGTCTGCTTGAAACCTGTTTACGTTCGCTCTCCCAGAGCTGTCTGACAGGACACATAATGGCAAGACGATGCATATTTCGCTTTCAAATTGAACACTAGCAGGTGAGGTGAGTTGTACTAAGCGAAATCAGTGGTGTCAGGCACTTTGGGGTGTTGAGGTTATTTATGAAATTTCATTTAGATTTTTGGTTTAAACATAAAATACAAACTAAACAGGACTTGGCTCTCAGATTGCAGTACATAATCCTTGCTGAAATGTGGTTTTAACCTAAACACTGGATATATTTGCACTTACATTTTCAAAAATAGAGAAGTTGCTCTTCTTGCTCCATTGCACAAGTCGCTAAACTACAAAAATTCCCCTCCCCCAAAATATTTTCCACAGTTAAGCAGGGTGGTGGCAGTATTGTGCTTTCGACCAATTCTATGACCATTCTTATAGTAGAAAACACAAAATTTGCACCTTACAAATTAATTAGAAATATTTGGCAAATCGAGGATTTCTTTTTTAATTTGTCGATTGTTTTTCTGTTTACAGTACCTCAAGTTATTTTATTGCATTTCATTAACTAAACCAAATGGAGAAGAAAAAATCTCTCAGTCCGTGCTCATTTGTTATTTTGTATTATAAAGCAGACAGAATAAAGGTTAGTTCATATATTCATTCATTGAATTCATTCATTCAATTATTTAACATCCCTTCTTTATGTGCTACTAACAGTAACCTGTCTAATAAACTTGAATTTTTTTTTCTGTTACTATTAAGCAAACATATGAATCTTCTTTATATCAATGTACAAAGTGCCATAACAAACAATAATAAAGCAGAGTCTCACCTTTAGCGAAGCACTTTTCTGAGGACATATTGTGATATAACCTGTTAACAATGGTTACTACCAGACAGTACAACGCACTGTTTTATTTGCCAAGTTCCCTCCGGGGAGGGTAGGTCAGCCAATTAGGTTAAAGGGTGTTTCTAGAAAGCCTATGGATAATAAAAGAAAAAAAAAAAAACAGAACAGCCCACTTTTCTTTGCACTCTTACACACACTCAGGAGGCTTATCTCTTTGTCAGCTCATTAATCACTCAGGTGTCCTTGACAAATCTAACTACGGGTTCAAACAAAGTCAGTAAAATACCATACAATGAAAAACATTAAGGCAGCAACCCATTCTACAAGAGAAGATAACAAATTGCAGCTATAATGCATTATTTTTTGTTAACTTAAATAATTAGAGCCAAAAAAATATTCTGAAATACATTTATTTTCCTGTAATATTCTAATTCATTCAGATTTACTTCAGGTTATCAAGAGAAGATTACAACAGCGAATACTGTATTTTAGGCAATCTCTTCTTAACACTTCAATTTAATGATATTGTTTTAAACTTTTTGTAAAAAATGTGCATTCACAATCAAATAACTGCTTAAGAGCAAGCTACCTGAAAGGAAGGTTTTGTCTTCCTAAAATGCATTGTCACTGGAAGTAGATAAAAGGTCACTATGACTCTGCACTTTGACCAAAACACACCCATATTCAGAGCAGCCCAGAAAACCGCTGACTCATACAGCATACACTGTGACTCAACATTTTGTCCTTAGATTGAATGATTGTTAATAAAGATAAAAATTCATGAGACACACCTGATCTGGAATTGACAGATGAAACATATATCTGTAAAGATGTTTTAATGATTAGATGATGTAGAACAGTGCATGGCTGTTTTCCTGAGAATAGAGTGGCCTTAATTTTGCACACTTGCAACACTTGACTACAAAATTAATTCAATAAAAAAAAAAAAAAAAAAAAAAAAAAAAAATGAAGGAATAAAATACAATAGAAAACAGTCCTGTCACATTCATTGGTATGAGCAGCAAAGTGACAGACAAAGGGAAGCTGAGTGATATGAGCTTTAATGGCCTCAATAATATAAACTATCATGGAACATGGAGCTAACACAGAATTTAATTTGTTATAGAAATATACGAGATTTATGATGCCCTCTTGGGTGTGATGTGATGCATCAAAGATTCCAGATTGAAGGAGGCGAGGGAATGCTCCATATAGACCAGGGAGATGATCACTGAAGGCCAGCAACTCAAGTCTCAGAACTGGGTTACACGGTATAAATCTGCACAGCAATCCTGGAAGGGGAAGAAAAGAGGTAAGATAACTTGCAATAAACACTACAAGTATAAGACAGAGCTGGAGCCATGGGGTCCATCTGATTACAGCGAATCAGTATGGATGCTTAAGCACTTTAACCATGATAAGCGCTATCCGAATAATGCTGGCAGTCAGGAAGAAGGTAGGAAAAGGAAGCTGGATGCTTCTTATTGACAGTGGGGCGACAGTGGCGTTGGATGTAGGCGTTTGCCCTGAAATCGGAGGGTTGACGGTTCAAGCCCCGACTCCGACTTTCAATGTCGTTGTGTCCTTGGGCAAGACACTTCACCTGCATTGTCTACTGATGGTGGTCAGAGGGCCTGGTGGCGCCAGTGTACGGCAGCCCCGCTTCTGTCAGTGAGCCCCAGGGCAGCTGTGGCTACAATGTAGCTTGCCACTATCAGTGTGTGAGTGTGTGTGTGAATGGGTGAATGAATGTAGTGTAAAGCGCCTTGGTCAAGTCTCCTAACTTGAATAAAGGCGCTATATAAGTACATGCCATTTACCATTCTTATCGATAGTTCTCCTGACATTCCTATCCCACAATCCTTTTCATGACAGGATGTATGGGCACATCTGAACATAGTTCAACAAAAACACATCTGTTCTTCACATGTACTTTATCCAAGACAAGAAAATGTACTCCTTCATATGTTTTGAGTTTTTTAACAGAGAGCTTCACCCGTTGATTTTTAGGCTTCCCTTTGCCTGTCAAATTAAATTAAACATGTATGTATGCGTGTGTGTCGGTGTGTACCTGTCTAGCCCTCAGAGTGAGGACCAATTTTTCTATTTCACCATCAGATTGAGGACCAGTTGTTACAAAGTGAGGAAAGCTATTTCGGTAATGGTTAGGTTTAGGGCTAAGGTGTCAAAGGGTTAGGGTTAGGGTGAGGGTGACATATGCATTGGTAATGGTTAGGTTTAGGGTTAGCTTTAGAGTTAGGGCATAGAAGGGTTGAAAATATAACAATAATAGCAGGTAGACTTAATGTGATGAAAACACATGTTTTATTTGTTTGTTTATTTTTCCAGGGAATGCATGCATGGACATTAAGTGATGGAAGTCCTTATTTGGGCTGCTGCTCCTCGCTTCCTGAGTTCTCAATCACAGTATGGTAGGCAAATATGTCATTTAAATTTATTCATAACCTCAGATGTGAGACACAGTCTATATAACTGAAGTTAAATGTTTTTTTTTTTTCAAGTTGTTTTTAAGAACTATTATTATTTGTGATTAGATGCAATGTTTTGTCTTTTTGTCATTTTGATTTAAGATCAAACACCATCCTTCATTGAGAGTTGGTTTTTAGGTTAAATCTGGTCGGTCCCTCATAGTCTTGATTTAGTCCAAAACTCATTGTTGAAAATCGGGCTGTTTGGTTGGTCTGATTCTGTCCCTCTTTAGTCCAAGAATAAACATTTTAACGTCTTTTCAACGGTCTGAAAATGTCAGGTCTGCCAACTTTTCACCAAACCTTGGAGTGAGATTTTGAAATAGTTTTGACAAGCAACCCTTGTCAGGGTTAGACTGAAACGCTATGAGGACAGGTGCAGCTATAGGTTGTAGGTTTTTTGAGGATTTAACTGAAACAAAGTGGAAAGATGTAGAATTTTAAAGCCCAACGAGGGACGGAACTAGATTGGGGGCCAGGGGTGGCCATGGCAACCCTCAGCCAATCATTGGCCACCACTACCATTTTTTTCCCACTAGCAGTAATACTCTCAAGTTGAATATTCAAAACATTTAAATTCTTCATATATTAACAAATACTTGACAACAAAAACACTGTGGTTAATAATGCACATCAATATACAAACATTAAAGGTGATAAGCACAGAATTCATGCTCTTTTCAGAACTAGATTTTGTACAGTATCATATGGGGTAAAGAGAAAATGATGTGTCTCTAAAAGGCATCTAGGAGTCTTTAGTGAAATCATAGATAAATAACAATTTTAATAAAAACTTAATAATCAATTTATGTATATATTAGTATCTGTAAATAACAATTTTATGCAGAATAATTGTTGATATAAGTAGGTAAGTAATGAAAAAGGAAGAGATGTTCGCTCCAGAACTCAAACCTGAAAGAATTTGATCCACTATACCTTTTATCTGGAAAGCACAAATGTTTAAATAAATGCGTCTTTTTGTTAGCAAAAGCTGTAGAAATGTATAGTTTGTCTTTATTTAGAAAATATGGATGTTGTGCTCATTAATCTCCCTGTTGCAATAGCTTAGATTGACCCTGAGGTTCTGGCACCTATCCACTTTTGGCCACCCCTCAGTGTACATTGGTTATTGCCTGGCCACCCTTATAAAAATGTTCTGGTTACGCCTCTGCTTCCAACCAATTTTTGCTCTGTGGGATTCTCTTTTCTGTGTTTTTTGTTTGTTTGTTTGTTTATTATGTTTTTTATTTCAGAAAATAGTTGTATTTTTGTCGATTTTATTTTATTTTTTTGTAAGTATATTGTTGCCATCAACCCAGCAAGAATGAACAGGTACTGATGAGTGATGGATGGAAGAATGGGGGGAACAATTTGTATTTTCCTTCATCTTTACAAATATGTGTCCCTTTGTGTTGGCCTATTAAATAACATCTCAAAAGAAATTTGAGTTTGTTGTTATAACATGTGATAAATCAGATGTGAGGACACAGATGCCTTTGTTGTGATTCTATAGTTAAATTCTATTCCCAGCCCGCTGGGAATTTATGTTTCTGATACTTTAAGATGTTTATTGCCCTCCCCTGTAGGGGTGGTAAAATATCTTATTTAATCAGATATTATTTCAGCTGTTATATACTGTTTATGACACACAGTCCTACTAACTGTGTGTTAGAACAATAGATGAAAGAGTGATTCGAGCACTAATCATGGTCAAACAGTTATTTCTGCACATACATGGAATAAATTCACCACAACTTCTGTTTAAAATATAAGATTTTATTAACAAAAATCATTCAGCTCCACGTCAAACATATTTCAGTTTAACACTCTCAACTAAGACTAGTAAAACTCAACTCAACTAAACTAACTACTATGTACAAAGAGGAAGGGGGAAACGGTTGAAAACCATATTACAGTTTAAGATGGATTCTGTGTTTGAAACCAAAGTTTATCTGGAAGAATTTGGAATGTGATCAAATTAGCTTTTCACTAATTTTAAAGAAATTGGAATGTTTTCAGACCAATTGACAATGCAAATCCATGAGGTGAATAAAACATTATTTGGCCAAATAATGGTTTATTAAATGATTTGCTTAATCAAGAACCAAAAACCTTTAGTTAAATGATTCTTTACCCTCTTTGAAATAGCTAGCAGCGAATAGACATCAGGATTCCACTAAATGACTCTTGGTCAGACTTGCTAATGGAAATGTAATGAGCATTTGAGAAACACATGAACACTAATGTTATATCAGTGTTTAAATCCTTAGTGAATAAAGCTTATCTAAGCTTTAGCAACAGCTCAACACATATTCCTGTAGCATAGCGTAGCATGCAGTCCATTCTTTAGCATCAATTAGCGTTGTCTTTACTGAGCAGTAAACACACGATATGATTAGCATCATCAAAACACACATTGCTCTTCCTGTCCCTAATCATGCCAGACCTGCAAACCTTTTTCCATGTCCGTTTGGAAAGCTTGAGTTTGATCCAGTTTTGCAGCTCTGCAGTCAGGGGTTCTTTGTCTCAGTCTCACAGCAGGGGTCCTCTCAGTCTCACACCAGGGCATGGTCTTCATCCAGTTTGGCTCTGTAAGTTCTGAAACTCAAGAGAAATGTGTTGCAAAGGTTCTGTTTGCAGCAGTTAGGTTCTGAAGAGTTCTGACTCATCCTTGATGGTTCTGGGGATCTGGTTTCCCTGGGGCCTGCATCTCCACTGTGGGCCACAGTGGGCCCCAGCTTTGAGAGCAGGAGCAGAAGCAGGCTGGATCAGACGAGGGAGAAAAAGAGAAAAAAAAGGCAAAAGAGCAAAAAGAGACAGAATTCATTGGTTTTCTCTGTCTTCACAGGGAGGGGGTAGGTTTTCACACCTCTGGTGGCTCCCATGTGACTTGCTGGTGGCTGCTTTTGCTGAAAAAGGGGGGGCTGCTGAAGTCCCCCAGCTGTTATTCACCAAAGCTGCGTTTTCTTCTCTGGTCATCCTATCAGGATGAAATATGGACACTGCTTCCCACTGTCCAAAAAGTATGATCATGGCATATGGCATAACAGTCCCCCTTTTTGATCTGGAAATAAAAGATGCAGTTCTTTGTTTTCAGATCAACAAATAAGTCCATAAAGCCATGATATCTGGAGCGGTGATGAGTCAGGTTCCTGTTGGCAGGAAGAAAGTTAATTTAGGGTTTGTATCTTCTCCAGTGTTTGTCCCTGGAGGATTTGTTGCAGGTCTGGCAGAAGCTGACCCTATCTTATTATAAAACAGTTCATTTTCTCCAGAGGTTTGCGTCTGGTTGAAGCAGGTCTGGCAGGAAAGTCTGACCCTGATACACAAATATATACATTCCAAACAAAATTTCCTAACACCTTCATGATGCTGTTGTTCAACCTTCATCATTTCTCAAGTTGTGAAACAAAAGAAAGAAAGGATAAAACAGGTTAAAGTATGTTAGAAATTATCAGCAACTATCATACTCTTGGATATGATAAGTTTTACCATTAGCTTGGAATTGTGGTACCTTGTGATTGGTCAGAGAAGCCAGTAGCTCTGTAAGAACTGTTTTGCAGATCTGTTCTAGGTTTTCTTTTGTGGTTGTTTCTGTAACTTGTTGATGTCCCCCTTTACCAGTGTAAACCTTTGGTTTTGCATTGTGATGTGAAGGCTTATGACCTTCATCTTGGTGAACCACTGGGGAACTGAATCTGTGTCTGTTTCTGGTCCTGTTCTTTGTTTGAAGGTTAAAGACTCTAAGCTTGCTTTGAAATCTATCTGATTTGAGACGTATTTCCCAAACAAGCTGAGCATATCTGCGAGTTTCCTGCATAGAAAGGTTTTCTATCCTGCAATGGATTGCTAAATCATATCGTACACTTTCATGTAGATTTTGGATGAACAGTGCTTTAAATGTGTGATCTTCTTCGTCAATATCTGGAGAACTGCAGCCCTCAAAATAAACCTGTCTCAAGCGAAAGTAATATTCTCTGGGTGTTTCATGTTCTCCTTGGAGAACTAAAGATGCCTCAAGCGTTGCTAACGCCGGATCTCTGTAACCAGAATATTCTTCTCTTAAGGTTTGACAAAGAGCTGAATAACTTTCTCTGATTTTTGGAGGAAGAGATTTTATGAAAACATGGACGCTTCTAGCTGTTGTTTTCCAAATCAGCTTCAATTTCTCACGAGAAGAAGGAAATGGCAAGTCTTTTAGACAGTGCTCAACTTCTTGCAGATAATCCATTATGTTGGAGTGTTGACTTTCTGGGTCAAAAATATCAATGTCTTTGGCCAAGGATTCAATTTGTTGAATTCTATGGTCACTCGGTGGACCTGGCCCGTCAGGAAGCTGGTTCTGCTCATTAAGTGATGGGGGTTTTTGAGCTAACCTTTGATGACACAAGGGAGACTGGTTCTCCTCAGGCCCCGTCCACACGAAGACGAACCCTGGCCTAAACGCACAAATTTTTCACCAAACCAGCCTCTCATCCACACGAAGCCGGCGTTTCGGGGGTCTGTAAACGATCATTTTTTTATTCACCCTTCAGAGTGGGAAGATTCTGAAACGCCGTTTTCGCGTTTCCATGTTTACACCCTAACCGCATTTTTTTTTTTACACGCATGCGTCATAGCGTCGCCTCTAAACACGCAAGCGCGACACATCACAACAACAATGGCGCCGTTGCTGCTAATGCTACTCACCCTGCTGTCGGGCTGGTCGGGCTTACAACAGAATCTTCTTCTTCTGGAATATCTCCAGGAAGAACAGAGCAATATCGACCACATAGTTCAGCACCTGAATTTGACTGAACCACGAAAATGGACCCGCAGGGCAACCATGTATAAATATTAGTGCGCATGCCCTACATTTCGTCGCTTATTTTTGCTTTGGCACCACAGCGCCACTTACAGGCCTGGCATACATTTTGCAGTGTTTTCATGCATTCGTGTGGACGCTCACATTTATTTTACGTCTCCGTCTTTACGGCAAACGTTTTGGAAAATATCAGCGTTTCGTGTTCGTTTTGACTTCGTGTGGACGGGGCCTCAGAGTTTTTCAAGGTGTGAACTTTGGCACTTGATGCTCAGTCAGTGGAGTGTGAGTCAGAGATTGGTTTGCATGGCTGTCCTTTGCAAAATTTTAAACTGCTTGAGTTTACCAAGTGATCTACTTGTTTCTCTCTGTCTGCGACACTACTTTGACTTTGAACATCTTCAGATCTATTTAGTGTTACCTCAGAGTTTAGAGACTTTGTATCTGCTTCAGGAACTGTTCTCCCTTCGACTGGGGTGACCTCCTGCTGATTCAAAGTCTGCTTGCTTTGTTTATTGCATAGCTCCTGAGAGAGGGGGGGTCACCTTTTGTTCTGAGGCATGGTCAGTCTGGCCACATGGGTCTTTGATCTTGTCAGCTCCTGACAATAAAATGTTTGCAGCACTTACTCTGTGGCAGATCATCTGATATTTGGCTTCTAACTCAGAGTACTGTTTAGCTTTTATTTGGTATTTAAGCTGATAAAGTAGCGTGAGCTCACAGAGTACATCTGTTATCAGAAAGTTTCCATTTGGGTTTTGAATTAAGTTAATTAATTCTTGAATCTTTTCTTCACATAGGCTGAGGTTAAAATTGTTTAGGTTATCCTGCTTTTCTGAAGATAAGTGGATAAGCTTTGCAACAATTTGTTTCTGTTTCTCTATGCCTATGGAGTCAATGATGTGCCCAGAATTGAGGATGCTTGGATCCATTTTCAGCTGATGGCACAAAAACACAAGTTATGAAGAAATTTCAAAAGAACACAATCCAGTCAGTACCCACTATACTTGTATATTTACATATACATATTGTAAGGACTTATTTTATGTGTGTAGAAACGGGTCATGGGTTATCTTTAAACCTGTGATATCAAAGAAACACTTTTCTTTCAGTGTTAAAAATGCTACACCTTGTTTAGGACTTACCAGCTATTTTAGCGCATGCTTTACCTTTCTCTGAGGATTTATAAGCAGTTTGGCGCAAAGCTTACCTTTTAAGGACTTACAAGCAATTTTGCTTATGCTTCACCCTTTTCTGTGATATCAAAGAAACACTTTCTTTCAGTGTTTAAAATGCTATACCTTGTTTTAGGATTTATTAGCTATTTTAGCGCATGCTTCACCTGTCTCTGAGGATTTATAAGCAGTTTGGCGCAAAGCTTACCTTTTTAAGGATTTACTAGCAAATTAGCTTATGATTCACCTTTCTTTAAGGGATTTTAAGCAATTTAATTTGAATCCACCCCCTTTCGGTTAGGTAGGATCACAGATTAACTTACGTTAAATCTGGCAACAAATCTTGTTCTACACAATATAAAATAAGTGTTTAGGAGTCTTATCAAACTAATAGACAAAGGGATTAAGGTTAAATTTCGAGGCATCTAACCTATTTTGGACTGGAGGTGACTTTCAAATAGCATAACTTGGGAGTTTTCATTTTTGGGATGTGGTTATAGAAACCACAAATGGCAGCATCTAGTCATAGATGTGCCTTAAATTTTGGTCAAACGATAAGATTAACTTGGGTGTTAAATCTTTTAGTTTTAGTTGGACCAAAGTGATCAGATTGATTTGAATCATCTGAGTTTTGCTTTGAAGTAAAGTTGGTTATCACTAGCTGAAGAGATATTTTGGAGTTATTAGATGTTGTTAAATTTCTATATTTTGATTCTCCAAGAATGTCAAAGGTTATATTTTCTTCTCATATAAGCTAAGACATTTAGTATTGGATTGTTAAGTTGTGAGTTTAAGATTTCATTATTGAGTGGTGAGAGCTGATGTTAATGCTTTCACACGGTTTTCAATAATGGCTCTAAGTTTATTCTCATATATGTGCAGAATAACTGTTATATTCGATGACCACCAAACTGAGACACCAATTAAATGTTACATTCAATGAGCCCAATAGCATGGGACGCTAAATAAATGTTACAAATAATGGGCCCACCCAGGGACGCCATATTTATGTTGTGATTCTATAGTTAAATTCTATTCCCAGCCCGCTGGGAATTTATGTTTCTGATACTTTAAGATGTTTATTGCCCTCCCCTGTAGGGGTGGTAAAATATCTTATTTAATCAGATATTATTTCAGCTGTTATATACTGTTTATGACACACAGTCCTACTAACTGTGTGTTAGAACAATAGATGAAAGAGTGATTCGAGCACTAATCATGGTCAAACAGTTATTTCTGCACATACATGGAATAAATTCACCACAACTTCTGTTTAAAATATAAGATTTTATTAACAAAAATCATTCAGCTCCACGTCAAACATATTTCAGTTTAACACTCTCAACTAAGACTAGTAAAACTCAACTCAACTAAACTAACTACTATGTACAAAGAGGAAGGGGGAAACGGTTGAAAACCATATTACAGTTTAAGATGGATTCTGTGTTTGAAACCAAAGTTTATCTGGAAGAATTTGGAATGTGATCAAATTAGCTTTTCACTAATTTTAAAGAAATTGGAATGTTTTCAGACCAATTGACAATGCAAATCCATGAGGTGAATAAAACATTATTTGGCCAAATAATGGTTTATTAAATGATTTGCTTAATCAAGAACCAAAAACCTTTAGTTAAATGATTCTTTACCCTCTTTGAAATAGCTAGCAGCGAATAGACATCAGGATTCCACTAAATGACTCTTGGTCAGACTTGCTAATGGAAATGTAATGAGCATTTGAGAAACACATGAACACTAATGTTATATCAGTGTTTAAATCCTTAGTGAATAAAGCTTATCTAAGCTTTAGCAACAGCTCAACACATATTCCTGTAGCATAGCGTAGCATGCAGTCCATTCTTTAGCATCAATTAGCGTTGTCTTTACTGAGCAGTAAACACACGATATGATTAGCATCATCAAAACACACATTGCTCTTCCTGTCCCTAATCATGCCAGACCTGCAAACCTTTTTCCATGTCCGTTTGGAAAGCTTGAGTTTGATCCAGTTTTGCAGCTCTGCAGTCAGGGGTTCTTTGTCTCAGTCTCATAGCAGGGGTCCTCTCAGTCTCACACCAGGGCATGGTCTTCATCCAGTTTGGCTCTGTAAGTTCTGAAACTCAAGAGAAATGTGTTGCAAAGGTTCTGTTTGCAGCAGTTAGGTTCTGAAGAGTTCTGACTCATCCTTGATGGTTCTGGGGATCTGGTTTCCCTGGGGCCTGCATCTCCACTGTGGGCCACAGTGGGCCCCAGCTTTGAGAGCAGGAGCAGAAGCAGGCTGGATCAGACGAGGGAGAAAAAGAGAAAAAAAGGCAAAAGAGCAAAAAGAGACAGAATCCTGTGGTTTTCTCTGTCTTCACAGGGAGGGGGTAGGTTTTCACACCTCTGGTGGCTCCCATGTGACTTGCTGGTGGCTGCTTTTGCTGAAAAAGGGGGGGCTGCTGAAGTCCCCCAGCTGTTATTCACCAAAGCTGCGTTTTCTTCTCTGGTCATCCTATCAGGATGAAATATGGACACTGCTTCCCACTGTCCAAAAAGTATGATCATGGCATATGGCATAACACCTTATACATTGTAAAGTCTATACAAATGAGATAAGTGGAGTAATTATGTGTGTGCAGGAACTGGGAACCTGCTGAGGTGCTCTGTACATGGTCACAAGGAGGAAATGATGTAATTTCTTTACAGTTCAACCCCATGAACTGGTTCCAGCATTGTGCTTTGGGCACCACAACCGTCACTGTCTGGAATATAGAAAGATGTTGGAGGTAAAAATCACACAAACTGCACAGTAATGCATCCATCCTGTAAACTGCACCATTTAGTGAACGGTTCAGGAATATACCCAGTATCTTTAAAGGTGAATAACAATCAATGTATTCATTGCCAAAAGGGTAATTATATGGTAAAGCTGTCTGGAGGATATACTTGGTTATATGGAGAGAATGTGCTTTTATTGTGTTACAGTATAGTACAGCTTCCAGCAACCGATGGCTTTTTGGCAGAGGACCTCCATCCCCGTCCAGCCAAGAACCCAACCTGCGTTGTTCCAGACATGTGTCTTATACTAAACAAACAACTTTCAGCTGAACCAATTGTCAAAATAAACTGTTCAGCCAAAAGGTTGATGTTGACTACAGCTTATCTTGTTTTTTAATGCAGTCTAGCACACCAGAGCCGCGGTAACACCATCTTCCCTATGCTGGACAGCAACATTACAACTTCATGTAGGCTGTTCCAAGGGTCACCTCCTCCTTGTTGACTCTGAAAGCCTTTCTGTTTTTGTTCTTTTCAACCCTGCAAGTAAGCTTAAGTAAACACAGCCAAACGCGTTGTAACAAACCCTCCTGTTATTTATTGTCTTAGATGGATATAACTCTTTTTCTTTTGTTTGTAGCTGCTGATCCCATACCTGAACACCAAAATTTTTGTTTTCATGCTTTAAGTCTTACTAGCAATGGTTTTATTGTAGTAGGGAAGGTATGTAGTATAAAAACTGCAGACTATTGACAATCTAAGATAATAAAAAAAAAACTAAACCCTTCCTTGTGTTGCAGGAGAGTGTGGTCCATTGTCTGCAGATCAGACGACGTAAGATCCACATCACCCAAACATGGAAGTTAGAGAGACCCATTTCGACAGCAGTACTCTCCCCTGACGATAAAACATTACTTCTATCCTCCAAAACAGTAGGCACCTAATGTGCTTTATTCTAAACATGGTGTTGAAACAAGATGTTACATATGACCTAAATCTAAATATGTTTAATCCTAAGGGGCAAATCTATCTGCTGAACCTGGCCAAGCCAGACCAGATCGAGGAAGATTTAAATTTGATTTAACTGATTTAAATAAAGGATAAGCAAGGTTTACAATAGAAAAAGTGGATAAAGAGCAGAACATATACTGTATATCATGCCACCAGCAGCTGGTTAATAATGTTATGAGAAATGTATGGGATGATTGATCAGATTTGGAATGAAACTTTTAGTTATCTTAGTATAAAAGCCTTCAGTAATTTGTTGCTTCTTGAAAAAATGGCTAAACATGATCTTTTTAAAAAACATCTTTGATCGATGAACAGCCAGTGCACCACACAATGACACTGCAGATTTAGAGCTTAGTACAATGACTTGCAATAGATATGGTTCAAAAGGAATAAGAATGTTTTATCTTTTTAACGACTGCAAAATTTATTTCTAAAGCTGATAACACTAATGTGTTTTTGCTGACCTTTAGTGTCAGGTTTTGTAGACCGTAATGGCTGTCTGCACATCCCCAAAATTTTCACATACAAAGTGCAACCTCCTCTGACTTCCTGTTCTCTTGAAGTTCACGAAGTCTTTGCTTATTGTCAAAGTAAAAAATCTCTTCGGATTTCAGCTTCCCAAGTGTTGACCCTTGCACCCCTATCATCATAGTTCTTAGATTTTGGCAATACTGTTTACACTGACAGGAATTAAACTATTTTGTTTTGTTCCTGATTTGTTAATTTACAGATAATCTATTCAGCCAACAGATGATCCAGCTGAAACCAAAGGATCAGGTGAAAGGTCACCCACTCGGGCCTGCCTATGTCCTTCTGTCTCCTGACAGCTTGTGGCTGCCCTCTGTTGGACAAGATTGCTTACTGCGGATCAGGCCTACTGCTTCTATGGTAAATGTGGATTTTGATTTTATTTTCATAATTTGCTGTTTTTAAATTATTCAAAATGATCCATGCTTTTTTATTATTGTTTTTTCAAATCAAAATCCCCAAAAGTCTGCTATGCATTTGTATTAAGCCCCCCTAACTCCAATACCTCCTAGATAGATACTAGGGTAATTCTTTAATGTGTGACCAAAGTCAAACAGTGTTTTATATGTAATTTAACCTCAGCATAAATGCAGCTGTTTTCTTCCCAACAATAATATTTCCTTTTCAGCAGTTTTTTATAGACTAAAAGGCATCATTATCATAAAGGGACAGAGTTGTGGACAGGGAGTTTAGCTGTGAAATAAGTATCCTGAGTTGTAACTATCTCACTGACCACTTTTAATCCATTATCCAAAAGGGAAACAAAGTCTGAAGGACCAACAAAGATCCACAGCTCAGGCGGATTCAACAAATCTGGCCTTTATGGAACAGTGTGTTGCCATATTAAGCACCTATTTAAAGTTCTCCACAAGCCAAGTGAGATAGCAGTCTGGTTACTGCACCTTTTAGTCAACATGCTATGTATGATGAAACAAGTAAACTTTTTAGAGTCTGCCAGAGAATAAACTAGAGGAAAATGTGTTAAATTCAGCCTCCAGCTGTATAAAGCCGCTTGAAACACAAAGGCAATGGCGTAAATATCGGTAAGCAGACAACCTTCTAGGGGCCCCATCACTGACACCTTGTAGGCCCCCTACGCAATAGTAGACTAGGAAGTGTCTTTGCAGATGTAATGGTGCGAAAAATTCCTCTTAGACCCAACTGATGCTGAAATGAATAACCTCACCGGACCCTATTTATACCCCAACACCCCATCATGTTGTCAGATTTCAACATGATGGAGCCGTTTAAACGCGACACAAATACTGTAGCAAAGCAGACAGTGGTGCTTTTAATTACTATGTTAATGCTGTATAGATGATTGATAAAAAAAAAAATACACTCATATAATATGTTTCAAACCGCAATAAAGATCTTAAAAGAACGATGTATATAAGTATTTTATTTTTTACACTACGGCTTGGAATTATTGGTAATCCAGAGTGTAGATTAAAACCATAACCGTTACGTACAATGTGTTAGCGACGATGGATACCAAAAAGAGGTACTTAAGCAGAATCCAGAAAAGAAAAAGCAAAGAAGAGCTGCTGGAAGAAGGGGAAAATCTTCCCAAAATAAACACGTTCTTTCAAAGAACCGAAGAGAGGTGGACGTTGCTGCTACAGTAAGTGAAGATTGTGACCAAGAGATGAATGGAGAGAGCGTGGGTGAGGAGGGGGGCTGTGAAGCTCAAGGTAGCCCCATGGCTTATTGTGCTAATATAATAATGTATATCCATGTCTAGTGAAGGTGAAGAATGATGAGGTGTGTATGTATGGGGCATGTTTCAGGTCGGTTGTCTTCTGCAGGTGGTGGTGGGGGGGGTGTCGATTAGCATCTCCCTGAAATTAGTTTTGGGAATTTGGGATGTCTGTAACATGTGATGGTGCGCTGTCATCAATGGTTCCATTCAAGGTGCGCAGTCACTATTTTTCCGTGTGTAATGCGTGCTCATATACCACTGAGAAATGCATAATTGTTTCTTCTCTGCCGATTTATTAAACTGTCGCCGGATCCTGAACCTTTATGATGTGTTGCTTACGGGCCTTTTGTTGTGTAGTTACGCCATTGCACACAAAGCATTACTATTCTTGAGTTTGCTAAACAAATAACTGATATTAATATACTTCAAATAATCTGTAAATATGTAAGTTAGATACTATAAAGCATCGGGAGTTGCAATGTTCATTAATACTATTCCAAAGTAGTGTAAGTTTAATGCTGCCAATTCCCCTGCAGGGACAGTAATGTGAGCTGTGGTGTCATTCCTGCCGACTCGCTGGACTTCGGACTGTCTCCTCCTCTGCAGACAGTAACACAGTTTCCACAACTGGCTTAAAAGACGGTTCTCTCCAGTGCACCAAGCTCAGATAACAATTATAATCATCTTATTTGCAACTTTGAACAGCAGAGGGTGCCCCTGCTTGCAGGCATACAGCATGTCACACCTACAGCTTTATATAGCTTTTAATAAACTATGCTGCTTTTATAGTCCATCTGTGGTGCTGGAAAGAGGTAAATAAATCTGATATAATGTGGGTGGTATTTTGAGGTCATATAGAAATAATGAGCCTAAACTGGAAAACAACAAAGATGTACTGTTGTAAAAATCACATTCAAGCTCTAAAAACCTTCCCACGCACATTCCTCATCTGTCTGCTCTTCCAGCTCCTAAATAAGTCTCAGGTTCCAAGAAGTTGTCACCTTTCTTTTTAGGTATTCTTGTCTTGGCCTCTGATGTTTTATTATTACTAATTCTTTAAAAATGCACTTTAATTAAAAGTACTCTGTGCCGTTTTATTGATAGCCAATGCACTACCATGGTTCAATAGATAAAGAATGCTAATGTGATTATGTTGCATTTCAGAGAAGACCAAAGTCAGCAAGAAAGTAAAGAGAAATTATTCGTTTCTGGTGCGGATTTTCACTAAACAACTGCAACTACATTAAGATAATTTGCATATTTGATTTTTTCAGACTTTCATACAGAAGTGAGGATTCATACAATGAAGAGAATAATGATCCTACATGGAATCGCGATATGATGCCTCTGTCCTTGAAAACTGCATTCATTTCTGAAAACCCTGAGCTGAAGAAGATTTCTGTGTGGGTTGAGGAGACTCCAGAGGAAGATGCGGTAAAACTGCTCCATTATACTCAGCTTTACTGTGACACTGTTTATTTTCTCTTTTATGTTTTGCTTTAGATTAAATGATCCTTTAATTCTAGCTCTACATGGCACTAATTACCAAAAAACAATAGTGTTATTAGTTATTTGTTCTGCATAACTGATAATAATAAGAGTTTTCTTTAAGATTATGTAATTCATTCGGACCCATTTGTCACAACATGTAAACTGTTAAAAGTTATGGATCTATTTAAGATTTCAGAAACCACAAATGATTTTTAAAGCAAAAAATAATAAACTTTGCTCCAGTAGTGTATCCATTATGTGGAAGGGTTGGAATTTGAAGTTCAAAGGAAAACAAATCTGTGTTTTAGCAAAAAAATAATTTGGATTTAAAAGCACTGTCAAATATGGAAAGTTTAAAACCACCATGCAAAAGTTTAATAAATATAAGTTGGTATGAAAACTTTGGCTGGACTCCATATATTCACAAATACATTGGATATTACTATATATATACTAATATATGTTTAGTGTATATGTATAATTTCTTAAATAAAATTATTATAGAAAGCAAAAAGGCAGAGTTTAGATGATGCAGGAAGAAGAGGTGAAGATATTATAAGTTCAGACTTCTACCGGCTGCTTTGATCGGCCAAATTAGTTTCCATCCTGCGTGTGTGTGTGTGTGTGTGTCTGTGTTAGTGTGTGTGTGGGTGTGTATTATGGTTGCATGGCTGCTTATAAATGATAGAATGGATCAAATCTAAAGCAACATGTACCTTCTCCGATTTTGATCGTTCCCAAAGGAAATGTGCTTAGCTACTCTGCATCTCCAAAAAAAAAAAAAAAAAAGCACTGCATAATATACCATATATATATATAATGCTCTGAACTTCCAATGCATTATTTTTCCACCATGTTTTTTTTCTCCTTCACTGATTACATTTGATCACTGCTGCACTTTAAGAAATGGAAATGTCATAAAGGCTGTACAAAACAAAATGTTGTTTTTTATATATGTAAATATTTAAATAAAAGTCTAATCTTGGACTTCCTATATATTGTTTACGTTGTAAAGGTCAGTTGTGCAGCATCGATTGATGCGAGGGAGAAAGATGCAAGTTACATTTCCCCTACTTAAAACTCAAACTCAACCTGGCTGAAAAAGAGACAAGAAGCTGTGAGTGACACCCTGTTATATTGGTGATAATGATAAGGATGTAGATCATGTTAAAATATGTTTAGATATTTATCTTTATTCTTAACAAATAAGCATGAAAGGGCCTGGCCCATGAGTGTTACTTAAGAGAGAGCGGTTTATTGTTGGCACTCCCTTTCATCTTGTAGTAGTTTGATTTATGGTTCTTTACAGAGTAGGAGGGACAAGTAATTACAGAGGCATTAAAAGACCTGTTTGCACGTTTCCACTTGACAAAGGCTCAACATTAAGGTAAACCAATAATAAACATGTGGGAGGTCTTGCAATATCCTATGTAGGGGAATTTGCAGAAGCTTAAAAGAAGGTTCTTTCTTGCTTTAGTGGTTTTCAGAACAATTTATATGTATGTTTCCTATTATATCTTCAACAGATTGTAAAAGAAGACAATAAGAAAGTATGAAGAAACAAAGATATACCTGAGAGAAGAGATGAGAAGGATATGGGAGGCTGTAAGTGGGTTCTTTGTTGTTATTTGTTATGTATAACATTTTGTTCCCACACTTGAAGAGATACTCAGCAAGGTAAAATGTCATTGCAGAGACTAAAGAGAAAACTGTGTAATAGGTTTTTTGATTGAGGCAGTGGTTTTGCATCTAAAGAATGGATATAATGGGGCTAGAGTGGTGTCGGATGTAGGAGTTTGCCCTAAAATCGAAGGATTGATGGTTCAAGCCCAGGCTCCGACTTTCAGTGTCGTTGTGTCATTGGGCAAGACACTTCACCTGCATGGTCTATTGATGGTGGTCAGAGGGCCCAGTGGCACCAGTGTATGGCAGCCCCGCTTCTGTCAGTGAGCCCCAGGGCAGCTGTGGCTACAATGTAGCTCGCCACCATCAGTGTGTGTGTGAATGGGTGAATGACTGCTGAATGTAGTGTAAAGCACTTTGGTCAAGTCTCCTGATTTGAAAAAGCGCTATATAAATACAGGCCGTTTACCATAATATTTATATAGACTATTAATGTGTGCAGCAGTGATTTACAAAACTATCTATATCAAATTTTCAAAGCTTATGTCCCAAATATTGATCCTTTTTTTCTTCAATTAGTGCATCTACGCCTATGTCTTTTGTTGATGAGCTATAGACCAAAAATAATGCACATTCAGTTTGGATGCAATGAATGAAAGAAAAAAAATATATGATTTTCCAGTATCTGATTTGCTAGTAAATAATCAGAGGTTCACAATTGAAAAACAAACAATCTACATTTGAATTTGATTCTTCTCTCTGAACATGTGTGAAACATGCCTTTTTCTTTTGCTGTCGGCTTCAAAAACTGATGCGTGAAAATGAGCACGTCCCTATAGAAGAGTTTAACTTGGATGTGGAGGGGCAGAGAGTACTGGATGCCATGGTGGAGGAGGAAGCTGAAAAGGTCCTGCAAGCTCAAATTAACATTATTGTCATTGACCCTAAATAATCCTTTCAAAAATTATCTTTAATGTCGCTCCATTGTGCAGGTGAGGGCTGAAATTCAGCTGGACATTGCAAAAATTCGTCACCTCTATGATGATCTGAAGAGGGAATGCTGGGCTTCCTTTATGGTCAAACCCAGGAGCATCATGGTCAGCTCTTATTAAATAAGACCTTTTCTCAGATCTCTTAGCTTTGAATTAAGAGGTTCCGTCACCCACAGGCCTTCCACTCTGAAATGGAAGTAAAGAACTATCCCCTCAATGAGAGAGTAGAGAAGGAGTTGGGGGACCTCCATAGGGTTCAACATATAAGGAAGAATGAAATGGCTGCAAACAAAGTTAATAAAACTGCTGGCTTAGATTCTATTTGATGAGGCAAAGCGATTCACATGTGATGAGTTAGATAATTAGATCCATGTTTGCTGTTGTGGGTGTGAGGTAAGAATGCAGTGTTTTCTAAACAGATTAGCAGGGAAACTTTATTTCTATGTCTCTCTGGAAAATCGTAAATGCAAAATGATTTAGGTTCAAGCCAGTCTGGTTTGGAGAAACAGCCTTTAGCTTTGAATCTCAACCCTTTCTGAACTGTCCCTGCTGCAGCCTATTTGAAATACTTGAACACACGCCAGTCCAAGGCTGTTGAAATGTTTGGAGATTTATAGCTGTGTGGTTGAAAGCAGGCTTCTGAAATCATTCTCTTAAATGCAGTATTCTTTGAATGTAGTTTATAATCTTCTTGCCGCAAAATCGGAGCTTATGTTTTGCTGTACCATTTGTTGTCCCACAACTTTAACCTGCATCTGAGGGGCCAGAAGATAAGTAACAGCGAAGAGGAGGAAGACCCTGGGGCAGAGAGCAAAGCTCTGAGGGGAAGCATTTCAGCTCAGTTAGGATATTTCCATCCTTATCTCTACATCCAGTTCAGCTTGAAAACTATCGAACAAAGGAGCAACCAGATTATATTGTTACAGGTCTGCCAGATCATAGTAAAAAAGGGCATATTTTTCATTTAAATTCTGCTGTGCTTTCTGAAGCCAGTGGCAAACATCCTGGAAAAGGACCAGTAGTCATCGTTGGAGATAATGTAATATTTAATCTGTATATTTTTATTTATTTATATCTTGCAAATTATTTTCCTGCTTTAGGTCAGTTAGGTTTACCTAAATTATTTTAATGCTCAAAAGGTGCAAAGAATATCAGGAGTTTTTCTGTTTTAAAAATTTTTCATTTTATTTTGTGCATTTTCTTTGTATTTAGTAAAGCTGCTTTTTAAACTGTTTACTTGGGTCAGATGGATTGGGCTTCCTACCACAAGATTCTCACAAAATTTTCAAGGTTTAGGGTTATTTTATCATCCCCAGAGGGGCAATCTGTGTCACAGCCAGCATAGAAAATAGAAAAAAAAAAGCCCAACAGTCATCAACCATAATACAATGGTTGACCAATGGAACTGATTTGAACCCAATATCAAACTTTCTGGTTAATGTCTTAAGATGTTCTCCACAGACTGTTCTTTCCTCGTGATGTTATCTTTGTTATGAAGCGCACCAGTCCCTCCTTTACCATAAAATACCTATGATATGCTTTTTTTTTTTTTTAACACACGTTTCTTTCTAATCAAACCACGCAGGATCTTAGAACCTGTCTTCTTCCTGAACATTTTATTCACTGTGTATACATAGTAGTTAAACTTGTGGTTTCAAGAATGAGTCAGATGCCCAGCTTCAGTTTATTATTGTTACGGTCCACATCCTAATTAGAAATACATTCTTTCTGTCACCTTTGAACTCAGGATTTGGTTTATGACATCAAGATGGATTTCAGCTCAGATTTCGAAGCTCTGCACAGGAGGAAATTGGAGGTGCTCAGACATGTGAGGGACAGGAACAAAAGGATCCGGGAAATCATGCAGAAACTTGACATAGAACAGAAGCTGTGGGAGCCCAGCCTGACCGACAGTGAGTGGCCAGAGAGTCTGTTCACTCTGGACGACTCTGAGGTTACCGTCCTCATTTAATGTCCCAGCAGTGGACATGGTGCATTTAAAGTTCAACCAAGCATGAGGAGCTGTAGAACTGCTCTGTGGATTGTTTGTTTGTTCTCCTGTGCTGAGATTTGAGCTGCTATGTAATTGTCGTCGTGAGATACTGCCTTTGTCCCACTCGAGATTAAAGCAGAGAAATACCTCAACCTGGAGCAGAAAGAAGGAGAAGAGGGGTGGAGGTTGGCGAGGGAGAGCCACCTGATTTCACACGTATGCCTTCATTCACTGAGGTCATTTTTGCTTTTTTTCTACTAATATTCATAAATTTCTTACTTTTATCTGCACTGTTCAAATAGGCAGTTTATTTTGCTCTAGTATTTTCTGAAGGGTTCGTTCCTTGATCTCATCATCCTGCGGAAGAGGGACAAAAACAAATCCATAAACTAGGAAAATTTGAACTTTTTAATCATTACTTTTCCTGTACTTTATTGTCATTTATTTATAGTGGTCAACAGAAACTGCATATCCGAAAGGAAAAATGAGAACATTTTAGAAAATTTAAAAATGTTTTGTTCAATGAGTGGTCAATCAATCTAAAGCAAGTCAGATAATGTGCCTTGTAATTTCCTATTAGCTTTAAGCATTACATTTAGAAAACATTTCAGAATTAATCTGATGTCTGTTACACGGGCACTCATAGGTTAAGTTTTTCTAAATGCTTTAAAAAACATCTAACCTTATTATGTTAATGTATCTTTGAAGAGTGAATGGCTTTTATTATCTTTGCAGCATAGCATTACAGATTTTAGTGTAGCATCTGGTTTAAATTGATCCAAATGGGCAGAAATCAGAGAGAAAACTGAATTAATATATTCACATGTAAAATGTACATGAGGCCTCTAAATGAATCAATTAATCACATTTCAAATCATATACTTCTTATAATTCCCTATGGGCTAAAACTGCTCATTTGTTTTAAAACATTTCAACCTTTTTCTCTTTAGGCTGTGTAAGCAGAAATAGACCAAACAGCATGATGAGCCCATAGTTTTTGATTTTACTCCACAGGAAATGCCTCCTCCTGAGTTTGTTTTGACCAAAGCTGAAACTCAGTGTAGCATCAAGGAGAGAGAAGTCTGTAAAGAATATGAGAGGAGCTTCAAAAATCTCGGTGAAGAAAAAGATAAAAAGGTAATGAGAAAATATATGCATATAGTTCTGCTTATGCAATTTCATATTTGATTATCAACATTCTAGAGCAAAGTTAAGCATTTGGAAACTCTTCTTTGGAAACTGAAATGGAAGCTCTGCAGCAATCCATCAAATGTACAACTGAAAAGTTTGACAAAATGCTTGCAGAGCTTGAGGAAAAGAAACCCAAATGCACATTAGCTATAGAGCAGGTAAGTTTTTAAAAAGTGTCTTAAAAGTGTTCATCCCTCTGGATCCACTCCAAATTTGATCCCCATAAAAAAACACAAGGTTCAATGTCTTTTATACAACAGCGATTTCATTGCCACGAAATCTCTACATGATTATCAAATTTTTTACAACCAACAACTAAAAAGTGTGACCTATATATGCATTCAACCCATTTCTGATGTTTGATTAAGTTCTGAGTGTGGTTTTGACAGGAAGAGATGAAGATCGTTAACATGAATTTATAGCGATAAAGGCTTAGCAGTTGGACAATCAAGAGCAGAAGCTCAAGCTAAAACTTGAACAGGCGTAGGCGTACAAGGTCGAAAAAGTTGCACACTAATGCTGCAGGAATTTATTAATTGCCAGTGCTAGAATCAATTTATGAAAATTGGCAGAATTATTTGTATGCATTCCAGCCCATCACCTTAATATCCCTTAAAAGTAATTTGACAATGGGATGTGTAGCAACAGGTACAGGTGTCAGGCTGACTGGCCAAAACTATATTTTTCTGACGGATGAAAATGGCAATAGACTTGAGAACATATGAGGAGGAGGTGAAACTGTTTAATTTGAATATGACAGAACTGTAGCTGAAGACAAAGTAAGCCTGTCAATAAAATTATAGTAAAAATAAAATAATAATAATAATAATTAGTCCTAGTTATAATTGGATTTTATTTCATCATCCAAAGCTTCTGGATAAAGAGTTTAGGAGGGACTTTACAGACGTACCAAACGACACGGTCAAGCATCTTTACAAGCTGTTCAAATGTAGACCAAAGTGCATGCATCAGCTGTCTAATAATAATAATAATAATAATAATCAATCCAATTTGTACCACACTTTTCATTAACAAAAATCTCAAAGTGCTACACAGTGCAAATAAAATCAAAGATAAAAATCAACATCATAAAAATCATAAAAATCATGTGGAGGCAGAATAGGCTTGCTTAAATAAAAAAGTCTTCAAGCCTCAATCAATCAGTGGTTGTGGAGCTGTCAAATGATCTGGGAGAGAGTTCCAGAGACGGGGGGCAGCGACAGCGAAAGCCCGATCTCCCATGGACCTTAATCTGGAGCGAGGAAGGTGAAGGAAGTTGCAGTCTTGTGATCAAAGAGATCTGGTGGATGAATGTGGAGTGAGAAGGTCCTTCAGATAATCCGGTGAGGATCCGTTTAAACACTGATGGGTGATGAGCGCGATTTTGTATTGAATTCTGCAGGTGATGGGAAGCCAGTGAAGGTCATGCAGAATAGGTGTAATATAGGCAGATTTGCGGGCCCTCAAGAGAATCCTGGCTGCGCTGTTTTGAATGTATTGGAGCTTCTGAAGATGTTTTTTATGGATTCCAACAAACAGAGAGTTACAGTAGTCTAACCTGGAGGAGACAAATGCATGAACGAGAGTCTCAGCATCAGAAAAAGAAAGAAACGGACGAATTTTGGAGATATTACGAAGATGAAGGAAACAGATTTTAAACAGATGCTTAATGTGATTTTTAAATGTAAGTTGAGAATCCATTCTAACTCCAAGATTTGTAACTATGGTGGAAAAGGGGATGTCTTGTCCAGAAAAGAAAACAGTCGTCATAGTTGAAGATTGAACCTGGTGAGGTGTTCCGATCAGCATGGCCTCAGTTTTGGAGCAATTTAACTGAAGGAAATTCTGAGTCATCCACTTCCTTATCTCCTCCAGGCAAGTAGTGAAAGCATTAAGTGAAGATGGTGATGATGATTCTCCAGTTCTAATATAAAGTTGTATATCGTCGGCGTAGCAGTGAAAGGAGATGTTGTATCAATTAATGATTTGACCCAAAGGCAGCATGTAAAGGGAAAACAGCAGGGGCCCTAATACTGACCCTTGTGGGACACCACAGGAGACAGAGACAGCCTGGGACTTGGCCTTGCCAAGGCTAACACATTCCAGCCGATTGGAGAGAAAAGATTTAAACCAGTCCAGAACAGTGTCACAGAGAACGACCTCCGCATGAAGACGGTGTAGTAGGATGTCATGGTCCACAGTGTCAAAGGCTGCAGTTAGGTCAAGGAGAACAAGGAGAGATGTAGACCCAGCATCAGCTGCCATGTACGTAGATGTCATTAGTAACTCTCAGCAAAGCGGTCTCAGTGCTGTGAGCAGAACACAGGTTTTCTTTAAAGTTGTGACTGTCATGACTATTTTCAGGGTTCAAATGTTGAGGGCCCAGACTGGAAACCCACCCAACTTCTTAAAGCAGCGTCATCTGACTGACTCCGCTTCTCCTGATGGACTCAGTCAACTGCTCAAAGCCATTGAAAAGCTGGATGCTCCAGAAAACATGCCAAAAGGCTGAAACCATCCATCTGGAAAATATTTTGTCTTGTGCGCAAAACAAAAGTGGAGAGTGAACAAAGGGTAATACGAGGGGGGAAGATTAGAAAAGCAAAATGTGTAAAAAATCATCTACATAAGAGGATTTGTTTTATATCTCCGTGATGTAATTTAAATGTATGAATTTATTTCTTCCTTGGTTTCTTTACGGTTTTACAGATTCATAGAAAAGCATTAAATCTCGCTGAGATGCAGGCCTTTCTGCATAGAAGAAAAGACGAACTTCATCTAGTAGAAAAAGAGATCCGTCAGATTCGTGACGCCATTCTGAGGTAGCACTTCTTAGTTTTTCGTTGCAACACTGCATAAATTTTGACCCAAAGATTTGGCTTAATTTTAGGTATATTTTATTATTTTTCTGGTCCATATGCAGTACTTGGTGTTTATTGATGCTTGGTGAGGCCTGCCCTTTTAAAAAACATGTCTATGTAACTCAAAGGGGTTGGATCCATGATTAGTTTTCTGATCCAGAGTGCAGCTTTAGGGCAATCATAGCTCACCTTAAATAGATCTAACTAAGCTTAAAGTAGTTGGGCCACAAAACAGATACCGACCCTTACCTGATCAGATGTATTTTTTGGTTCTCTGATGTAGGATTTAATACAGAGGAGTGAATGTGGCCTTGAATTTAAAACTAACTTAATCTTCTGGTCCAAAGTGGTCTGCTATCACATTCCAAAACATGGAGAGCCTGTTTAATTTAACAGTATAGTGCTGCATTTTGCTTTCAGGAAGCCTAAACCTAGAAATGATAGGTCCAGTGCACCTAGTGGTTAGAAGTCACACCATATTTAAAGCTTTAAAGCAGTAAATAGACTATCAATTTTCTGCAGTTTTTATTTTTTATATATATAATTATTTTCAAGTTATTCAAACATAATAAGGAGTTTGGTTACCTTGCAGTGTCCGAGACACTTTAATTCAGTAAATGGCCTTATTGAATTACTAGTTGAAATTCTAGATCGCAACAAAAAGGGAAATAAATAAAATAACAAACCAACACAAACCACCAGCTATATGGAAATTAAGCCACCATGCGTTATTCTATTCTGAAGTATTTAGTCAGTGGTTTTTGTTTTCTGTAGCGTCGTGGATGAGAAGAACGAGCTTCTCACTAACTACATGGTCCAGGTTGTATATGGACAGGTGGAGCCTACAGTTTTGTCAACCAATACACCTGGGGAGAACACCGCCATCGTCCATAGAAGTGTGGTAGAAGACTTTACAGTCTGTCTTAATCATCAAAATACTGACAGTACATTTTTTCCTAAAAAAAAAAAACATATTTAATTTTGGAATAAAAGAACAAAAAAACATGTCTGTATCATCAGGCACTCAAGGAGGCAAACACAAAGGACCGTAAAAACATCTGGAGAGGGAGAATCAGGTATTGAACAAGAAGTTGGAGATTTTAAAAGAGCAGAAGAGGGAAATCAGGTTGCTTAAACTCTCAGAGGAGCAGAAGGAAATGATGGTAATCTAGTTCATAATCATAACTTTTTTCTTTTGATTTCAGGGGAACTGTAATCTGCTCAAAGATGATTACTGGAACTTCTCTGATGTGGTAATGATATGTCAGAGCTTTTTAGAAAATGGAGCATCCGGTTTAAATACCTATGATAATAAAGAGAAAAATCTGTTCATTGTGCGAAAAGTTAATTCAGGTGGCATGGCTGGCCAAATTCCTCCCTGCCATATCCAGGCAGGTTTTTAGGGTTTTGGCACACTGGGTTGTTGTGCAAGCAGAAAATTGTTTCCATCTCCCAGTGCACATGGATTATCTTTTATAGAAAGCTCACACCCTCTTCCAACAGCCTCCCCACCCCTTGTTCTTTCACTTCAACATTTCTAAACTCCATTTATTTTGGCTATATGTAAAAATCTTTTCACTTTAATTCTCCTGATTAATTTCTAGCCTGTTTAAGTTTACTGTGGTGTGAAGCAGTAGATTTTATACCTGATTTACGTAAAAAAAAAAAGATGAACAAAGTTATTTATAACAGTTCAAAAAAGCACAGAACATGCACTTCCAAGTTTTTATTCAAGTTTCCTTTGGCAGTGGGTTCCAGTAGCTCTGCTGCTGTTAGCTTCCTGACATTGTTAAAGGCCATAAAACATAAAGGAAGAAAACAGTGAATAGAAATAAAACTATTCCTCTGACTTATAATATTTCCTGATAAAGAAGCTCACACATTTGTTGTGATATTTTTCTTTAAAAGACTACTTTCATCCCAGTTTCTCAGCAGGAAGGATCGGAGCACTCACACAGAAGAGAAAATTTCCAAAATGGAGAAAAGTATTGCTTTAATGAAAAAGGTAACTGATCATTTTAATCTAATCTCAAAAGCCAGAAAGACCTTAAATATTTTAGTAATACACGGCATTCCCATTTTCAGAGCCACGAGAGAAACATTGAGCAGCGCAAGAAAAGGTTGCAAGGGGTCTAGAAAAAGATGGCAAAGATGGCAAAGCACAGAGCAATGCTGATCTAGAGAAGGAGCTTCCTCGTGTTCAGAAGACTGTTGCAAAGCTGAGACAGATTCATGAACAAGGAAGTAATGTTAACAGATCCACAGGTCTATTTCTCTTATTTCAAATATCATCGAAAAGTCGAACCCAATCACCGCTTGTATGTTGTGTGTCAATGACCATGTCCAGAAAAAACTCACGGTTGTGTATTTTCTTAACAGAAATACTATGACATGTCTGTATTAAATATGTAGTTACTGCTCCTATGTAACAGAAAATCATTTCCAGAATGGCAGTTTATTATTGGCTACAAGTCATAATCCTCAGGTAGTCAGGCTTAAAAAATGAAATGCATGCATCAATCGAATAATTTTCAATCTTTGAATGAAGTGGCCTGAAATACAAACTTGTATTAGTTTACTCTCTGAATTGCACCAGTTATTTTCTATGCAGAGAGGATTGTTTTTTTTCTAGCTCTTTTGGCATTTTAGCTGGAACAGAAGATGAAGACGCAAAAAGAGAGGAGCGCTTTCAGGAAATCTGTAAGAAGGCCATATAGGAGAGGCGTGCAAGCGCTCATTCAGAGGAGCTGAAACGACTCCAGAGAGATCAACAGTGTCTAGGAAGAAAATAACTTCCCGCATTCGACTAGTTGCAGTTCAACTCATGAACACAGTTTTATTTGTTTACTTTGTTGCAAACGGGCATAAAATGTTAAGATGTAAAAAGATAGATTAGATCTTTATAGTGTCTTACACACAATCTTTTAAGTAAATGTATTGGGTTTTTTTGAACGCAGTACATTTTGCCACAGTATGTTAATATTGTTACCCCTGCTGTGAACAAGAACTGGAAATAAATACAGTTAACTGTGTTAACTCCTTTGTGGTGTCTGTTAAACTTAAGATACTGCTTCAGGTATTAAGTAGTGAAATCCCCCTCTGCACGGTCAAAGCTCAGAATGCTGTCATCCAGACCAAAGAGGTCGACGAGCTCAGAGAGTTCAGCTTTTCTTCCCTCTATGGGGATCTCTGACTGGAGCTCATACAGAGCAGCCTGAGCACAACTCCGCCACTTGTCAATCAAGGTTTGGAGCTGCATCAAATCATTCTGGGGGAAAAGAGAAACACACTTTATATATTACTATTTATAGCAGTCCCAACCAAACAGGGTAAAAGATACTTGGACTATTTAACTAATACCTTGCTTCTGTACATTTTGACCATCTTTAGCCGACGCAGAGTCTCAGTTTTCTCTTTCACCTCCTTCCTCAGCTGCAGAGCTAAATCTTCTGAGGAGATCTGTGTTGGTTGAGGAGGCGCAGACTGTCCCTCACTGCCCAGCATAGTTTTAGTCCTGTGTGCATCCTCGCTGTGGATCTCTGAGGTGTCTGCAGAAACTTGCTTGCTGTCCTCCTCTTCTTCTTCGTTGTCAACACAAAGGCGTTTGGCCACAGAGAGGGGTGAGATGAAGGAGCGCTGTGTTCTCTTCAGCCTCTCCCTTAGTGAGGCGCTCAGCCCAGAGCGATGCTGAGGAGAGAAAGTGGAAATGCTTTAAATGATGATCATCAACAACCCAGTATTTATGAGAGCATGGACGGAGATTGTACCAATATTTATTTCTTAATGTCCTTCTCATCCAGATCATTGTTTAATTTTAAAGTCAACAAATGGATGTAAAAACAAACTGATCCACGGGGGTAGGGGATTAGTAAATGGACAACAGGATGTATGCTATTTAGAAAAAAAAGGACAATATCATTTAACGGTTATGGTGGATAAAATACATTAAATGGAAGGAAGTGCAAATATGCATTATACTATTTCAGGCTGAACCCCTTGTATGTAGTTCTCTGGTTACGTTATTGATTTGAATTCAAGTAAATGTGATGGATATTAATAAAGTTAGCCACACTTACTTTATATTCTTTGAATTCAGAGGGGCTTGACTCGACTGAATAACAAGGCGATGAATGCGAACATGGTAGTTTGTCTGCTTTGGGGGTTATCTCCATTGCTCCAATTCACTTTGAGTCATCAAATGTTTCCGTCTGCTTGCATATATTTCTAGTTATCAACTTTCGGGTCGCTTGTCAAAACAGTTTTCAAAAACTTCCCCTACATAATTGGAAGAGACCGTTTTGTTTTTCCGTATTTTTGTGGCGCACTGCCTTCTACGGATTTGATTGGACAGAATTTGATGACGTTTAGCCGAAGAGAATCTTGGGGGTTGTAGTTTCTTTTGTGAGCGTTAGAAAGGCCTTTGAAATCAGGGTTTTCTGGGGAGGTTTTTAAAACACTGGTTTTATAATCCTTTCTCTGTTTGTTCTGCTTGAAGTCATAGCTGCTTTTGTGTTACTGGTGACAGTCCAGCAGGCTAAATTGTCAAAAGAACTGAACATTAAGTTTTTTTGTAATTTTTTTTCTCTTTTTATCCCCCCCCCCCCTTTTTTCCTCTTTTTTCCCTTTTTCTTTCCTTTTATCAAATCTTTTTCTTTCCTTTTTTTCCCATTTTTCTTCACCATTTTTTCTCCCCCCCCCCCCCTTTTTAATCACCTCTAAGATTTATCAAAACTTTTAAGAGCTCCTTTTAGACTATTAGATAATAAAGTCACACTTTTGATAATTCCCAATGCAGACTGAAAGTCTGATAAATAATAACAATAGGAATATCTGGTAGGAATATTCAAGATATGTATCACATTTTTAAATGTTAAAGAGAGTGACAAATATATAGGAAATAAAATTATATTGTAGTGTCATATGTGACAGTATTTATTGGAAGTTTTTATGCACTGTTCTTTTTTAAACATATGCAATGCCAACAAAAGATTCATATAAAGTTCCTTAAGTTCTTAGATTTATTGAACCTAAATTTCTGTTCATAAACTAAACTATTATTCTAATCTGTACTTAAGAAATAAACTATACTAAATTTGATCTAAACTGAAGTGTTCCAATTATGAAATGTTTAAAAAGGATTTGGGAAATTAATCACTAACAGTAAAAACTTTCAGACACACAAATAAAATGCAGATGGTTTCTTAATTTTTCTGAATTAGAATAAGTACATAGTTACAGATTATCACGTGAGATCACAACTTTTATTAGTATGGGGATAGTGTTAAATAGACATGTTCATGATGGGTAAACAGAGAAGCCCTGGAAGTTAACCCAAGCTCTGTCAGAAAATGATTTATCTGAGCTTGCAGGCATGTGTGTTAAATGTCGGGCCTTGTTTCTACGGCTGAGTCACTTTGTGAATCACCTCTTCTCACTTGCTGATTCATGTTCTTTAAGAGATCTATTTATAAACTCTTAAAAGAAATTCAGAAGTCTTTTCACGCCTGAATATGAAGCTCACGTTTTGTATGTCTCTGTTGCCTTAAGGAGTGTGAAAATGTTAAATAAGAGATTGTCTGGACTTGATTTTCAGTGCTTGGAAATGTGATATTACACACCCTAAGGAAATGGTTCTTTTTTCTTCATTTTATAAGGATGAATCTTGCAGGGCTGAGGGTTGGAAATAATTACCGTGTTTGTTAAGACTCTCGTGCTGTGCTCTGTTTTTATCATGCAGAGTTGAAATGCTTTTCTCTCTCCCATGCAAGACATATGAACAACTGGTCTGAGTGTATAGAATCTAGACGCAATAGGAGACGCTCTATGTTAGGCAAATCTTTCAACAGAAGCACAAATGGGCATCCATAACTACATAATTATGCCATGTTTGGACATGCGGTTACAGCCTCTTAATGTTTATTTAGCTTAATGTGAGGAAACGACTTATAAGTCAAACAAAATGTTTGGGGGGGAAAAGATCCAGATCCCTCACCTTTTTAGTGTTTCTTTTCAATCTGTTTTTTGTTTTTTGTTTTGGGTTGCTTTAATTTCCAGTCAATGTGCTCCATTGTCTGTTTATGAGCTCCTTGCAATTTAATTTGACTGAACTGTTAACACCTTCTTATGCTCCAGGTTAAGAACAGCATGTCCACAGAAACAACAAAATTATTACTTGATGGGGCAATCATTTTTATTTATTTTGGGTGCACCCTGAAGAGAGCGGCTTTGCTATATTGTCTGTTATAAATGGGTGAAAAGTAGTTTTTATATGTTTTTAAGTAAGAAAGTCCATCTCAAAACATTGTCTGTGCATTCAGTGCATCAAGATTGCAACCCCGCCTTCAATTATCATGTTGCTGTGCCAGCATGAAACCTCCGTAGACCAGCGGTGATCTGTCACTGGAAATCCCCTTCAACAGCAGCCTCTGGCCTTGTCGGCATTTGGGGCTTTTCTGCTACTGTTCGTGGCGGCTGGAAGGAGATGTTAGCTGTTTTCATGTATGTAATCCAAACTGGAGGCACCAGCATAATAAAAGCGAAAATATTTTGCGGAAGGTTTTGACATTTTAAGTTTTTTAGGCATTAATAAACTGTTTTAGAGGAGTGATCAGACTCTCTGCATCAGCAGCGCTGTGTCGGTCTCCTTGCCAGCCTCAGCTTCTCTGATTGGTTGATGTGGCACAGCGAGCAGCTAAAGTTAAATTTCTCCAACTCCAGCAGCTGCTGCTTGTGAAGCGCCTCATGCGCATCACATGCTCAGAGATTGATGAGACGCTGCTTCAGATGCTAAAATGCATTAAGATGCAAAGACCTTTTGATGTGCATCAACCTTTGGCTTTGCATGTAAACCAGGTGCTTCTGCAGCTTTTATCACGTGTGGTCTGAACGTGGCATTAGGAAAGTGCCCATAAGGACTGTTTTTTCTATAAATCTAGTTTTAAGGTAACCAATCTGGTTTAAGAAATATATCAATGTATGCTTGATTTTTTTTTTATATATTTTTTATACTTTTGGTTATATACTGTAAAATTTAATAGCTGTCCAGATTTAATGTATATGAGTTAACCTTACCAGGTTACAGTTAAATAATTTTGTTGTGAAAAATTCCTTAAATTAAGTTTAAGGTGAATTTTCTTTTATTAAGAGTTAAGCTAGTCACTCCACTACACTGCAATTTGGAGGTTTAAACTTGATAAAGAAAAAAAGGAAAGCTTTTACTATTCTTATTTTTAATTAGAGTATTGTTCATGTTTTATATTTATGTATGCATATTTAAGATATTTTCTACGCTTGTTTTATAAATGCAGTTTGTTTACAAGGTTTTAGTAAGTAAATACGTTTTCTGGTCAAAAAAATAAAACTAAGAAATTCTGAATTCTGTGTGAGCCCAACTTCAATAAGATGGGCCAACAGTGGTGCAGTTTGTAGCACTGTTGTCTTGCAGCAAGAAGGTGCGGGGTTTGATTCCCGGCCCAGGGTAGAGTTTGCATGTTCTCTGCAGATACTCCAGCTTCCTCCTACAGAACATGACTGTTAGGTCAGTTTGCACCTCTTGTTCCTTAAGTGTTTGTGTGCATAGTTGTATGGCTCTGTGTTGCCCTGTAGCCTGCCTTTTGATCACAAACTGGTGGAGATAAGTAGTGTTGCACCGATATGTGTATCGGTGAGTACTAACAAATAGGGCATTGATACCATTTTGAGAGCCAAAAGTTTATTCAACTATTGACATCCATTCCAGGTACATGTAGGCAATAAAAAGTTCTACACTTTGTGTTAATGTTTTTCCTGCTTCACAAAGGTAGGCAGCAGCTTGACAAAGCCATGACGCAATTTTTTTTACATCCAAGTAGTATGCAGTTCTTCATATATACACACAAATCAATTTCAAACAGATGGTATTGGTATTGTATTGGTATGGACCAATACTGCACAGCCAGGTATCGGTATCGGGGCCAAAAAATGGCATCAGCGTAACACTAGAGATAAGCACTGGCTCCAGAGCGACCCTGCTGGACTTAGTGGAGGATGATGATGGATAGATGGACTAAACAGTAAAATTTCCCATGCAATATTAAATACATTAAAATTTTTATTTTGAGCATTCTTAACTAATATATTGGTATATCTAAAGGAAGTTATAAAGTAATAATATTTGATTATTATAGTTGGAGTACTGTATAGGTGTACCCTACAAATAAAGTTCTAGTTAGCACGACCTAAAATACCTAGTTCACTGTACTTTTTTGGTGATGAATGATGACGAATATGATTTTACAGTGTAGGTTTTATGACAAAAAATATCATAGCTAGTGCTTTTAAGATGTTCAATTTTATTAGCAAGACATCAACACCAAAGAAAGTGCTCTAAACTTAGAAGCAAGTCATTAAAAGTGTTTTTTTGCGTAACATAATTAGTTTTGTATATCAAGACAAAGTAATAATTGCAGTTTAAAACAGTTCTCTCTCCACAGTGTGCATGCACTTCCCCTGAGCAAGTGCATGCACACTAAGTGTCCAGCCCCTACTGGAATGTGTTTATCACTGAAGAATGGTTTGAAAGTTCAGCTTGGAATAACATATAATATCCTGGCCAAGTAGGAAAAAATTATCTTTTCTTTAGATAGTTAACAAGATAGAAAAGTCTTCTAACCATAAAATTGCCTTTTTTTATTTGCTAACTAGACAAGTCATTCCATGGGTAATTTCAGGACTTTTTATACCAAATAAATAAAGCAATTGCATAATGTTAATGTTAACCCCTTTATCCCTTTAACACATTTGTTTAGGATTGCCTTCGACTGTTCTAGTTAAACAGTTCAACTGAAACATCATTAGTTCAACTTTTTTATTTTCTTTAGTCCAACTGTTTTTAATGTTCTTTTTTGTTTCTGCATTTTTTATTATTTTTTTCCTACTTGCTTTGATTCAGTTTTATTTTCCTATATTTTAATCATGTAAAGCACTTTGCATTGTCTTTGTACTGAATTGTGCTATACTAATAAATTTTCCTTGCCTTGCCTATTGTCCCACAATGTGGAAATTTACTCTCTGCATTTTGACTCACCCCCTTGGGGAGCAATGGGCTGCCATTGTGTGGCACCCGGGAGCAGTGTGGGGTTAAGGGTCTTGCTCAGGAAACCAGAGGGGAGGCTGTGGGGTTCAAACTGGGTACTTGCAACCTTCTCAGAGCACAAACACACTGCTCTAACCACTAGGCCTATACTCCCCAAGATAGAATCAGTATGATTTTATTGTAGTGGGTGCTACAAAATGAGAATTAAAGTCACGTAATATATTTTCCATGTTTAGGTTTTTGTGAGCGCGATGGAAACTGCTGCTGACTTTCTCTACAAACATGAAATCTTATCCTCAGAAGGTCTTTGACACCGGAGGAATGTATCTGAAAAAGGTCTCCGCTCAGTCAGCTCTGTTTTTTTTCCTTTTTTTTCCACCAATGTGTTGCTTTCTGCTGAGGTTCTGCCATTGTCCAAACTCACACATGGATGTGAGCAGAGAAACTCCTCTCCATGGGGCCATTTGTTTTCAATCCTTTGAGCAGATTAGAGTCTCACTGGCTCTGAGTCATGCTTTGTGGGCGGATGTCTCTACTGGGTGTGGCGGGTGAAGGGAACCTGTGGATGCTTGCGGCTTCCACTGGAGGAATAAAACTTCTAATTTGGCAACAAATGGCATAAATGTAAATACGCATATTGGGAATTTGTATTCTGATTATAGATTTAAAAACAGATCTTGTGTCCTCTCATTTGGCAGATCACATGCAGTGAGAAAAGGTTCACGCTACTGCTTTGGAAGAAAATCCTAACTGTCACATGAAAAGTATCAGTCCTCCCTACCAGACTGTAAACAGGAAGACAGTTCGTATGAATTGCAGCAAAACAAATAGCTGTCAGTTAAAGTTGTGGAAGTTTTCCCACCCCTTATATTTACCCATATTTTGTCACATTAGAGCAAAACAAACCTCCACAAATATCATTGGAATTCTATGGTAATTTTATCATCTAATGTCAGAGAAACACAACAAAGCAAGTAATTGTAGGCTAGGAGGAGTTTTCAGCAAAGACATGCATTTGTTTATATATATATTAATCCTACCCCAGGAAAAAATCCAAGTGCAATTAACTGTCTTATTATTCAAAATCAATATTTCCTCAACATTTCTTTTTATATCAGCTATTATACAAAACAAAGATTCACTTAAACATTGTCTGAAACCTGAGTCTCAGCTTTCACTCTCATGATTCTATGTCACTGAAAAGGGAACTATGAGCCCTTTTAACTAGATCCAACTAAAATAAGATTAGAGAATAAGAGGTTGTGCTCTAAAAACAAGAAAAACAGTAAGATTTTTCTAGATTTCTTTGTTATCTATCTAACAATGTGTTGGTAAACTTACCCCAAAAGGTGGTAAGTCGTTTCAGTTGATTTTCCCTTTATTCAAGAATCCTTTTGAGCAATACATCGTATTGTTGGAGCGATTGTGTTTTTCATTTTAAATGGTGCAACATTTGTGCTTCGAGCAGCAGAGCTGCACATGTGGATTGCGCCCAAGATTGACTTGCCAAATCCCAAACTGCTTATTCTGCTACTTACTCTAGAACATTTATCACATCATCTAAAACAATAGAGATGAACACAAAACAAATCTCCTAAAAAAAACATTTAGATCATCTTAAAAAAATAATAACCAGACCATCAGATGTTCTTTAAAATGATCAGATGTCTGTTAGAAAAACTTTAGAAGGGAACCATTAGTCTCAGGGTTTGTTTGCAAAATAATAATCCAAACTGTGAACATGCCAGCATGGCATGGATTGCTTCAAATTTGGAATGATTTTTGGGAGAGGAAGATGATAAAAAGTAATGGTAATATAGATGCTTATTAAAGTTTTCTGGGAGAAAAACCTTTTGGAGGCTGGAAAAGATTGAGGTTCGTCTTTCAAGAGCAAAGTCCCACATGTTAAACCAATTAGCTTCAACTTTAGATAATTTTTTTTTACTTAGATCTCTCCAGTCCAACTCTAGTACTAATAACTATTAAAAAATCTGTGACAAGACTTTTAAGAAAGATTAAAATGGGGAAAAAAAAGGTCTCCAGATCGGCAACGATTTGCAGCAGTTCCACAAAGTTTTCCAGATTAACTTGAAGATATTTCAATATATTCATCAACCATTCAACTTTACAAATGTTTTCTACTTTGAGTCACTGTGAATACATTTGGAAATTGTAAGACTTTTTTTTTTTTAGGCTGGGTAAATATTCAGCTATATACTGTCTAAAGCCTATGGAACAAAGGTTCAGTTTCCTCTTCAAATATGGAGTCCAGATGTGTTCCAGCTGCTTTAGGATTTACTGCCCACTGCAGATCAGCACAACCTGAAAAAGTCTCCTCCCTCTTTTTTTTTTGAAAAACAGAACAAATCAAACTTTTTTTTTTTTTTACCACCTCCACCAAAAACTTGCCCACATAGTGAAGCAGTAGCTGGAAGAGGAGGAGTTTCTCTCTTTTCTTCCCCCTCAATCTGAGTCTGCAGGGGTTAAGAATATGAACTGGCCCTTGTCCTCCCCCCCAGGCGCTGATTTCTCTTTTACATTCAGTTTCCCGTGCCGTCACCTGCCTGCCAAGCTGCTGCTCTGATGGGCGCGGCTGGGACCAGAGCCCAAAATCTGTGTTTTGACTCGCCTGGGAAAGTTTAGTGAAAAAGAGACAAAAGAAGAGAGAGGAGTTTTGGGAACATCTCCGCTCGCTGTGCGCGTCAGCTCTTCACTGACGCATTGTTCTTCCACTGGATAAGACGCTGCGGCCCCAGAGGAATCTGATCAAGCTGTCTGCTTGAAGGTACGGATTATAACACTGCACAAGGAATTATTTCCTTTATCATTTTTTAGAGCCTTTGTTTAGTTTAAAACTCCTTTTTTTGTGTTGAATTTGGGGGAATATTTCTTGCACCTGGCTTTGCTTGCATCCCTGAAGGACTGCGCTCTGGGGGTTTGGAGTTTGGTGACGGGCTGCAGTGTTAGTTTTTAGAAACTGGGTAACTTTAACTTCCCTTTGGCTTCCCTAGGACGTTTTCTGTCACAGCACACCCTCTTTTTTTCTGTGCTATTCACATCCATCTAAATATACACTAGAGGACCTGTGGCATCAAGCCTTCATAATTGCTCCTCAGATCAGTTACAGCCTATAACAGGCAGGATGAGTTTATAGAAACTTTAATAAGATGATAATGAGGAGTTGGAAGGTATTGGTTTTCATAATCACTTTTTGAAATGTATTTTTTTGTGTTTATATGACATATTCTCTTATTGATTGGATTTAAGCATGGTATACCCCAAAGAAGAAATATGCATGTAGTTAAATGGCCTTATCTGCCAGGGTGTGGTCATGGGATGGTCTTTCATAGCTGTGCTCTGATCTGCCTGAACTCCTTTTGTTTCTTTGTTGTTTCTGCGTTCAAAAACACAAACGTGCTCCACAGATGATCCATTATAGCTTTATGGTGGTTTTCAGCTTTCAGATGAGAACATGGCAAGAAAAGTTTCTTCATAGAGGGGAGTGTCTTCAGCCTGTTTCAGTTAATATAACTGCAGGCCAATGTCCAAATAAAAAAAGCCACAGAAGCATTTGACTGTGATGCTTAATATATAATCATGCGACTGATGTGGGGGATTTTTTTTTTCTACGTTTCAGTCTGGAGGAAATTTAAATGCAGTGCTGTAAACAAGCCGCTTTGAAGACCATAACCCCTTATTTCATTGCAGGACAACTTTCTCCTTGTTCTTCATCAAACAGCTGTTGAAATCTTGTTTTCTACACTTAAAGACATGCAAGGATGGTGGTCAATGTCTCTTTTCTTCTTCTATCCTCATCTCACCAGATAAGATGGGATGGACGATTTAACAAGGCAGATGGAGATTTCAGGAGAGAAGGGTGAGAATGTTTGATTTGATCAGTGTTTGGAATTAGACAGGAAGAAATGCGGTGCGTAAAAACACTCTTCTATAAGAAAATCAACTGCTGCATCCTTGCAGAAACGTCCAAAATGAAGAATTTTGAAACTTGTCTGAAAGTAACTAACATCTAAGATCATGCATGAATTTACTGGTTTCCTACTTCATTTCTCAAAAATCTGCAGCTAAATGAAAAAGTCAACAACATTTCTGCTACAGCAAAACTTAAGTATATGTTGGATGTTAGCTGTGGGGAATAAACAGCTTCTCTGACTTCTCTTTTTAAATGGCGGCTAGGATTCTTACATAAAGCATGATATAACAAAACACTTATACAGTTCTACGTTTTCAAAAGAAAAGAGTGAATAAAATGTTTTTTTTTAACACAAGAAATTTCTTTGATATAATGCCCCTTTTCCTTTTGCATTATTTTTGACATATAGTGAATTTCCATGCATGGTGCAATCACTTGGCACGTTTAAAAACATAATATATATACAAGGAGCATATTTAGCAATTACTTTACTTGATACATCAGGTTTTTGAGGAAAATATGAATCTTTTCTAAAAGATGGAGCTTTCATAATGACTTCTAACAAACGTGATGCATTTTCAGTACAGATAGTCTAATAACTCCTAAGATCAAATAAATCCCAACACGCAGAGATTTATTTCCCTTTAGTGATTTGAATGGGATAAAGTTTTAACAGTGCAAACTTACAAGGAAGACAGATTTATTTTTTGAGCACTTCAAAACTGCATGTTAAGAGGAAATATAAGAATATGAAATTTGAGGAAATCCTTTAAATAGTAGCCTGATACTGAAACTTGCTTTGTTTACAGAGAAGCCGAGACCAAAGCCTTAGCACTAATATACAAATCCAAGATGTGCTAATATAGACATTTTAAGTACTATGCTCTTACAAAAGAGAAAGTAAGAACCGTGTGCTTTGGCTGATTCTTATATATGATCCGTGTCAGGACTTTTATAGTGAAAAAAACTGTCTGGTTTTGTTTTTAAAGTGAAGGGATAACAGCAGCAGAATAATGATCAGGTTAAGCCTTCACTTTAACACAGACTGAGATCCCAAAAAGGAAAGAGAGCAGGAGGACAGACATGGAGGAGGACATGAAGGCGGCATGAAATCTAAACGGAATGATCGTTATCTTTAAGCAAAGCCAGTAAAGCACAGCAGCCTCAAGTCAGACGTCAGAATACTTACTAAGAGAAGAATAAGGATTTTCTGGACCCTGTAGTTACACAGAAAATATCCAACACATAATGATTTTTGAAAAACTTTAAATTCCTTCCATGATTTTTTTTTTTTTTATGAAACCAGAGTTCTGATGCTTGCTGCAAGCATGCACACAACCGAGTAAGGAGTGTATGAAAAAGGATTGTTTGTGCATAGCACTTTATGAGAGTCATTCTGGAGAACAAGTTCTGTTTAATGTAGTGGCCTGTGCATAACAGGCCTCTACTGTCGTAGCCAAATACTAGGCAAAAGGACAACCAAACAACATCTCAGATGCACTTTAACCTTAACAGACTCCAACAAATCCTTAAAAGAATAACAGCCTCTTTAAAAGAAAGATGAGAGAGCAACTATTTATTATTAGAGCCGACAGAACCTTTCTCAATAACAACATTCTTGAACATATTTCCTCATCGCGTCCTTGAAGTTTCTGCCACTGGAACAGCTTCAGTGATAGACATTCAAATCCTGGATGCACTAAGGAGCGTTATCACAGGTCCTTCCTCTTGCTGCTGGTAGACTTTAATTCATGCTGTTGTGTGCAAAGATTTTCTATTTCTATTAAATAGTTTGTTTTTTGATTATATGTTCAAATATGTGCAATTTGTACTTTATTTAAAATGATTCAACTTAGTTGCATGTTTCTTTAAATCTGAGTATGGTTTTTTATACTCATACATTATTTTGCTTATGTTTTAACTTTTACAGTCTTTTTATTCCTATCTTAGTTTCTACCTTTGTGTGAATCTGCATGCATCTGCTTGCCTTACAGCCAAATATCACAGCTCTATTCTATTCTATTCTATTCTATTCTATTCTATTCTATTCTATTCTATTCTATTCTATTCTATTCTATTCTATTCCCTCTTTAGCTCATCAGCAAAAGCAATACATATTCTAATTTCTTTTTTTTTCTTTTTTTATATAGACTGCCTATAGTTTATGGTTTATTAGTAAGATTCAAATTAAACTAAGTACTTCACAACATGTTTTCCTTAATGAACATATTCAATCCATGTAGTTAATTAAATAACTACAGACACAATACTATTTACCCAACCTATGTAAATGGTTTGGCAGTCAAGTATACATAGTTTTAATCTACACTTAGGTGAACTGTTAACAATTGTAAATTTCAGGGAGAATAAAACTGTGGTATCATATCATCATGATATGGCTATCATATAACTATTATTATTCAAATATCTTAATGCATGATTTTATCTACATCTGGGTGTTGATTTTTATACCATAGATTAAATTTAAAACATTAAGATCACAATGGCCTTTAAGTTTAGTATAAAAGGCTCAGATTTGAATAAATTATTTAGGAACTTGTTTTATTGTCTGCTCTTTCTGAGGATTCCAGTACTCATTGGGGCCCCTTGTGTCCCAGGACCCCTAAGCACTGTGTGCCCTAGACCTACTCTACCCAGCAGAAGAGATTGACATGCCAATCTATTTTATAATTTGGTTAAATCTATGATTTAATCAGGACTTAGAACTTTGGTTTATCAATTATATTTCTTCAAGTCTTAAGAAGACTAAATCTATAGGAAACTCTGTATTTTGAAGATCAAAAAATTTCAATTATATAAAAAAATAAAATATTAAAAGACTTTTTAAAAAATATATTAAGAGAAGTCATAAATAAATGGAACAAACTAGTGATAAGAAGGCCTTTGCTTAAAAAAAATAAGAAAAAAAATCCACTTAAGCATTTCTTAAAACAAGTTGTATTAAATCTGTTTTTATAGAGACAAAGCCAAAAATCTATTTGATAATCCTAACATAAAGAAGCTTATAGTAGTTATTGTTCTCATCTGTGTCCTGCCATTCCATCTATAAAGCATTACTTTTCATATTTATTGTTTAAAGATGAATTTTACAAAAGAATATTGAGAAATCTGCATTAACTGAAAACAACAGTTATGAACATAAGAATAAGAATCCAGAAATAGATAAAGCAGAATGCACCCAGTGATAACTGCTTGTCATTTCAGTTTTGACAGAAACCGTAACCTCCACAAGCAGGCTGACTTCTCTCCCACCCAGTGAGTCTGCTTTTCCCTTTCAAATTGTCTTCAGTATAAACCGAAGGCACATTATCATAGTTGTAGCTAACTATTTCAGGGAAGTAGCTGATGAGTAACAACTTCTTCTTGTTTTGCTGTTTGTCTTCTCGTTGCTAGAGGGAACCAGTGGATCAAATCACAGGAATATGTCCAGTGGTGCTGGAGGGCTGGGCTTTGAGAAGAATGTCTTAACGCAGAACAGCAGTGGAACCTACTTCTCTTCATGTGAGAGCAACTTTCCACTCGAGGGCTAAGTTGTGGGAAGTTGTGGGTTTGTCTCTTAGCAAAGCTTGGGGTTGTTATATTCTTAACAACAAAGATTTTCGGGATTTGTGCTGCGGAGCACCTTTAGAGCAGAGAGGGAATTTAAAGGAGAATTAATGTGGAAATACCACAGAAGAGAGTAGGAATAAAGTGGCTGCTTTTTATGTACTTTTTATTTAATTTCTTGTATAAACAACAAACCTTGTACATCAAACCATTTCAACTATACTTCCAACAACACATCAGATTATTTGCACTAATTTATGTTAAAAATGTTATGTTAAAAAGGAAAAAAAAATGTCTCTAATCTTTTGGAACACCTAAATCTTTATAACCTTTTTTCTTAAGCTTTGTAATTTTATGCATAATACCTTCATTTTGAACGTAGAGCTATGCATTAAAGGCACAACCCTGTAATCGGAAATATACAGAGCAATAAAATTTAATGCTTCTTAAAAAATATATGTTAAATCAGTTTCACCTCCTATTAAAATGATTCTAATGGATTAATTATTTCCTTCCTATTAAATTGTCTTCATAACAAATATGAAGCTGGGAGGTTTAATAAAGATAAAAATTGCTAAAGTTGATCTGAGATCGGTACCTGAGGGATGTAATGAGTGTTGAATTGAATTATTTTTTTTTAAGACAATTAGGAGACATGTATGCCATGTTTTCTGGTTGGATCTGAACAATAAATCAAAGTTATCACAATTTTCATTAAAAAAATGTGTGTAATAAAAACATAACAGATGACTGTCTTGAAATCAGGTATTGTTTACAAATAAACAGCAAACCTTGCAGGCCAATGTGTTATTCTGTCTGTTGAAGATGTCAGTTCATAAGATAATATATATGATATAGAGTGCTGGAAGGACAGATAAGAATTATCAAATTTAGAGTTATGTTATGGTCTTTAAAAAATTATTTAGTTAATCTTGAACACAGCTCAGCTGCTCCTCTACCAGAGCTTCCTGAGGATGAGGTATAATGTGGAAAAAAATCCTCCAATCACAGGCAGACTTCAGATGGTCATATTGCTCTGCTGTAGAAAAGAGGATTATGTTATTATTCCTAAAACACATTATATTAATACAAAAGAGAGAAGAACAACTTCAATAGACTTACACTGGAAATGCCGTTATCTTGTGAATGGAGCCATTTTCACTGTATTCACTTTGAATAAAATGGACAGGTTTACATTTCAGAGTTTTAAACATTTACAAACATTCGAAACTATGACTAATTATGGCCGATTTTAGAGTTTTTTTTGTTTCTAAACTACTGTATATGATGATCTTATGGGAGATCTTAGACAGCATAGATTGACAAGCATTCAGATTAAACATTTATAATTTGGACATCCTGGTAAAATTATTTTGTGACTAAGCATTTGAGAAAACTTTAAAGAAAATAGTTATCAGGTTTTCAGTGTAACATTAAAATATACAACATGTTAAAAGCTTCACTCCACTCATCAGTTATGTACAGGGCCGGCTCTAGTTTATTTGGTGCCCAAGGTGACCGTGCCCCTCTGTCACCCCCTCATGTTGAGCTTGCACTCTTCCCAAAAAGCAACTCCACAGCTATTAATCAATTATTCCTTTTATATTTTAAATGTTCCCACAAAATGTTTTAAAGACAAAAACCTAAAGACTAAATATAAGTCTGAAGGATAGAATTACAATGTAATAATAACCAACTACTTAGAATTGAATGAAAATGTGATGAGTGCAAAATCAAAAGCAACATAAAACTAACTGTGCAATCAAAAGAAAAAGTCGAATATTAAGGTTAAGACAACAACTTTTAAAGGCGACAGCCAAATAGATTACATTTTAATTTGAAAGATGAGTTCCCCAAAAAATATTACAATAACCAACAACTCAAAATGCCCTGCAAATGTTGTGAAAGAAATATTTATGCTTTCCATTTTGGTCAACATTGTTATAAATATAACTTAAGAACAATATGTGCAAAAACAAAAAAAAAAGTTTTTGCACAAGGAAAATACATTTTAATTTCTTAATTTAAGGTTGCAAAAGATTTGGGAGTATTTCCAGAAATAAACACCAAAACATTCCTAAAATTCCCAGTGTTGTTGGAAAACATAACTTCCTAGTAATGGCCTCCATGGTTCATAATTCATATATTTATTCCTTTTTTTTATTATTATGTAATGTTGCTCCATGACCAGCAGATGGCGCTCCAGGCAGCTGCCTGTGTCTCCTGGGCCTGATGATGTACCTACTAAGTTACCTACCACTTTTATTTTTTAGTTATCTAAAATATAAAATATTTTTATTGTCTGTCCAGCCTCTGTAGGTGTGACAAGTAACTACAGCTCCTCCTCAGGGATCTACCTTGGAGGAGACTCCTCAGGTGGAGGCGAGGGAGGTGGGAGCTACATAGATGGAGAGGGTTATGGGAGTGGAGGAGGTGGAGGAAGAGGGGAAGGAGGCAGTGGAAGCACTTATCTTGTGAGCTCCGTGTCGAAGGTCAGGTCCAGCTCATCAGGCGGTGCCAGGAGAGCTCAGACTGCTGGGTCATCAGTTGGGCTCTCACCAGGTTTCCGCGAGAGGAAGACCATATCCAGCCGCTCGGGAGGTTATGATGGTAGGTTCCTGTTGAAAATAAGGCAATTCAGAGGTGTCCGTGAATACAAACTAAACCAATTCTGGGGCGCTGGAACTGTTTATATGCCAATTCAACTTTTATGTTTTGCTTTTAGGGAGTTCCAGTGCCAATTCTTCACCAGAATTTCCACGCAAAGACTATGGGAACTACTGTAAGACAGTAGTCAGCGTAGGGCTAAATGTTTTGTTATTACACAATATCTTTGCATTTGAGGCCTGCAAATGTGTTTGAAGTTTCCTCTCATTTTTCTTTGTAGGCTCCGGTGCCACAAGAGGGAGGAGCGAAAGCAGAGGTCTGTTTTTTTTCCCTTTCATTATTTACGCTTAATCTGTCTGAGTTGTCTTGGCTTGCTTTTTTTTTAATGAATCAGGATTCCTTGATCCATTGTGTGTTTTTTTTTTTTCAGAGAGTGAAATCAGAGCCAGGTTACAAAGTGCCTCCCCATCTGCCGGAAGATGTAAGACCAACGGAGACACTGATCCTTTGGCTGTTATGCAACTCTTCAAAATGCAGAAAAAATGTTTCTGAGAGTCCTTTCAAAGAAGGACTTTGCTGTTAAATGATTTCTAGTGTGGGATTTTTGTTTTTGAGTTATGTGGCTGTCAAAGGTTTTGGCCTAAAAACTGCATTCCACACAGTCACACTCCAGATCTCACATAACTCAAAATTTCTATTAGTTACATTTGCAGTTAGGCTGCTTTACAAATACATTGGAGGTCTTTTTAAAACAGTGACGGCTGTGACTTAGTTAACACTATAGGATAATGTAAAGAAAAAAGTAAAAGGACCAGATCACATTGGCAGAAGTGGTACAAATGAGTCACTCCTGGTCTTGAGACAAAATTGTGGAGAGGAAAAGTACTAGTTGTTACTCCCCCTGATGATCACTGTGTGGAACTGCTGTTATTCAATCAAAATTACATAACTTTAAGTGCCACCTTTTACCCTCCTAAAATGGGTCTCCTACTTTCCATTATGGTAATAAATGTGTTTTGTTTAAAGTTACACAACACAAGAAAATCATTGCAAGTGAAAAATTGAATGTAAAAAAATGTTTTCTCTCGAGATTCTCTTGAGATCGTCCTCCTTTTTTAGTTTTCATATCTATATCTATATATATATATATATATATGTATATATATATATATATATATATATATATATATATATATATATATATATATATATATATATATATATATATATATATATATATATATATATATATATATATATATATATATATACAGGTGCTGGTCATAAAATTAGAATATCATGAAAAAGTAGATTGATTTCAGTAATTCCATTTAAAAAGTGAAACTTGTATATTATATTCATACATTACATACAAACTCATATATTTCAGATGTTTATTTTGTTTAATTTTGATGATTACAAATGACAACAAATTAAAATCTCAAATTCATCATATCAGAAAATTAGAATATTACTGAAGACCAATAAAAACAAAGGATTTATAGAAATGTTGGCCAACTGAAAAGTATGAACATGAAAAGTATGAGCATGTACAGCACTCAGTATTTAGTTGGGCCTCCTTTGGCCTGTATTACTGCAGCAATGCGGCGTGGCATGGAGTCGATCAGTCTGTGGCACTGCTCAGGTGTTATGATAGCCCAGGTTGCTCTAATAGTGGCTTTTAGCTCTTCTGAATTGTTGGGTCTGGTGCATTGCATCTTCTTCTTCACAATACCCCATAGATTTTCTATGGGGTTAAGGTCAGGAGAGTTTGCTGGCCAATTAAGAACAGGGATACCATGGTCCTTCAACCAGGTACTGGTAGCTTTGGCACTGTGTGCAGGTGCCAAGTCCTGTTGGAAAATGAAATCTGCATCTCCAAAAAGTTGGTCAGCTGCAGGAAGCATGAAGTGCTCTAAAACTTCCTGGTATGTGGCTGCGTTGACCCTGGACCTCAGAAAACACAATGGACCAACACCAGCAGATGACATGGCACCCCAAACCATCACTGACTGTGGAAACTTTACACTGGACTTCAAGCAACGTGGATGAAGTGCCTCTCTTCTTTTCCTCCAGACTCTGGGACCTTGATTTCCAAAGGAAATGCAAAATTTACTTTCATCAGAGAACATGACTTTGGACCACTCACCAGCAGTCCAGTCCTGTTTCTCTTTAGCCCAGGCAAGACGCTTCTGACGCTGTCTGTGGTTCAAGAGTGGCTTGACACAAGGAATGCGACAGCAGAAACCCATGTCTTTCATACGTCTGTGTGTGGTGGTTCTTGAAGCACTCACTCCAGCTGCAGTCCACTCTTTGTGAATCTCCCCCACATTTTTGAATGGGTTTTGTTTCACAATCCTCTCCAGGGTGCGGTTATCTCTCTTGCTTGTACACTTTTTTCGACCACATCTTTTCCTTCCCTTCGCCTCTCTATTAATGTGCTTGGACACTGAGCTCTGTGAACAGCCAGCCTCTTTAGCGATGACCTTTTGTGTCTTGCCCTCCTTGTGCAAGGTGTCGATGGTCGTCTTTTGGACAACTGTCAAGTCAGCAGTCTTCCCCATGATTGTGTAGCCTATAGAACTAGACTGAAAGACCATTTAAAGGCTTTTGCAGGTGGTTTGAGTTAATTAGCTGATTAGAGTGTGGCACCAGGGGCCATCAATTTTGAACCTTTTCACAATATTCTAATTTTCTGATATGATGAATTTGAGATTTTCATTTGTTGTCATTTGTAATCATCAAAATTAAACAAAATAAACATCTGAAATATATGAGTTTGTATGTAATGTATGAATATAATATACAAGTTTCACTTTTTAAATGGAATTACTGAAATCAATCTACTTTTTCATGATATTCTAATTTTATGACCAGCACCTGTATATTCTAGGTTCTTTAAAGTAGCCACCTTTTGCTTTGATTACTGCTTCGCAAACTCTTGGCATTCTATTGATGAGCTTCCAGAGGCAGTCACCTGAAATGCTCTTCCAACAGTCCTGAAGGAGTTCCCAGAGATGCTTAGCACTTTTTGGCCCATTTGCCTTCACTCTGTGGTCCAGCTCACACCAAACCATCTTAATTGGGTTCAGGTCCGGTGATTGTGGAGGCCAGGTCATCTGGCGCAGCACCCTATCTCTCTCCTTATTGGTCAAATAGCCCCTTTCACAGCCTGGAGGTGTGTTTGGGGTCATTGTCCTGTTGAAAAATAAATGACGCAAACCGGATAGCATGCTACTGCAAGATGCTGTGGGAGCCATGCTGGTTCAGTATGCCTTCAATTTCAAATAAATCCCCAACAGTGTGACCAACTAAGAACCCCCACAACATCACACCTCCTCCTCCGTGCTTCACGGAGGGAACCAGGCATGTAGAGTCCATCCTTTCACCTTTTCTACGTTGGAAAAAAAAAAAACGATCAAATTTGGACTCATCAGACCAAAGCACAGATTTCCACTGGTCTAATGTCCATTAGACCAGAGTAACTCATGTTCTTTAGCCCAAGCAAGTCTCTTCTTTTTGTTGCCTGTCCTTAGCAGTTGTTTCCTAGCAGCTATTTTACCACGAAGGCCTGATTCACATTGTCTCTTCTTAACAGTTGCTCTAGAGATGTGTCTGCTGCTAGAACTCTGTGTGGAATTGACCTGGTCTCTAATCTGAGCTGATGTTAATCTGCGATTTCTGAGGCTGGTGACTCAGATGAACTTATCCTCTGCAGCAGAGGTGACTCTTGGTTTTCCTTTCCTGGGGCGATCCTCATGTGAGCCAGTTTCTTTGTAGCGCTTAATGGTTTTTTCGACGGCACTTGGGGACACTTTCAGAGTTTTGCCAATTTTTTGGACTGACTGACCTTCACTTCTTAAAGTAACGATGGCCACTTGTTTTTCTTTACTTAGCTGCTTTTTTTCTTGCCATACTACCATTCTAACAGTCTATTCATTAGGCACATGAACATATAAAAATGCCTTAATATTTTGTTGGATTGAGTTAAATGCAGAAAAACATTACTCGTACAAATTTTCAAGGCTATAAAGTTGTATAAAAACAGAAAAGCCAATAACACCTAAGCAAACTGCACCAATTAGCCTTTGGACATGTGAAATACGGACGCAAAACAATCTAAAACTTCATACTGATAAAATAAGCTTTCATGGTGACTCTTCTTACAGCTGGTTTGTTCTGTCACAGATTTGCTGTCTAAGCTTTTTGAACAGCATTTGTATAACTGGTCTGTTAGGGGCTGAGCTGGAAGACGTGAAGAAGCTGCTGAAGGGACGCTCCAGCAGCGTCAGTCCTACCCGCTCCTCCAGCGCCTCCATCACGCTGCCAGTACCGAAAAAAGCCAGTGCGGAGAGCAAGACCCTCTCAGTGGCCACTCAGTCGGGTATACACTATACTGTTACTGGAGCTGCATATATGCATGTGCTGCACATTCATAGACACTTTGTCTGTCACCTAGATGGTTTAATCTAGAATCCTAAATGTCCCACAGCCACTGCTAAGCATCTGGTTTTTAAAATCCAGGATTTGCATGCTCCTTTGGGATCTAAAAACCCCAGCAGTGCCAAATACTCTAAGCCTAACTCTGGATTTGTTTATTATTCTGAAAGAAAAAAAGAAAAAACACAAATAAAGTTTTGATAAATTATAATGAGTTTATTTATGAGTGAAACCACTCAGAACAATGATGATGTGTAGTTTATGGTTACAAACTTAACAGGCTACTATTTACTATTTTTAAAAAGAGATGCACCAAACCTATATTGTTCCTGGCTGATAACAGTTTAAAGTATTCTTTGACCTGCAGATACTCAGTTTGATTGATTAAAAAAAAATGTTTTCATGGACTATGAAGCATAGTAGGAGAGAAAGTTTCCATGAATCCCAGGATAGATGAGGTGATTTTCATCCTTTTAAAAATATATAGCAAGGCTATCCTTTTATCTCCTAAGCTTCTTGAGTTTAACTCAAAGACAAACCAACTGCATGACGGTACATGCTGTCTGTTGCTGCCTTTAAAGATAAATAATATAAAATACTTAAAGTCTCTTTTTAGTTTTTATGGTTCTATTGAACGGGGAAAGAAAATTCTAATCTTCCACATTTTTTCCTGCCCATCCCTGGCCACAGCCTTTCAAAATAAAATTTTCCAATTACAAACATTTATTAGTTTCCTTTTTTTTTTTTACTCTGATAAAGTTTTTTTGAAATTATTTCATCCTCAGAATAAGACTTTCCAAGAGTTTTTAGATTTATTGCATACTGAATTTTAGATAACTAAGTATTTAGATATTTTTTAATGTCTTACTTTTCTTTTTCACGTCTTTCTCTGATCCTTATTTTCTGGTGATTTTTTCCCCTTCAACAGTTTCAACTTTATTTGAACCTGGTGTTCAATCAAGTGGCTTCAACACCATCGATGTGTCAGGCCTCTATGACGGCAGACTGACATCCAGGCAGCGTGATACTGGCGTCCAAACAGGCCAACATGCTGTCACTGTAAAATCTTGCCACTGCGACGCTGGAGTCAAATCCAGCCAGTATGACGTCAGCTTGGGTGCAGCTCAGTATGATACTGGTCTGAAGTCAAGCCAGTATGTTGTTTGTCTGAGTTCAGCTCAGTACGATACTGGTGTGAAGTCGGGAGGATATGACATGAGCCTGAAATCAGGGAGATATGATACTGGATTTAAATCTAGCCAGTATGACACCATTGGGAGATCAGGCCAGTACGACACCCTGGATTCAGCCTTTCCCACATTCTCTTGGTCCACCACCACCCTGCCCTCCTCAGCCACTGCCGTCTTAGCTGGAAACTCTGGCAGTTACACCTACCAGCTCGGCCAGGTCAGCACCAATAACATGTCAGGAGGCTCGCCGCCTATCAGCCCCGCCCCAGCACCATCTCTATCAGGTCAGTATCATCCCTCAGAGTAAAACCTAAAGTATTCTGCAAATACAATAGAAGGTGCGAAATCACAGTTTTAATTTAAAAGTCCATATTTTTTTAAACCAAAATAAGCGGAAGAAAGAAAGATATTTTTAAAAGTCACATTTTTAGAAGCTGCTGTTATTCCTGTTTCACAATTTGACACCAAGTTAATAAATGTGTTTCTGTTTAAAGTTTATGGCTTTCAGAATAACCTGGCTCCCACCTCTGCTGCTGTGCTCTCCACCAATGCCGTCAACGTTTCTTCTAGCATGGGAGGTATGGCTGCAAGTCAATGTAGTATCAAATACCTTTAATTAGGGTTGGGAATTGATAAGATTTTCACGATTCCGATTCCGTTATTGATTCTGTGAAACGCTTCGATTCTTTATTGATTCTGTGAAACAATGCACTTGGTAAGTGCACGGTGACATTCGTCTACCTTCGCCTGGGACATTATATTTCTGCCTGCCACTGTGAAAACCAAAGGCAGTGAACGGGATCTGCCAGCCTCTGAGCCAGCCAGGCTACCCGTCTCGTCACAGTCATCTAAATCTAATGGAGAAAGTATCCGTTTAATGAAAAAGCATTACTGTACAATTTCAGGAAATAAACTGATCTCCCCCTGATTTGAATAAACAAGCGTCACCTTTGTCTCGCTTCCTAAACTGCCGAGCAACTTCGTAGCATGTTTATTAACCCCAAAGAGAGGTAGGAAATTGGTTTATTTCCACCAGAGTTGCCTTCCATGTTGGTTGTAACTTTAGCTTCTGTCCGGAATCTATAAAAACACGGCATTCGTTAAAATGTATGCCATGTTGTGTGCGCAGGTGTTTCTGCATGTTGGAGCATTTCCTCCAGCGGATGTAATTGCCACTTTGCAATGATTGCAAAGTGCGTTGTTGCCATCTTTCTCTTCCTTAAAATGAAGCCAAACTTTCGATCACTTTGAGCACTTTTGTTTTGCTTTTCTAGATTTACACCTGGTCACGTCGTACTTGCTTACTGAATGCCATGTGTGTAACTTGCATAAAAAACCTAATGTAAGTCGTGCTGCCCAGCGCTAGGCTCTGGTGCTGCTCGGAATTGATAAGGGAATCGTTAAACGAGCTGCCAAACTGTGCCATGGAATTGGAACACACGGAACCGGTTCTGAACAGAAACCGGTTTTCGATTCCCATCCCTACCTGTCATGCTATCATAAACCCAAACAGCACTTTTATTTACAAAGAGTTTAATTCGACAGGTTATGGCGTCCAGAAGAATGTGTCAAATGGTGGTGCTGCCATCAGCTCAGGGTTCTCTACAGGTAATGAATAAGGAACAAACAACTGTGCAGGAGACTTATGATGTAACTGAACTGCCCTATCAATGTGTTGCCATTTTTTCAGCTACAAGGTCCCAAACAGATGATGCCTACAAGAGAGATTATAAATATACTGTCTCTGAAAAGGGGAACGTTCCAGCCAGGAGGGAGGGGGAAATGCTCATCCTGGCAAAAGACAGCGGGAAACAGTTTACCACCAGCAGCAGTGCTCAGGTTGGAGGAGGTGAGTGGGGAACTTATCGCCCTCTCATGGAGAACAAGAGACACTTCTCATGTTTAAAGACGATCCCACCCACTAAATGTTCCCCCAAGATTTCACGTATTTCAGCTGAAATACCTGAAGGAGGTCAATACTTCTTTTTTAATGGGTAATTTAAGATCAAAGCCCTTTAAGACATAATAAAAGGCTCTTTTTTCATTGATAAAAGAGAAAGTTTCACACCTCTAAAATGTTTTAAAGAATTCTTGTTGATAAATAATAATTTTAATTTAAATAAATCTATATTTCTGTATTTTACGCTAAAAGGGATCAAATGCAGTTTGGATTTTTTAAAACAGTGATTTAGCCCTTTAATTTAACTTTATAACGGAAGCTAAGATTACTATTTCAGTCTAATTATTTCTTAAAATACAAAAAAAAAGAGAGTGCCTCTCTCTCATTGTCCAAATATGTATAGATAGGCAATATCGTTTTTTTTCTCCTATACTTTTGTTGCCCTCAGACACAGTTGCACCATGGGCAGGGAGCCATGTTGCCCAAATTAAAAAACTGCTACTGGCAGCAGTGTAAACCAGATCAGCCATCTGATATGTGCAGCAATATTTTTTTACAATGCGAAAACAGCAAAGGGACGTCCACTATCACTGACATGGCTGCATTGTGAAAAATGCAATATGAGTTATTGCTGATGAGTTATTGTTTCACATTATCCTCCTTGCAGGTTCACTGTCAGGCGACTCCTTAAAGAAGGAGAAGCTTATTTCCAGCTACATCGACACAGGAACCATGAAAACAGATGCAGGCAACTCGTACTGTGAGCAGAGATTATACACACTATTTATATACTTTTCAGAAATTTTCAGTGTAAATGTGTGATACTCACCAGTTTTTTTCTATTAGATGGATCATCTGGAGTCCTAATGAAAGACAAGGCGACATATGCAGGTATATCTATAGTAACATTAGCCCTTCATGTGGCACTCATTGAAATACTTTGAAAATCAAAATTTTAGCTTAGAGTGTTATTGAAGGACAGGAGAAGACCTTATAGTTTTTGTAACATTCAAAAACTATGTATATTTTGATGGCAAAAATTAAGGTCAATGTAATAACAAGAAAGAAGTCACTTTGTCTAATATATTTAGAGAAATAACAAAAGTGCTTTTATAAAAAAAATCATTAAAAACACTCACAAAGTGAAAGAAACAATTATTTTGTTACAACATAAGTAAGTAAATAAGTATTTTTTTTTCTTAAAATAAGTTAACTTTTTCTGGAATTGAGGAGAAAAGTGAGATACTTTTCCAATTGAAAAAGAAAATTAACATTCAACATAAGAAAAAACAATTGCCTTGACTTATTTCATGTGCATAATATCTAGTTATCTTATTTTAATAGTAAAATACTCTTTCCATTGGCAAATCATCTTTTTTACATACTCAAATTAAGGCGACACACTTAATTTAAGACATTTGTATTTATTTCTACATCATTTTTTAAGCGTAGAGTATTAATACTGATACAGGCAGTTACATTTTTTCTAAACTCTTATCAACATCTAATTGGTCAATTGCAAAAATAACATGTAAAGTCACATACATGCGTATCATTGCTGAATGGTTAAATATAAATCTTGTGTTTCTAGACCTCACTGAGGGATAGGGGGGTTTCCATTTGTAGGTGATATGCAAGTGATCTAAAACTTGCCCTATAAAGGGATTTATGCATTTTTCAATAAAGATTCAGAGAATTGTTCAAACTTCAGTGGACTTATTTAATGAGAATTGTGAAAGATCCCAACATGATTAAATAACTGATAAATAACAAAATTGAAGACATCTTAACTATCTCTTCTTTGTTTTTAATAAATAATTTTTTTTTCGATAGTATAAAATGTCAGAGTAAATTCTTGCAAAGTGAGGGTTTCAGTCTTCAGCTAAATGTACTGTTTTCAGAGATTCATAGGGACAGCGGCGTCTTTGGAGGAGGAGGATTCTGCTGTTGCTCTGACTCCTGCTGCTCCTGGTGGAAGTGGCTGCTGGGTTTGCTGCTCCTCTGTCTGCTCCTACTCGGGCTCCTGTTTGGCCTCATTGCACTGGGTAAGACTGGCTCATACAGCGCTATTTGAGTTTATTGAAAAAGAGGAAAATACATTTTTTTATTTCAGCCATCCTGAGGGTTAATAGCCTCAGCAGCACAAGATGTTGGAGAGATTTTAGACTTTTAGCTTTTATAAACTGGTGAGCATGCTCTGTGAGACAGTACATGTAGGCCCCTTCCTGGAAATATGATCCCTGCTTGGCTCCCTCTCTTTCATAAAGTCTGGCATTCATTGTCCATGGAGCAGCTTTGGAAATATTTGCAGGGTGACATCACATTACACTACATATAAGTCAGTTCTCTGTGCAGTGAAAGAGTCAACAGTCTGGCTATATAGTGATAAGACTGGGATAAACAGACTGGTAAAAACTTCTTCCTCTAAAATAAAGTGTATTGCACTGCACCGTAAAGCAATGGACACATCTGTTGCCATTAAAAATTAAAAAAAAATTCCCACTGCTATTGACAAAATCTTCATTGAATTTCTTTCACAGCCTTTTTCACATTATGAGTGACATCATGTGGTCAGTTTTTCCTTTATACAATAGAAAGATTTACTCTGAATATTAAACGTTAAGTTATGTTCCTTTAAGAAATGTCCAGTTTATTTATTAGTAAGCATTTAATGTCAGTTTACTTGAGTTTAGACATTCGGTTCCACAACCTCCCTGCTTGTTTTATCTAGTATTATTGCTTATATTATTTCATTCGTTTCTTTATAGCTACATGGTTTAAGTTGGGAGGCGCAAAAGACACCAAGCTCTGTTTATTACTTTCCATTCACTGGGTTTCCAACAGCAACAGGCAATACTCCACCACCCAGTACCATGCAATTGTTTATTATTTTTTTGCTTTATATTCTTGCCTAATTCAAAAAAGCAACATCTAAAAGAAAACCTAAAATACTCTTTTAAGAAATTACATTACATTAGGATTACAGTTGCGCATGTCTTGTGCGACACAATGGCAGCCCACTGCTTCTCAAGGGTTAAATGCAGAGAGGGAATTTTCCCTATTGTGGGACAAAAAAGGGATTTAAATTAGATTAGATGGTAACACCCCACATTGTGATAGCACCCACACCCTCCTAGAAGCCCATCCCCGCAAATAATGACTTGGTAAATATGATTATTAACTGAATTATAAATATATATGTATATCCCCTTATTTAGCCCAGCAGGGGTATGGTAACGAGCCACTCATTTGATTCAGTTGTTAAAAATGGGGTGCATCAAAAAGTAGCAGGATAGCAGCTGTTAAGGACTGGACTTGAGCACCCCTTTGCTAGAGTATAGGGCGATGCACGGGGGAGGTAATTCTTGGCATTTATCCACCAAAACTACATTTTTGGGGATTCATGCATAATAAATATGAAAACATTAAGAATATGTTTCAAAGTTCCCTTTTCTTTCATATTTCAATCCATTTTCTCATCAGTGTGCGAGAGGGCAGGTAATTCTTGGCATATCAGCATCTTTCATTTCTAGAGCTAAATTCATGTTAAATTTTTAAAAACCTCGGGATCTTCACATCACAAGAGACATTCTAAACAGAGATTTTATATTACCCTCAAACGCTGTTGCCCCAAAGTCGTATTTTTGGAGACACTATATTGTTAAAGTGGGACATCTATAATTGGAATTGGGACACTCTATTTTTTTGCAGCAAAGACACAGTAAGAAATTAGCAAAAAAGTCAAAATTGTCAAAATTTTAAGTAAGAAGACGAATTGAAGTGTGATTTTGCAAAGAAAAAAAGACACTTGGTATTTTAAATTCTGGAGGTAAGCACAAACATATGAATGACTTTGGCAGAATTCAAATGAGTGATTTTAATCTAAATTGATCTATATTAATTCCAAGATTACAGTGAGATTAAACTAGATAAAAAAAAATGAATCTATGCCCACCAATATATATGCATATATTTTCCAGCTGCACATTGAAAATATAACTTTTTTCAGCTGAGGACATGAGGAGGCTCAAGAAACGGGTGGCAGATCTGGAGACCAAGGCCTTGTTCACCGGCGCTGAGTCTAGTCGGCTGATTGGTGGAGGTGGAGGAACAGGCTCCGACAAGACCTTCATTCTGGGAGGTGGAGGTGGAGGCACTGGCTCTGATAAAACCGTCATTTTTGGAGGTGGTGCAGGAGGTGGAGGAACAGGCTCTGATAAAACCATCATTTTTGGAGGTGGAGCAGGAGGTGGAGGAACAGGCTCTGATAAAACCATCATTTTTGGAGGTGGAGCAGGAGGTGGAGGAACAGGCTCTGATAAAACCATCATTTTTGGAGGTGGTGCAGGAGGTGGAGGAACAGGCTCTGATAAAACCATAATTTTTGGAGGTGGTGCAGGAGGTGGAGGAACAGGCTCTGATAAAACCATTGTTGGAGAGGGAGGTGGAGGCAAAATCTCTGCTGCTGGGGCCGGTACGGGCAGCACTGGTGCCTCTTTTAATGGGAGCGCCAGCAGTGATGGTAATGGTTTCAACACTGGCACCGGTGTTTGGAACGGCGTTGGGACTGCTGTGAGTGGAGCATACATTGACAACGTCCTTCAGACAACCATCTATAGAATGTTAAGATCTGAAATGCAGTCGCAGACCTTCAAAGGTAAAGCAGAGTCACACACTGTCCAACATTCATGTTCTGCATCAGCTCACTAAAAAACTTGCTTTCTGCCTCAGCCTTTTTAGCAACCTCAGTGCAGGGAGAGAGGGGGTTACCTGGACCCAAAGGTACCAGTAAAATATGGTGCTTTTCAGAATCTGTTTAAATTACATCAGAATTCAAGTTTATTTAAGTAATTATAATCGTTTGCTTTTTCAGGCGACCCTGGATTGAAAGGTTGGGAAACACAATGTCTATTTTCTGCTTTTTTCACTGTAAAAGTTTAATCAAGCTAAAATATCTTTGTGCGTTGCACCATCAACAGGAGAAGCTGGCGTCCCTGGACTTCCAGGTGTGTTTAAATTTTCTACAGTTCACTTTCATGTTTGCACTCCTTAGTGAGGTTCTTTCATGATGCCATTTTACAGACTTTGACCTTTGGTTTCAGGTGTTCCAGGTCTGATAGGACACACTGGCCCTGAGGGCCCTAAAGGACAGAAAGGAAGTCAAGGTAAAGAGACTGCTTAAGCTCACCATCAATGATGCTACCTATTGGTTATTATAGATTGATGTCTATATGCAAAACATCGTATCAGGTGAGCATGGAGTAGATGGACCACAAGGTATTAGGGGCCGCGACGGACCACCTGGACCTAGAGGCGACATGGGACCTCCAGGCTTTGGACAGAAAGGAGATAAAGGTATGCCTCAGTGTAGGAGTTTTAAACTATTAATTTGCTAATTCTGGCATAAATACAAGTGTTCTGATGCAGGGGCTCAAGGTGAACCTGGTTCTGTTGGACCTGCTGGGCCTCCTGGATCAAAAGGTACAATCAGAAATGGTAAAATAAAAATGTTGTTAAACAAAGAAAAAAGGAAATAAAACTAAAGGAATATCTGTGCCATGTCAAGTGTATTAATTGAGTAGAGTGTATGAATTAAAGATGCCACTAGATGGCAGTGTGGAATTGGTCATTTTTTGTCTCCTAACGTCACGGGTTCACACCTAAACATAATTACCTAAAGCTAAAGAAGTCTGTGGCGAAATATGTGTAGCGCATTGTTGGCTCACAATATATGATGTAACAACTTTATCAACATCCTTCCCGCATGTTTAGATGATGGAAGACCCTTCTAAGCTTGACCTTAAATCTGTCATGAGCAATGAAATCATAGTACCTACTGGATCTGCAAAGAAAACTCGTTTCCATATAGCAGAGCGGGCTGTCAGATAGGCAACTAACATCAGCCAACAGGTCCTTGATGTTTCTATAACAACAATCAACTGAAATAAATCATTGGTGTCCAGACAACACTCTGGCTGAGGTTCACCCAGGTGAAAACATTGTGTTATATATCATGTAAAGAGGGTGATCTGTCATAATTGTTAGTTAACTCTATTTCCTCCCCTGGACTCTGCATCTATACAGTATAAGACAGTTTAGAGTAATATATTTAGGTATTTGTCTGGTAGGAACATCCAATCAAACAGTATGCGTGTCTCTGTGGGAGAAAGGGATGACCCACCTTAGTAAACTGAAGGGAGAGATCAACATAAGGGTTGAAGGTATTACTCAACTACTGTCTGCAGCACAAAGAAAGCGCAGACAGTGCAGCAGGGGTAGGAGTAACCTGACTCTTTTCACTGCTTCTCAGCAGGTGTTTGATATTTAAACCGAATGTTCTGAAAGCTTCAGTGCAGAAATAAATCTGAATGAATATCAGGATCTATTTAATCCTGTGACCCTGCTATAACGGAGCTGCTTATAGTTTAGTTATGGTCATTTCTACTTTGTTGTTTTTTTCTGAAGGTCCACAAGGAATCCAAGGGTTACCTGGCCCACCTGGTTAGTTTCTTTCTTTCATGCACATGATTTAGTTATTTCGTGGTTAGTAGAACAAGCTTAAAATGCTACTCAATATGCTCCCTTTTTTTTTTACTTGTAGGTCAACCAGGTGCTCAGGGCTTCCGCGGTGAAGCAGGACTACCTGGACAAAAAGGTTGGTTCCACATAGGATCGCTCCACTTAGGATTAAGAGAAAAGAGCACAGTGTGTTATGGCGTTCATGTTCTCTATGATTCTAAGTGGGACCATATATGTAGACGCCTCATTGGACACTGGCCGACGTGCCTAGAGGTGCGGCCATCTTGAATCAGACAGCCACAGTCTGACAGCTGCTGTCAGTAAAAGGAGGCAACCTTAAAAGACCAAAAAAAATTCTAAAATTACCTTTATGTTAGATTACACATATTAACTCAGATTAAAAAGTATTTAAATTGAACTCAAACTGGATGAGATATGGAAAGTTATATATTTTTCAAATAAATAAAAGAAATATGATAAACACAAAGTTTTTTATCAGTATATTATAAGATGTTTTATATCTTATATATTATCGTATATTATGTTATGTTTTAAAATATTATATATCTATATAGTATATTATTATTATTATTATTCAGTATTTTTAAGGATTGTTCTTTGGTACTTAGTATTATGATCTATAGAGGAAAATTTGTTGCAATGTGATTTACAAATGAGAGTAATTTTTATTTTATTTTATGTTGATTTTTATTTTTTGTCAAATTGCAGTGAATCGTAAATTTATGTTGTGTCAAACTAAAGAATTTATGTCCTTTGCTCAAACTTCTTCCAAAACTCTTTTTCGAACTATGTTTTTTTATCTCACTGTATTTGTGTATAGACTAGACATTACAATCCTTTTCAACATAAATCTGCTTGGATTCCACAGGATAACGTCCTTCTTCTGGGTGTTTGTGTGTGGGTGTCATGTATATATACTATATATGACAAACATTAGCTGATAAAAGAACATTTTATTTATTATTACACCTTTATTTTTACAGGCAAGTCATTAAGTTCTTATTTACAATAGCGGCCTGACAAGTGGAGTAACCACTTAGGAAAAGGGAAGTAGGGCTAAAGAAAACATAGTTTAAAAAAGCAGTTTGGACAAAAACCCTTTTGTTAGACACAACTTAAATTTACCATTCACTACAATTTGTCAATGATAAGAATTAAAATAAAATTGATTAAAAAAAAAATAATAATAATAGCAAATCACATTTTAACAAATTTCCCTCTATAGATCACAATACTCATCAAATAGCAATCCTTAAAATACTGAATAATATTTAATATTCTATGTAAATATATAATATATGTAAAACATAATCTTATAATATATCAGTATAAAACTTTTTGTTTATCATATTAATATTAATTGCTAAATATATAACTGCATATATCTCATCCAGTTTGAGTTCAGTTTAAATAGTTATTAATCTGAATAAATATGTGTAATCTAACTGAAGAGTAATTTAAAATTTGTTCTGGTCTTTTAAGGGGTTGTGACATGGAAGAAATTATTGTAATATTATATTTCACTTATGTTTCATGGGATTAAAATGAGATCTAAGGCATCTTCTATTCATTCTCTCTGAACTGTGGTCTGATCCAAGATGGCCGCCCTCTAGACATGTCGGCCTTGCTGACGACAGCGTCTAATGAGTTGTCTACGTATATATTGTCTATGAGTGGTACTTTTCTCTGTCTGCAGGGGATAGAGGGCTCGCTGGATTTCAAGGACTTAAAGGTTTGTAGATTCTCCTTGTTTCAGAAGATTACATCAATTCAGTGGATGTTTTGAATAAGTTGTATTAATTGTGTATTTTAGGTGAACCTGGTGAAAGGGGAGTCAGAGGTCTGCAAGGTGGGCAAGTCTCTGTTAATTAGGCTGTTAAAAACCCAATCTGCACGGGTTTACTGATCCAGATGTATTACTTATCAGGTGAACGTGGTTTACCAGGTCTCCAAGGACCTGCAGGAGAGAAAGGCTCCAAAGGATCAATGGGTGAGTTATTGGTGAACTGAATCTTACGTCATCCCTGGTTGCTTGAAATCAATAACATGATCATCTTGTTTCATGGTGCTGCAAAGAGCAGTTTGAAACAAACCATTTTACAGCTGAAACCATGTTGTAGATTTGTTTAGGAATAAGAACATTTTTCTTTTTGTCATCAGGACTTTCTGGACAAGATGGTCAAAAAGGATCAAGAGGTAAATCACACGGCATTTGACGAGGCCTTCTTCTAAGCTCTACCATATCTCCCCAAAAAGTGTCAAATGTAATCAACTGGTCATCAGAAATTCTGTTGTTTCTTTGATGGGTTTCAGGAGACCAAGGGCCTCCTGGACTCAGGGGTGCTGCTGGGCCTCCTGGAGATGCTGGACCTGCAGGTGAAATCTCTCTCTATTAATGTTTCATTGTTTGACCATATAGCTATACATGTTTTATTAAAAATAATATTGCACTTTCCTCCTGTAGGACCACCAGGACTTCAAGGAGCACCAGGTAGGACTCTTTTTAAGCATGCAGCCCAGGAGCTCCTGGTCTAAAAAGAGGGTTCAGGCTCTGTTAAATGGCTGTAACCATCGTTTTTTTCTAGACTGAGATAAGTTGGTGCTGGAGTCTGATGGTAATGGATGGTCCAAGATGGACCAATATCAAAGTAGAGCTCTATAGCTCCAAAACAAATCTAATTTCAATGATATCCCAGTCTTACTCTATGGATTGTTTTAAAACATCATCACATTTATAGTGGGTGGTTCTCTTTGGGTGGCAAGGATCCCATTTGTGTCTGTTCCACCTATCCAGTCAGAGTTTCTGTGTAAAGATGGACAGCTTTGTGCTTTCCACAACTCCTCTCCTACAAGGGGTCCCTCAGGGGTCAATTATCGGTCCTCTTTTATTTTCCCTTTACCTACTCCCCCCTTTTGCTCTGTTTTAGGAAACAAAGCATTAATTTCACTGTTATGTTGATGACTATTTCCCTTCTGCATATAATACTGCAATCAAGAAACTTGCGCATTGTTTCAAGGACATTAAAGCATGGCTCTCTTAACTTCCTAAGTCAAAACAAGAAAAAGACAGAAGTTATGTTATTTGGTCACAAATCTAGGGATAAAGTTTGAAAGCAATCTTAAAGTTGAGAAACAGATCAGCAATGTTGTTCAGAAAAGTTTTTATCAGCTTCAAATAGCTAAATTGAAGCCAATCTTTAAAAGCCTGACCTGGAGAAAGTAGTCCATGCTTTTATGACAGGTCGTCTGGACTGTTGTAATGCTTTTTATGCAGACATTAGTCAGATGTCTCTTGCCCGTTTGCAGGTTGTGCAGAACTCTCCTGCTTGTTTGATAACTCACACTTGGAGGTGTGAGCATATTTTCCCTATCCTGGCGTCCCTCTATTTGACCCCTGTTTATTATAAAATTCATTTTAAGCTGTTATTTGTTTTTAAATATCTAAACAACCTCGCTCCACCATATCTATCTGAGTTTCTCCAGCATTACTGCCCACCTCGATCACTTAGGTCTGCTGATCAGCTTCTTCTGACTGTCCCTAAAACTATGCTGAAGCTAAGAGGTGACAGAGCATTTGCTGTAGCAGCTCCTACATTATGCAATAGGTTGCCGCTAAATATCCAACAGGTTTCCTCTTCACCTGTCTCTAAATGTCTTTTGAAAACACATTTTGATTCCTTTGCTTTTGACACTGTGATCCAGTTTTGTATATCACTGCTCCTATTGTGGATTGATTGATAGATATTGTTGCATGTGACAATATGTGACAATATCAATCCATTTAAATTGCATGTCAGAAAAAAAGCACCGGCTACTAAAAGCAATACACAAGAACACAAAATGTATTTCTCAGCTGTTTTTTCACAATTGCAAGCGGTAAGAAATGCCAATGAATAGGTGACATCTGAAACTATAACCAAGCTATACAGTACAAGATAAATCTAAATAAGTCATTTTGTCTTAAAATAAGTGAATTTTTTTCCTTGAATTGAGGAGGTGACATTTTGCCAATAGAACAGGACAATTTAAACTTAAAATAAGAAAAGAACAATTGCATTGTCTTATTTCAAGTGCATGTTATCTAATTATCTTATTCTAAGAGTAAAAAAATCCTTCCATTGGCAAATCATCTTATTTGCCTACTCAAATTAAAGGAAAATACGCTTAATTTAAGAAATTTTATACTTATTTCTAGATTTTTTTGTAGTGTAAATCAGCAGACATATTGGATACTTTAGGCAGGGCTGTTTAGCTAATGAAGCTCAGATTTTTCATGTTGGAAGTTCAACTTCAGGATGTGTTTTTAAGACTAGGAACTGCTAGATAGAAAAAGCGACAATTATATTAAATCATGAAATTAACAGAGTTGTGCCGTTTAGATATTAACTGCTTGATCCCCTTACAGAACCTGTCTTTAAAAGTTCATATCCATCAATATAATGTTAGCCACATGATCAAACATGATCTCTGTGTTGCTAGGCATCCCAGGAAATCCTGGTCAACCAGGAATCAAAGGTAAAGCCGTTGTCAACCTTTGTAATTGTGTTTTTCTATCGCATCCTGCTGCTCAGTGTTCAACATGTGTTTGTGTTTTTAAGGTGAAACCGGCCAACCAGGACGAATCATCAATGCAGGTGAAAGAAAAAATATGATAAAACGTGTTTCATCCTTTTTTATGAGACAACAGCCGAAGATGCAATGATTTGTTTTTATTTCCCAGCTGGTTCAACATCCATTGGCATCCCAGGACCACCTGGACCTGCTGGTCCCCCTGGTCCTGCAGGTCCTCCAGGACTATCAGGTCTCTATCTTGGCAACATTTTCCCGATGTTCACTATTCTAGATATCAGAATCTGATTACGCAGTAAATTCAATCTGTTCAATGTTATTCATTCACATCCTCAGGTCCGATTGGCCCTGCTGGTCTACCTGGTCAACCTGGTAGGTCGGCTTTTTATTTGGATTTTAAGTAGTTTACTTAAAGATACTTAGTTTTATAAATTGCGTGACACGTAAATCTTGTCTTTGCAGGTCCTAAAGGTGACAGAGGAGAGATGGGAATAACAGCAAGAACCAGCGAAACTGTACATTTATCAACAACAGGCAGTAAATCATTTTTTATTTTTTGACAAATAGATGTTTTAACAGATAAAATATTTAATAGTCAGACTTCATAACAAAATTGATTAAACTAAATACGTTATATCCTGGAAATGACTGAAAAAGACTTGAGTCCGGGTAGAAGTTCAGCTTCCAATAAAACAGCAGCATTTATACATATATTGAGATTTCGTAGAATTGTTTTGATCAATCACTCAATAAAATGTCAAGACCTAAATCCGACTGAAAATTGTAGAAAATAATTGAACACAAATTTTTATACATTTATGGAAATCATTATTAGACTACCATTGACTTTTAGATAACCTGCATGTATGTTGAAAATTGACTTAATTTAAATCAATAACCCGAAAGCTGTCCTTTGATAGTGTTTAGAGGTGAATATTATATTTATTAATGGATTTGTTTTTTTTTTTTTGCTTTAGGTCGGTACACCAATGGAGGAAACACACATGGCCCACCAGGTCCACCTGGGCCTCCTGGACCTCCTGGACGTCCAGGTGAGAGATCAGCTTCCTGAAGAGTCAGACCAAGTCCAGAAATCAGCTGGGTTATATAGTTTCTGATATTTTGATCTTTCATAAGGCGACTCAAGACAAGGACCTCCTGGACCTCTAGGACCCCCAGGAGAGCCAGGCAAGTATTAGGTTAAAATATGAATTCACATTTAGTTTTTGTGGCAACGCTTTTAGATGTGATGGGGTCACGGTTAGGGTGTGATTAAATGCCATTAAGTATTGTTCTTTAGGTTATGGAAGACCAGGACCTAAAGGAGAAAAGGGAGATGCAGGCTCTTCATCAAGCTCAGGTAACATCGACTTTCGTCTGCATTTAGTCTTTCCAAGTTGTGGTGACAGACAGATTTAATGCTGCTTTGCCTACAGGAACATATTATCGTGGACCACCAGGACCTCCTGGGACACCTGGTCTTAAAGGAGAAACAGGTGATATGATAATGCAGATCTCTCCCTCTCTACTCCAGTTTGAGGTGTTGTCAGCACTTAATCATGTTGTCTCTGTGTTTATGTAAGGTTCTCCGGGACCCCGTGGATACACAGGTATGTCTGTCATTGAAAATGTCAGACATCAATAAGATGTTGCTTGGATATAAAAAAAAAACAGACGAAAAGCGACAGTCCTTTTTACAGCTAAAAGATGTAAAAGTTATCGCATGTGTTTAAGGTGAACCAGGCCCACCAGGTAGACCCGGAAGCTCTACTGGTTTTGCAGGAAATGTGATCCCTGGACCCACAGGTCCACCAGGACCTCCTGGAGTCCCAGGATTACCTGGAGTGAAAGGTAACCCTTACAAGCTAAAATGCTTAAGTCTTCTTTTGTTTTGTTGATTGGTTTTGCTGGAAGATTTTGCCAATGTCACATTCACATGATGACGTGTGTGATTTTTGGTTTCATTTAAAGGAGACACTGGAGCTCCGGGAATACCAGGTACGTCAAAAGATGGAGATATTTAAAAATATCCTCCTAATGGTGCTGTCACACCTTGACGATTTAGCCAACGCATGCTGACGTACGCTGAACATTCTATGTATTTTTTCAATTTTGACCGTATACATAGAGTGCTCATAAGGACACCAGAACTTTTGTCCAATGACAGCCTAACTTATGCATAACGCACGGCGGCGTAATGCCCATGAAATTTCACGAGCCAGTCTCCTAAAATGGGACACTGGGACACATGTCTTAGAAAAAAGAAAGAGAGAAAGAAATAAGCATCATGTCTGCTAGGAGGTTTGTTGGGCGTGGGCGTGAACATAGGGAGGATCCATCACACTCAGCTTCATGCTCACCCTATGATGGGGAGATACAGTTTGGATAAGCTAGAAACCACGACTTATTAGTAACTTACAGTTAATGTGTGTCAACGATCACATAGCTTACCTGTAAATTATGACCCACGTATGAGCATACGCTGGCATACATCAAGAAATAAAATTCCTTGCCATACGTTGATGTGTGCCAGCATGCTTGGGTGTGGTCATAACTTATACAAAATGTACCCATAAATTATCCAATGCACAACAGTATTTTTGCCAAATTTTTGGTACGTCAGCATACGCTGGATAAATTGTCAAGGTGTGACAGCGCCATAAATGCCCTCACTGCAAAAAGTCATCAAAAAGTAAGTCAAAACTTCTTGAAATCAGGGTGTTTGCCCACAATATGAGCAGGTACATCAGAGGTTCATCCAACTAAATGAGTACTATTGCCCTCAACATAAGACTATTAGATATTATGCACATGAAATAATTTTTTTATTTTATTTGAAATACAAATCATCTACCTATCTGCCCAAATTAGGGGAAATTCATTTATTTAAAAAAAAGTTTACATATTAATACTGAGATTTTTGCATTTTATTCTCTAAATGGGTTTTATTCTGGTAAAGACACCCTGACTTTCTTATCTTTTTAGGCTCAGTGACAGTCACCTCCAGCCGTTCTGGTCCCCCAGGTCCTCCTGGTCCTCCTGGCCCACCAGGCAATTTTGGCGACTCCACAGAGATGCGGCAGTACATTTCAGACTATCTGAGTGAGTGTCTTAAAAAGCATGAGAGAGTTGGATGATATAAGAGCATTAGAACAAATATTAATGGGTTTTTTTCTGGTCCGCACAGGTAGATACAGACTGAGTGGTATGTCGGGCCCTCCAGGTCCCCCTGGGCCCCCAGGCCCTCCAGGCCCCTTAACAGGAACCATACAGGACATCTCTACTCGTGTCATTGCATACCTGCGACGTAAGATCTGATAATAATCATATGAAGAGGGACTGCTCATTTGTTGGTCACAGCTAGCTGTAGGTTACCATGTTTAATTGTTGCATAATTCCAGGTTCAGATTCTGGCTTCAGCTTTGGAGTTCAGGGACCTCCAGGACCACCTGGTCCTCCCGGACCTGGCTCTGGATCCCTAACTGTCAATGCTCTCATCACCATGCTTCAGAGTGAGTACATAAACAGCTCCCAGCCATGGTGGAAAAGTGCCTAAAAAACATGGATGCATTGAATCTGCTTAGTTTAATACATTGTTTTTTAATTCCTAATCATTCATAATATTTTTTCAGTCAAGAACCTATTGTATTTCCCAGAATAACCCATAACTTACTTATTGGCCCATTTTTTTTCTGCAAGAAAATATTTCTCAGATTCGCTTCCTCAAAACTTGGGATGTCCTGATCCGATATTAATATTGGATAATGGTGTTAAATTAGCCAAAGAACTTAGATCAGATTATATCGGCCTTCCTGTCTGATATTTTTTGAAACACTTAAAACATTGTTAAAAGTTTCTGCAACTTATTGGTTAATTTTACATGGGTCAGCTGTTTTCACACCTATTGTTTTTCACTTTTGTTCTTCGTTTTAGTTATATCACTGGATCAAACAAAAATTTGACAGTACAAACAAATGAATAAAAGCGTGTATGATGAGTGCTAATATTGTATCGGGTCACTATCGGCATCCGTCGATAGTCAAAACTTCAGTACCGGTATTGTATCGGAAATAAATAAGTTGCATTGGGACATTCCTTCTCAAAGCATTGAACTGCAGCATGGCATCTTGGAATTAAAGATAAAAATGCTTTTCATCTTCATGCTCATCATTTGTGTGTTTCCGCTTTGAAATGACTAGGAGATGATGTGAGAAGGTATTTGTCAGGACCTCCGGGGCCACAAGGACCGCCTGGACCACCGGGGGCCTCAGGCGAACTTACAGGCAATTACAGAATGGAGGAGATAGCCATGTATGTCTTCAATATCATGAATGGTAAGAGCAGCTTACAACAGATGTTACTACCAATGGGAAGTGCTGTCAGTCATTAACTCTACCAAAACCTCCAGAGAGGGGGATTGCAAGAGGTCCACAAGGTCCCCCGGGTCCTCCTGGAGCTCCAGGTATAGGAGGCTCTGGCATCAACACTGCTATGATTGACTACTCCGAACTCATCCGCAGTAGGTTGATTCATCCGTTTCACCCATCTTTAACGACTCGAAACTAAAACCTAATCAACGTTTTGGTTATATTTCTAACCACTCAGATGCAGATTTCCGCTCCTGGATGGCTTCTGTTATGCGGCAGGGTCCGCCCGGTCCACCGGGTAGGCCAGGGCTGCCAGGTCCTGCTGGTCCTCAGGGGCCTCCAGGGGTCTCCACATCCACTGTCTATGGGTCGGGCAGTCGTGGCTACAGCCTAGAGGAGATTCAACGCTACCTGCAGGGTGGGTCAGAATATATTCCCCGTTTCTGTTTGTCCAAACTCAGAGAACTAGAAAAGACACAATAGATAGAATTAGTGAAACATCTATTATTACTAATGTTGATAATGGGAAGCAGGAACATGTATATCTGAACCCATTTTCTTGCTGAAAACATACAACAGGCACTTTAATAATAAAAAAAATATTTTTTAAAAATCTGTTCCCCTTTTTTAAATGCTTTTAAATGTAATCATTTATAGATAGATTGCTAGGAATGGGAGTATTTGAAATGTTTTCCTAGCTAAGAATAACCAGCTTCAAATACACAAGAGCATAAAGCTGAGCTGAATTCATATCTTGTTTACCTTAAATATTTAACAGGTATAAAAAGGCTGGTCACAGCCATAAATAACAGCCTATTACAACTTTATCTCATAAATTGAAATTGTATTAAAAAGTTAACTTATTTTTGTTATTTAATTGAAAAACTAAATTATTGTGTTGTGTGCCTTAGACATCTAAGAGTGTATTTCAACCATTTATTTCTCTCCGTTTGGATGATTAGATTGAACAGCTAATTAAAAAAAAAGCATCTCATAAAATCTGCTTATAACACAAGACTGTTGAACAATAATTTTAAGCAGAAGCTAAAGGATGTCACTGCTGTAGAAGCTGGCTGGTTGTTCACGTTGATGCAAGACAGCAACAATCGCCACCCTGAGCGGATTGAGTAACAGAGTCCATTTGACTATGCAGAGAGTAAGAGCTTCAGGAACCGCCACAAACAGAAGCAATTACCTGAGCTTAGGAGAAAAATACTGCATGGTCCCAGATATATCCATGGTCACTTTCATTAGAAACCCCCAAACAGAATTCATTAGAAAACCAAAGTCTGGATGATTAGAGGGGGGATGCCAGAGTGGGAATCTGGGATACCAGGTCATCTGGTGGAGTTGGTATGTTAGTTTAAATTAAGTCCAAAGGCAGAGCAGCCATCTGCAATGAAATGTTATGATACCTCATACATCCTCCTGCTGACAGGCTTTACAGAGATGCTAGTTTTATGCTCTTGCAGCTCAAAAGACAAGCATAAGTATGCTACCATAGAAACCATGACTTTCTAAAAACCTCAGACCCTCATGCTGAATTAATACAAGAAATCTAAAGATTTTCTCTTTTATTGAGGGAGCTCTCTCTTCTGATATTTTTAAATTTCTGATCCAAACATTTCATATTTAAAACTGAGTTCTACAAATGTATAATCAGAGTCATATATTGTGGTTTCTTTTCATGTTAGTTCTTGTGAAAATAAAGATGATGACTAAATAAGGTTTTGTAATTTTGTAAGTTGTGGTCTGCTGTGTCGCTTCATATTGCTGTGTACTCTCTAAGGTTCTGGGTTCCGAGGTCTTCCTGGCCCCCCTGGTCCTCCAGGTCCCCAGGGACCACAGGGACCATCAGGCGCTCTCACTCGATCAGTGTCCTACAGTGAAAACCTCCCTCGGGAAACCATCCGTGCTGAAATTCAGCAGTATCTGAACAGTAAGAATCCAACAGCTCGCCCTAACACATATACATTCATGATAAGAGGAAGTCCACCCTTCCTTTAGTTCCTGTTTTAAGATGTAATCAGAAAATAGCAGCTGTGAAGTGATTGAAACACGTGTAAGACGGAAAACAAAATAAATGTACCGGTAAATGAAAATCCAGCTACGTCCTTTATTCAAATATACAAATAGAGAAGAAACTGAAAGTAAGGAGCTGCTTGACTATTTATTATTAGAAATACACTAATTTAGAAATTAGGTAATTCTCATCATAATGCCAAAGAAAAAAAATAACCTGAAAAAGAGTAGCAGCCGTTCTTTTCATGGGGAAAGCTATTAACAAGGCTGTTTGCAAATAATAAATAAGTTATATATATGTCTTATAATTTCAGCAATGATTCACAAGAGGAAAGTATTGAACATGGCGTCCCTCCTCTTCTCCTGAGGACAGAATCAATAGAGGACAGATTGTGAAATATTTAGTAAAAATTGATACAACAATATCTCTGTCAGATGTTACAGACCTGATCTTATGTGCTAAAAGAAGCTCAAGAAGGTATAGTTACTAAGAGAGAATGAGTATGGCTTATTTGCAAGGTTTCAAAAAACAACCAAAGGCTTATACTTTGCTAAAACTTCTGGATCAGTGGTCCCCAGACAAGCTAGACCAAAATGGAGATATATTTCCTTAGTAGACGCTACCAAATAGACCATATTAGCTCAGGCACCTCAAATCAGTTGTCTAGTCTGGTGGTGGAGGGTTAATTATATCTTGCATGGACATCACATGGAAACAAAAGGAGTTCACTGTGGCCTCCCATGTTTGTTGGACAGACAAAGCTCTGGTAAAAGTCAAGCTGCTGATTAAAAAATAAAAGGAGGTTTAGAGGCAACGCCAAAAAAAAAGAAAAATACAGCAAAAGTTGAAAAATTAACTTTTTGTTTCTCTTTTCACTCTTCCTGTTGCCATCTGAAAGCCCTGCTCTCTCTCGCTCTCTAGCAGCCTAAAATAAACACTTTTCTCAACATGTCTTAGAAAACATAGTTTACTTCTACAGTGTCTTTAATCTCTGGGCTACTTCTGATTATTATTATTATTTCTTATTGTTTAGTACGGAAAACAGCCGAATTTGAACATCCTGTAATGACTTCCACTCAGAAGAACAAAAAACTCATACAAATCATACAAACAGTGCTTATTAAAGCAATTCTTTTAAACCTTAACTGCTGAAAATGTTCAGTACATGTAAACAAATCAAACCAGCGATAATCCCTTGGAAACCAACTTCACTTTTTTCCCCAGGTGACAGTGTTCGGCGGACTATTGTCGGACCTCCGGGTCCTCAAGGTCCAAAGGGTCAGAAGGGGGAACGTGGAGAACCTGGCTACTCCCAGAGCTTCATACAGACCCAGAGTTACCCACAGGGCGACGCTCGCTACAGCTCCCAGCAATTTGATGTCAACAAGCTCACCGAGTCCCTCGATTATTCCAGCGTTGCGATGAAAGTTACAGACTACATAAAGAGTGAGTGAACAACAGCTTCTGTCTCATTAGTCCTGCTTGTTGCAAACTCTTAGGCAAAATGCTAAACCTGGTTCAGTTTTAACTGAAGCTCATAAAATGTATCCGATAGAAGGTTAGATGAGTTTTTTGTGTCTTTTTAAAACTTATCTCATTCAATGTCAAACTTTTGACTTGTCTTATTTAACAAAATAACCATTGAAACCAGATGTTTACTTGCTCAGCATAAAATGACATACTATATTTTTTTTCCTCCCTGACTTTAAATCAAATGAAAACTTTCCCAGTTTAGGTCACCAAGCTGATTTCTAATTATTAAATGAAGAACAATGTCAAAGTCAGATTACATACTTTACATTTACTTAGCGTTTAGCTGAAAACACAATTTATGCTAAAATGTTTTAATTATCCTTCCATGCTGTTGCACAATGGTGTGCTTGAATTTAGGCCCATTTCTCCAGACAAAACGAGTTAGGTTGTTAAGAGCACCTCACTTACATGGACCTTTTAAAGCTGAAGTCTGTAAGTTTTTAAAAATCACTTTTTTGTCATATTGGCTAAAACTGTCAGTGATGGGCAGTAGCGCCGCTACATGTAGCGAAGCTATTAGTTTAACTACATTTTCCAGTAGCTTGACCGTAGCGTCGCTGCTTTATTTATCAAGTAACTTTCCTGTAGCGACGTTATTGTTTTGATCAAGTAGCGACGTAGCGTCCACAAACGCTACAAAATCCAGGGCATAACTAAGAAATGAAACCAGGTTTTCTATTTTGAAACAACAATCAGCCACAAGCTACTGTAAATAGCAGTTTCAGCTGACGCTCTTATAAGTGGCGTAGTAGCACAGGCACACTCAGTAGGGTTAAACAAGCGCACCCTTTCTGAGGCTGTCGTTCTATTGGCTGGAAAGGTTGCTAGGCAATGATCCAACTGCAGTCTGAGAGAGCAAAACAAATCCGCAAGCAGAGCCTACGGGTTTGCGAGCGTAACAGAGCGCGGTTTGTGCGCGAAGAGAAGGAGGCAAGCGAGAGGAGAAAATATCTGTGCAAGAAGCATTAAATCTGAGAGAAGAAACAAAGAGAGAAGAGAAAATATTTGAGAGAGAGCGCATGTTTTGAGTGTGAGCATTATAAGTTTTGAGAGCAAGAAGATGAAATTCTTTTCTCAAATGATGTGCTCTTGCATTATGGCAGGATAATTCTCCCATATCTATGTGCCACTAAGATACTCTAATTAGAGAGCAGTAGTGAAACTTCCATATTGTATTTTCATGGCCTAGTTTACCTGACAGGATGTTTACATAAATCGGTTTTTAGGCTGTGCACAGATAAGATTTTTTATGGAGGAACAGCTCTACCGTATATAATATAAATACATAAATAAATAAATGCTTAATAAATAAATAAATAAGCATTCAATTAATTGCCTCCAAAAATACAATGAATAAATATGTAGGTAGAAATTAAATTAAATGGTGAGACATATATATATGTATCTCTTAATTAGCTTCTTTATTTTTTCACCTTCTTTTGTAAACAGTTTTGTTTGTTACTTGAATCAACTGTTTAATTGAGGTCTTTTGTAGGGTTTTGTTTTCCCTAGAGATGTCCATTGAATGCAAACTCATAGCCATGTCTCGATGTGTAGAACACTACACAGTACCTTTAATTTGGTTCTAATAACAGCAGATTGTTTACTAGTTTGTCTACTAGTAATTACTTTAGTTTTTATTTTAATATGCCTATCATAAAGCAATGTTTACACTGTGATATGTCATTGGCTGATCTTTAATAAATATTTTAACTAGTGTGTCAGACTCATTTTGAATTGACATTAGGTTGGTACAACGTTAAGTAGCTTTTGATGTAGTTAAGCTACTTTTAACACATTAGTGTAACTTAGCTTGCTATAATTCTTCAGGTGGTAGCTTTTGTGTAGTGAAGCTTAATTTATTGTTGAGTAGCTGATAGCTTAGCTCACTACACTTGACAAGTAGCTTGCCCAACACTGAAAACTGTCCCTATGCACAGACAGCAGTACATGTGATATGTAACCTGTGAAAAAAACTGCTTCAATTGGTACCGCCTACTGCCTGTATTTCAATCTGGAAAGAATAATTCGGGACGAGTCAAAACAACCAATCACAGCCAGAGGAGCGTCTGATGGAGTGTCAATCACAGCTCACACACGCTGAATCCCGCCCCCGCCCCCCCTCCCCCCCCTTCTGGTCACATGCGGTAGCCGCGCAGATGCTGTGAGAGGGGTGGAGCTTGGAGGTGGGGAATGAGTGAAGCAGAGAGGGTGGGGGAGTGGCGTGAAACCTGTTTTTCTTCAAATTTTCAGTCGAAGTCTGCTCTCTCCTCAATGTTACAGACTGCAGCTTTAAGCTCTAAGGGCCGGATCTATCAAAGGTTTGCGTGATACGTGAGCTATTTCACTGCGCACGCTAAAAAATTTACAAACTGATCTATCAACAGCGTGCTAAAAGGATTTGGTCTTTAAAACGTGCTAAATAGCGCCTCTTATCCATTTAGTACTTTTTCTGCAATGAATATGCAATATGGGGCGTTTACACGCAAAAATGCGTCTTGTGGGAGGAGAACATGTAAATATATTAATTTAGCACTCGCAAAGTGATTTATCAAACCTGAAAGCAATTTTGCTAACGGTATCTGACTCTATATTTAACACGTTTCAGAAGAAGGTGCAAATGGTCTGTATGCGTAATTGCGCACACATGGCAGCGGTTATTGCCGCAAGAAGGAGACATCGAAATGAAGCAAGGAGACGCAGAGAACGCAGTTTTTCACTCCGTGTGAATATTTTTGGAATGAACGAGGAAACGATCAAAACATATCGTTTATCCAGCATTGCACTTTTTGGAGCTGCAATTCCAGTGATTTGCTCCTCACAGAGCGTCAGCTGTACTTGTTCCTCAATGCTGGTCAAAGGCATGTCATCTACTGTGCCCCCTCCTGTTTTGTTCGCAGATGTTTTGTTATATGCCAGTTTTTCTTTGGTTCGCCTTCTAATATCCTGGTATCTTTTTACTTCATCCACTGTTCGCAGGGTTTCACCAACAGCGTTTACTTTATTACAGATTTGTTCACATATAGCGTTCCTCTGTGTGACAGTCACACTTCTTTGCTGTAGCTCACTTAAATGTTTGTTGGCTTCATCCACCAATACCTCCATTTCCATGGGGTCGAATTTCCTTTTGCGCTTTCTGCTGTCCAAACTCGCCATGCCACAAACCACCAAACGCGCAAAACCATCATTTAAATAGGGCGTCTCCAACAGTTTTGCACCTGCCACCAGTTACGCAATCGCTCTTGTTAAATCACCCGCAAACCATGGTTCAGCCCCTCGCGCAAAATTCCAGTTTGCGAGCGCAAATTACTGCACGCAAAATTGGATCTTGATAAATCCGGCCCCATGTATATTCCGTAAAAGTTCAAAAAAAATCCACTGGACTTGGTTTTCAAGATTTGAAGACGTTTCGCCACCAAATGTCAATTTAAATGTCTCTAAGTATATATTTTTCTTTTTTGTGGGATTGGGATCAGCTTTTAGATTAATAGCTCTGTTCTTTAGCAGCGGCCTTTTCTGCTCATTTTGGTGTTACACTTGCCTGAACTGTGGATAATAAGTGTGTTTCCTTTACAAATGGATGCAAGACATTGCCAATATTCCACTAATGTCAAACTACAATTTTGCAATTGCTTTGTGTCTATTAAATAGGAAATACAGTTAAAAATCCCATGTAACTAAATTTGTTCCTGAAGTGACTATTTTAAAAGTCATGCCACATCATCATCCTACTAATTTTTTTTCCTACATTAGAAGTAACATCCGATTGTTGATCTTGTGACTCATTGTGTAAAAAAAAAAAGTTTCTTTGGTGTAATGCAAAAAACACCAATTAGATACAGCCAAAAAAAAAACACTTCATCCTAGTGCAAAAACTTGAAGCAAATTAATTATCTGAATTGCAATTTGCACAATTTGATGGACAATATAAAATGCAGCAAATGCCTCCTAGTGCCTAAGCGCTTATATCCACCAAACACAGTTAGTTATTCCATGATTTTCCAGCATTTAAACACAGGGAAAAATGTGTTTCAGATGTGCATTTATTTAACTTAGATACACTGACTAACTTTTTAAACTTAACTTGTCAATTGCGTAGTTTTCTTTTCAACTAAAGACTTCTGATTTTTAAGAATGAAATACCAACTATTTTAAATTATTATCAACCTAATGGAAATAATTTAAGAAGTCTTCACTGACTGAACACAGAAAAAATTCAGATTTTACCATCATACAGGGGGGACAAATTGGTTTTTGCCTCTTTTTTTATTGAATAAAAGATGTTTGGTCTTAACTGCATGTTTTCTTACTGCACATGTTCTGCAGATCAAGGCCTGCTGCAGCGGTACATCTCTGACGGTCCTTGGAGGACAAATGTCCGAGCTATTCAAGGGCCTCCAGGTCCCCCTGGCCCTCCGGGACCTCCTGGTACTAGCCGCGTGATTGGGGCATACGGAAATGTCACTGCTGACCTGATGGACTTCTTCAGGAGTACGAATAGAGTTCTACTTTTTCAACAATCTTACTCAAAAAGAGGAAGGTATAAGTTGAAAAGAGAAGAATTGTAAACAACTCTATACTTTTGATTGTGTGCAGGACATGGCACTATTCCCGGACCCCCAGGAAGCCCAGGACCAAAGGGAGAGAGGGGGTACCCAGGACCCAAAGGAGACACGGGTACATCTCAACAAACCTGATGTAACTCTGCACTTTTAAAAGTTGTTTTAACTATATCTGAGGTTTTATATGATCGCAGGTGATGCAGGACCTCCAGGTCTACCTGGAATCCCAGCACCCTACACTGTCCAAATACCACACAAAGTGCAAAGGCGGGAAGCAGGTAGCTTTAGTGGAAACATCTGAATTTGTTTTATAAAAGAAATGTGTGCGCAACTAAACCATGTAATATTTAGATCCTTATTCCTTCCATACAGGTGATAAACCTTCAGTTCGTCAAAGACGTCACCGGCGCCAAGCCACTGGTGGCTGAGGGGTGTCCTGCTGCAATGTTCCAACTCAGCTCTTGTTTTTTTTTTTTTTTTTCTGTTTAATATTAGTGGTTTAACTGTAAAAAATGTGCTCTTTATTTTTGAAGCAAAGGTTGGTTTTGGGGAAATAAAAATGCATGTGGTCCTTTATAAATGCTTCTCATAGATGTGTTGGCCTGAGGTTTTAAAAGGCACAGGCTGCAATGCTTAACTTGCGGGTGTAAAATGTTTACTTTGCTTAGTTAGAAGATGTTTTCCCCTTTTTTGGGGAGCAGCAGTTTTTAATGTCAAATGCGAGCATCTGCCTCTACTTTTTATATCTGCTATAGTTTGGGGGATTATATGTATCTATGGACTATAGAAGTTTTTAAAAGCATTTATTACACATTCAACCAATAATAATATTCAAAACAATCAAGCCTTTAAAAGAATAGCAAAGCTTCATGTTGACTTTTATCAGTCTCAATCAAAGTGAGTCATTTACTTGCAAAGGTTTTGTTGGTATAAAGAAGACAAATATAATTACAGAGATGGACTCAGATGATCGGAAAGACACGACTGGTTTAATTGTATATTTTGTGTTTAAGCACTGAATTTGATATTTTACTTGCCTTTAAGTGTTGGAGAGAATAAATTATAAACATGGTTGAACCTTTTCGATCACTTTATTTGATAAGCCGAAAAATAAATGTATTTTTGGATTTGAGAGTCTTTGTGTTCTTATGACTACTTAAACAAATTTCACTCAATTCTTCAAATAAATGGTCAGGATTTTATTTTATTTACAAGAAAAAAAGAACAGCATTTTATAAAGATGCATTAAATAGATCTGACATCAAATATGAATACAATAGAAATATTCATGGTCGATTTTTTTTCGGTAAAATTATGCAACAAAATAAAATTTAAAAAAATGATAAGATGGAGAGAAAAAAAAAATCCAGCATTCATTTAAAAAAAACAAAGATTTTCAAGTCAGCTTATAGAAAATATACCATGGAGCAGCAAAATATACTAATATATTGATTTAAAATACAGCGGAAGGCTTCGGATGCTGAGATTCATACAGTAACAGGACCCAGGCATACTGTGAAAGCAATTACGGCATCAGAGTGGAGAAAAAAAACAAAAAAAGCATTGGAAAATATATCAAGGTGTATCTGCAAAAAACCCAAAAAATTAAAATGAAACTAAAAGAAAAAAAGCATTACAGTCATTTTGGAGTTTAGATAGGCGTCTGTGAGGCAAAGTCTCTGAACCTGCATGAATACTCTAACTCAAGTGGCGACCTAGTGCAGTTACATTCCTTTACATTTCAAACTTTCAACAAACCGTTTGTGCGAATGCTGATCTGAACGAGTGAACGATGCATTTTCTTTTGGTGAACGGATCAGACGTGTTCATAACACCTGGAGGGTGTGGAAGGAAATAACAGTAGGTGCTAAATAAATACAACGTCTCTGGAGAACATAGTTGCTCTTGGTAGACTTAATCTATGATTACTCTATATTCACACTAACACAGTACATTCTTTTTAAGGAAACAGCTTTATGACACTTTCTTGATGTCCTGACATCAGTGTAAACAGTTTTCTATCTTCTCCCAGATCTGTGCCGCCGATAGGATTTTTTTTTTTTGATTTGATCACCAAATTATGTGACGAGAGAACGATGACTGCTTTAAGTGCAAAACATTAAGGGCTTTTTATTTACTGCAAGCAGTAAAACGTCAATAAAGGGGGTCATTGTGAGGGGTGGTGGTAGTGGGGTGGGGTGGGGGGGTTGGTTTACAGACATATGAGGCACTGGAGATAATTTATCGTGTTTCAGGCTGTGCTTTTAATAATCCGACGAACATGGCTGATCTTAACTAACAATCGCAAACCTTGGAAATCTTCACATGCTTAAAAAAGTGCATATAAATCAATATTTCCCAGCAAACTGAGAGAAGTTTTTAGGTGAGGGGACGTCATGTAGGCACATTTAGTAAGCTCACTGACTTTAAAACCAAGCAGAAAGTAAATTTCAATGTTTTTATTGGGGACTTTAAAAAATAGCTCCATCAGGAAGAAGGGAGGGTGACAAAGAAGTTCGACTGTAGTTTTGTTTGAAGGAAGTTAAACAGGAGGCTATACACCAGAGTTCTGCAGGTTTGGGATGGGGTAGAATTTTGAAACCCGGCTTTGGGTGGTGGGATTAAGGCATTCTGATTCGCCACTCATTTTGAAGAAAACTTCTTGCTCCTGGAGCTTCCTTGTGAATTCCTCCTCCAACGCCTATAGAGAGCAGCAAAAAAACAGAAACATCAGAATGAAAAAATACTGATTTTGCTGCACATATGTAGTGAGAATCTTATTGACAAGTATATAAAGCATAAACATGCCTTCTTCCTGGGTCTCAGCTTTTCCTTCCAGTCTTTCATCTCCTGGCTGTGCTCCTCATCCAGCTCCTTCAGCTTTTGGGTCTCATGTTCAATAAGAAGATGGCATTTCTCATTCTAAAATAGTAAAAAGAACGGTGATATCAAAATAAAGGTCTGATGTTTTTTAAATCTGCTCTGATCACTACAATGAACTCGATATGTCAGCTTTTCTATTTATCTGTAATACTACATCTTGGAGCTCATGAGACAATGGGTTTCCTAAAAAGGACAACTCTTCCCTTATTCATGTAAAATTAAGAAAACAAAAAACAACAGGATGCTCACATTTTATCATTTTTATCAAAAAAAGTTAGGAAAATTGCAGTTTTAAAGTTGCAAACATTTATGTCAGATTATATAATTAACCAGCAGCCTCTTAAGTCTCTGATTGTATATCACAGTTGTCAGACAGAAAACTTGCAGCCCCAAAAAATAAAAATGAAAGAGGTACCTTTTCAGAAAAGCAAAACACATCTTACTTCTGAAGGCCAATTCATATTTTTTCTTTTCCTAACTACAAGCTCTTCCTGATTCAATGATTTAACTGTATCAACTTTTTTGAAATGCAAAAAAAAATGTTAGTTGGCAGGTCATGCTACGGTATTTAAATGGATAACGGTAGCAGTGCTAGATAACTTAAGTTGTCCAGCAGGTGGCACTGCAGGAGAGGCTGTACAGGTGCTGGTCATAAAATTAGAATATCATGAAAAAGTAGATTGATTTCAGTAATTCCATTTAAAAAGTGAAACTTGTATATTATATTCATACATTACATACAAACTCATATATTTCAGATGTTTATTTTGTTTAATTTTGATGATTACAAATGACAACAAATGAAAATCTCAAATTCATCATATCAGAAAATTAGAATATTGTGAAAAGGTTCAAAATTGATGGCCCCTGGTGCCACACTCTAATCAGCTAATTAACTCAAACCACCTGCAAAAGCCTTTAAATGGTCTTTCAGTCTAGTTCTATAGGCTACACAATCATGGGGAAGACTGCTGACTTGACAGTTGTCCAAAAGACGACCATCGACACCTTGCACAAGGAGGGCAAGACACAAAAGGTCATCGCTAAAGAGGCTGGCTGTTCACAGAGCTCAGTGTCCAAGCACATTAATAGAGAGGCGAAGGGAAGGAAAAGATGTGGTCGAAAAAAGTGTACAAGCAAGAGAGATAACCGCACCCTGGAGAGGATTGTGAAACAAAACCCATTCAAAAATGTGGGGGAGATTCACAAAGAGTGGACTGCAGCTGGAGTGAGTGCTTCAAGAACCACCACACACAGACGTATGAAAGACATGGGTTTCTGCTGTCGCATTCCTTGTGTCAAGCCACTCTTGAACCACAGACAGCGTCAGAAGCGTCTTGCCTGGGCTAAAGAGAAACAGGACTGGACTGCTGGTGAGTGGTCCAAAGTCATGTTCTCTGATGAAAGTAAATTTTGCATTTCCTTTGGAAATCAAGGTCCCAGAGTCTGGAGGAAAAGAAGAGAGGCACTTCATCCACGTTGCTTGAAGTCCAGTGTAAAGTTTCCACAGTCAGTGATGGTTTGGGGTGCCATGTCATCTGCTGGTGTTGGTCCATTGTGTTTTCTGAGGTCCAGGGTCAACGCAGCCACATACCAGGAAGTTTTAGAGCACTTCATGCTTCCTGCAGCTGACCAACTTTTTGGAGATGCAGATTTCATTTTCCAACAGGACTTGGCACCTGCACACAGTGCCAAAGCTACCAGTACCTGGTTGAAGGACCATGGTATCCCTGTTCTTAATTGGCCAGATAACTCTCCTGACCTTAACCCCATAGAAAATCTATGGGGTATTGTGAAGAAGAAGATGCAATACACCAGACCCAACAATTCAGAAGAGCTAAAAGCCACTATTAGAGCAACCTGGGCTATCATAACACCTGAGCAGTGCCACAGACTGATCGACTCCATGCCACGCCGCATTGCTGCAGTAATACAGGCCAAAGGAGGCCCAACTAAATACTGAGTGCTGTACATGCTCATACTTTTCATGTTCATACTTTTCAGTTGGCCAACATTTCTATAAATCCTTTGTTTTTATTGGTCTTCAGTAATATTCTAATTTTCTGATATGATGAATTTGAGATTTTCATTTGTTGTCATTTGTAATCATCAAAATTAAACAAAATAAACATCTGAAATATATGAGTTTGTATGTAATGTATGAATATAATATACAAGTTTCACTTTTTAAATGGAATTACTGAAATCAATCTACTTTTTCATGATATTCTAATTTTATGACCAGCACCTGTATGTGGTTCATCTGAACATCTGCCAGCAGGACTAGCCAAACTGTTTGGAAGCATCTTTGTAATTTATTCATTTAAGAAACAAATGACAGCCAACACCACAACACCTCCTCCACTAGGAGCTGTTTAGCACTTAAGAAGCTGAGCTGGAACCTAAACTGCATCACTTAATGGGGAAATAAACATTTCCAAGAGCAGAGGGTACGTTTCTGATAAGTATCGCTCAAACTTTATATTTCTGTCAGACAGTGAACGTGTTTTAATGTGACCTGCAGCTGCTGCAGCTCGCGGATGTTGGAGTCACACTGCAGCTGGAGATCCCTCATCTGGTTCTCGTGTTTCTGGTGCTGATGGATTCTCTCATTCTTCTGCCTCTTGTCCTCCTGTGCAGCAAACTAGATGGAGAGGGAAAAAAACAGCAGGAAAACCCATCAGCCGGTCTGTCCAAAAATGAATATATGGAGTGGCTAGGGAAGGGGGCATCGCTGTCATTCTAAGATAAATCCACCTGTTTGATGCGTTCCCGCTCCTGCTCTGGGGTCAGAGGTGTGGTGACAGTGATGCGGAGGCTCTTCTTGAACATGGCCATGCGAGTCTTTGCCTCGCTGCGTTGGATTTTGGGCAGGCGAACCCTCTCCTGGTTCTGTTTGTTCTTCAGCTCTTCTATCAGGCGCTGGTTGTAGCGCTGCATCTGTTCCATCTCCTACCACCAGCAGACACCAGCAGGCGTTTACAAACCAAGCAATTCTGAATTATGACGTTCTTATATCTGGATGTCTTCTCTTATCACTTACTTTCTCGTGTCGTTTCAGCAGCTGATGTCTCTGCATGAAGTACTGGTCTTTCAGCTGCTGCTTCAGCAGCTGGTGCTTCTCCTGTAGGTGGCGCTCCTCCAGCTCCCACATGGCTGCCTCTCGTGCTGCAGAACACATGGGAACACGCAAGACTTAAAGGAAAGGCGGCGGATGTGTCAAAATTAGCAAACATGTTGGGTAGGACT